AAAATTTTTGGGGGAGGGTTTTTTGTGTTCACTTTGGATTTCAAACAAACCAAACATTTCAAATCACCCGGGCTGCAGAAAACAAAACGAGCCCCATGGGGGCCCGTTTCCCCCCTCCCATTTAATTTCCTTTGGAAAAAAATTATTTTTGCACATTTTTTCTTTAACTTCATAGACCCAAAAACAGCCAATAAAAAAATAATTTTTCATGCACTTTTAACTCTTTTTAACCCCCTTTTTTGGTTTTAAATTTATCAAAACAGAGCTTTAAGGGTCCCTGTTGCTTCTTTTTGGGGGGTTTAAAAAAAACAGAAAAATTCGTTGATCTCCCAAAACGCCCTCGGGTTAAAGGCCTATTTTTTAAACAACAACTCCCTTCAGGGGCCAAGTTGAAATTTCAAAACCCGGCGACTTTTTCAGGAATAATTTGATTTCCTTTTGAAAGTGTTTTTTGTTGAAATCCTTCCTTTGGTTCAATTATTTCCCGTGACCGCAGGGTTTCCCCTTTTTTTATAACGGGGTTTTGGGGCAATCTCGCTTTTAGAGATTTCTATTAATTTATCCAAAACAAAAAAAACCGAGCCCCGGTTTTGAAGCCCACTAATTTTTCCAAAAATGCCAAAATTTTTGCTGCAGCAAAAAAAACCCAGTGGCAAACGTAATTTTTCTTTATACGTTTAAATGTGGCCAGCTTCCAAAAAGACTTAAGGGATCTGTTTATTTCGTTCTTTAAAATAGGAGCCAAAAGGGTTTTTAAATTTACGCCGGTTTTTCCCGCGGGGGTTTTTTTCTCAGCAGGCCCTTTCATAAAAATTTTGGGGGGTTTTCAATGGTTTTAAAAGTCAAAAAAAATAAAGGGCACCGTCGTCGGTTTATCTGATTGCCCCCCGGCGGGGAAGAAGCATTTATTTTATAGTTTAAATTGCTTTCTGTCCCCAGGTCCCCGTAACACAGCGCTTAAAACACCTGAAAAAGAATATATCTGTCTTTTTCTCTTGCAAGTTCTGCTACCAAAACCCCTTTCCCGAGCCTTTTTTAGGGTTCCCCCTTGCATATGGGTTTGCACATGCCCAAAGGAAAATTGCGGGAAAATTTTCTGGAATTCCCCCGTGTGAAAATTTGCGTCCAAAGTCACTTTCGGGCCCCCAAAAGGAAAAAGTTTATTTCATGATTTTCTCTCTTTTTGCCCAAACCCCCCCCCTGCGCCCAGGAGAAAAGTGTTACTGAGACTCAAAACTGAACTTTAAGTTCCGTAGCTAAGACAGTGTACAGCCATGCAACAAGTCTATATAAGGCAAATAGCCTGCTTCAACACCTGCATCTCTTAATCTGAATGTGAGGTTGGGATAAGAGAATGGCTGTGTATGAGATATGTCTAGCTGGTGACAGGAATTTCATCTTAGCTTGTAATAGTAAAACATCCACTGCATGTGTGACATGTAATGTGAGCAGATGGTACAGGACAGCATCTGATGAGCATTCTACAGCTGTTGCAGCTGCAGACACAGCCTGTAGACATGCTGGGAGAGCTTGGGCTACAGGATCCAGCCGTTTAGAACAGAAAGCTATAGGCTTTTTCTTGCCACCTTGTTATTGCAATAACACAGAGGTCATAAAACCGTCTTTGCAGTCGATCATCTGATGGAAAGGTTTTTGGTAGTCAGGTAAAGACAAAACTGTAGATGACATAAGTTCCTTTTTAGGCTCCACAAACTTTTGCTTGGCCTCAAAGATCCATTGTATATTGTCTGTTATTGCCATAGGGGAGGAGTAGATCAAATCTAGCAATGGCTGTGTTTTTTCAGCAAAGTGAGGGATCCAAGCTCGGCAATAATTACACAGCCCGAGAAAAGCCATCATCTGTTTTTTTTATAACTGGTTTTGGATGATCAGCAATGGCCTTTTTTCTTGTTTCTTGAATACGTTTTCCATCAGCAGACAATGAATGACCTAAATAAAGAACTTCCTGTCTCACCCATTGCAACTTATCTTTAGAAACTTTATTTCCTGTTTGCAGAGTTGATGCAGTAACTGGAGTGAGTCAGCTCTGCAACCATCCTCTGTTTCTGCTGCTACTAAAATGTCATCTACATAGACAAGAATATGGCTGTCACATTTGGGGACAAAATCATCCAGGCATGCCAGAATAGCTTGGGTAAAAATAGCAGGGCTGTCCGCAAAGCCCTGAGGAAGTCTGGTATATGTATACTTTCTACCCTCAAATGTAAATGCAAACCAATATTGAGAGTCAGGATGAATTGGTACTGAGAAAAAAGCATTACTTAAATCAGTAACTGAAAAATACTTGTTTTCAGGGCTTAAAGTGTTTAACAGAGTGTCCGGATCAGGAACATTAGGGGCTCTTGTCTTTACAGCTTGATTTACAGCTCACAGGTCCTGAATCATTCTCCAATCTTTTTTATTAGCCTTTTGGACTGGAAAGATGGGAGTATTGCATGGGGAATCAGGGCATGGTCTGATTATTCCTGCCATGAGTAATTTTTTTACAACTGGTCTGATACCCTCACGTGCTTCCTTCTTTAGAGGGTACTGCTCTTGCGATAGTTCAATAAACTCCATATGCATCTTTTGAAATGGAAATTTGGGTGGAGGAAACTGTCCTCTTTTAGGTCTCAGGTCTCAAACTTTTTGGCAAGACAGGTTTGTCCCAAACTTGGTAAATTCCACTGTCTGTTTTATTAGCTCCTTGTTTGATCCAATAATTTTGTTCTGCTAGTGGGGCTTGCTCTTGTCTGCTCCTTAAATCTTCAGAATCAATGGGAGATTTATCATCCTCATCTTGTGAAACATATATATCAGACATACCAAACACCCCTGATGCTGCCTGTTTAGCGGTTTCATCTGCAAGTCTGTTACCACAGGAAACCGCATCCTTTACTTTTTTGTGTGCTGCACATTTACACAAGACCATGTTTTGTGGTAGTAATATAGCTTAGAGAAGCTGCTACAGTAAACTGGCATGTATTATTGTTTTACCTGTCTCATGGACATTTAGATTTAAAAGATAATTAATGGATAAATTTGGTATTGTGTGTAAACATTGGCAAGGGTTGCAAGTTAGTTTACAGTTTGACCTATTCAAGCAGAGATAATTATATTAACCTAGCTCCTATGGGGTGAAAGGGATACATTGTTAGTTTTATAAATTAAATTACATAAGTCCAGGACCTGGTACAGAGTATTTTTGTGGCTTTTGAGTTTTTGGGGTTTGGAAGGAGTGTTTTTCTTCGTTTTGATTTAGTCCAAAGGCTGACTTCTGGCTGTTAGCATGGCAACTTAAATCTGCACAAATCATTGCAGTGACCTTGCACAAACCTGCTACTGATTTTTATTTACTGCCATTGTTAGTGCTGAGCTAAGCCATGATGTTAAGAGCTGAAAGCTAGCCACTGGATTTACAGGCATAAAACCGAAATTTATCATGTTTTTCAATCATGTAAGCACATGTAAGCACATGTAATCAAGTGTTGTGCCTGAACGCGTTCAGGCACAACACTTGATTCAGGTCAGAGAGCTCCGCCTGTTTCAGGTCAGAGAGCTCCGCCTGTTTCAGATCAGAGAGCTCCGCCTGTTTCAGGTCAGAGAGCTCCGCCTGTTTCAGGTCAGAGAGCTCCGCCTGTTTCAGGTCAGAGAGCTCCGCCTGTTTCAGATCAGAGAGAGCTCCGCCTGATTCAGGTCAGAGAGCTCCGCCTGTTTCAGGTCAGAGAGCTCCGCCTGTTTCAGATCAGAGAGCTCCGCCTGTTTCAGGTCAGAGAGCTCCGCCTGTTTCAGATCAGAGAGCTCCGCCTGTTTCAGGTCAGAGAGCTCCGCCTGTTTCAGATCAGAGAGCTCCGCCTGTTTCAGGTCAGAGAGCTCCGCCTGTTTCAGATCAGAGAGCTCCGCCTGTTTCAGGTCAGAGAGCTCCGCCTGTTTCAGGTCAGAGAGCTCCGCCTGTTTCAGATCAGAGAGCTCCGCCTGTTTCAGGTCAGAGGGAGCTCCGCCTGTTTCAGGTCAGAGAGCTCCGCCTGTTTCAGGTCAGAGGAAGCTGGTGAACTCACCGATTTGCATGATTCAGGATTATCCTTCAAACTCCATCAGTGAAAACAATGCATTGTGGGGTTTTAGGAAACAGTCGCTCAGCAGAATTTTTTTGAAGCAGTCATGTTTTTTAATTCTCGATAGAATCTGATAAAGCGTTGAATGCTGGCTTCGTTTAATGAGCATCTGGGAGAACATTGCTTTCTCTGAGAATATTATTTCAAATCAATTTATTTCTCCTCAAAGTTGAGATTAATATTACAGTTTAGCTTCTTTTTTTTGCATGATTATTTATTATGAAACAGAGAAGTTTCCTAAATTATTCTATGTGATCAGATCATGAAGCATTTCAGCACCAGGGAAAGTGTCCCATCTCCACCTGTGGTGCTAACCATGCAGCACCGTATGGTCGATCATTTAGTGGCTAATTAACGTTTCTGTGATTGGCGGCCATCTTAGTGGTGGAAGTCGTGCTGCTTGAACCGTCTGACTCAGAGTTCTAACTTTCAGCTGTTTTGCTGCCGATTTTCAGATCTGAAATTCCACCTCAGAGTCCAAACCAAGCTTTTAACAGATTTAAACAGTGCCCCCTCCTGTTAACAATTCGTAATGGTTAAATAAAAAAAATGTGGTGGGGGCTAAGGTTTAAAGTCATATCTTTTAGAATATGATCCATGTTTACAATCAGTCTTTATAAATGATGCTCCTGCAGTAAAGGATCAAATGGAACAAACTTTTTAATATCTAGTAGCTTGACTATTTAATATCTAGTAGCTTGAGTGAAATGATTTAAAATATATGTTGAAATATCTCTGGAAATACCAAACGTCTGACAGGAGGGTGAAATTTCTTTTTACCATAACTACATTATTTTATTTTATTTTGCATCTTTGCTAAATCCTCTGTTCTCAATGCGATGGCTGGAAAACAAGTCAAAAAACACAGAAGAGGCAGAGACACTGTTTATAGTGCTGAAATCATGCTTTATTAAATCAGTAAAACTCAAGGAGGATGATATATAGGTTCTACATCAGCAGATCAATAAAGTCATCGTCCAGGGTAAAACCATAACCTCACCACAGATGAACTCAGGGATGCGGATAAAGGAAAATTAAAACCCTGACTACTGACAAGGCGAAACGACTACAAACTACAGACACTCACACTCAAAACAACAACACATCAGCTATGATCCTCCAAGAGGTGGCGCTGCTCCTGCACAGCAGGGCTGCTGTTGACTCCCCGTCTTCAGGCCAGGAGATGTTGCTTAGTGAAGCCAAACCAGCCGTCCTGTGCCAGAAGCAGCGCTCATGAACAAAATGAATCTAAATGCAGAGAGAGCAGGCCGCTCGCCCTCTCTGCCGCTCATCAAGTCGTGGTGGTGTGACACGTCCGTCTGAGCACAAGGCCGGTTCCTGCTGCTTACATGAGGGTGATGCAAACAGCACTCAGGGTCTTATGCTCATGGTACAACTCCCATAGAAGTGTAATATCACGCGCACAGATGCGTGTCCAAACCAGAAGTTTGTCTTTTTGTTTCTGCTTCTTAACATCAACAGGGAGCCTCTCTACCTGTTGAGGCAATCTTAAGACTTCAACTTATCGTTGAGGCACAGAGTTTAGTTTCCAGGTTTAACAGGGTATTCGTTCCAGCGGAGACTTTCTCCTGTTAACCAATTATAGCTTCTTTGAGTTTCAGTTAATATTATTGTCATAAATAACAATGCATACATTTCCCATAACCGGTAAACTCGGCTATATACATTATGTACATGTCACAGAAAAATGAAGTCAGAGTTATCCAATATGGCACATTTTACAACTTTAGACTTTAGTCTAGTTTGGCATAAATTAACGTCAAGTTTGGTACAAAAATAGTTCCTATTTACAAGAATATTCCAGATCTTTATCAAGTAAGATTATTGTAAATAAAAAGTTTAGGACTAGGGGAAGAGGGGAAATCATTTTTTTCTCTTTTTTACATGGACCGGACGTGAACGTTTACAGTTGCGGAATCAGAGCCAAGCTCGTTGGAGAGTCGGAGCGTGTATGCGCCGGCGTCGGCCTCCTTCACCGCAGAGATCATGAGGGTGGAGAGATCAGCCGCATTATCCACATGGAACCGCTGGTCTCCGTTGGGGAGGGTTCGACCTGAGCGGAGCCACTGGACCGAGGGAGCAGGATCCCCGGAGAACAGGCCGGCCACGGTCAGAGACTTCCCTGGCTCTGCGCTTACATCCTGTGGAAGCGCTTCGATCTTTGGTGGAGTGCCTGAAGACAGCAGCAGAACCAAATCAGTGAACATGTTTTAGACTTTTCACAACTTAGACTTTTACCTTCAAAATTTGAACTTTTGAGGCATTTTGAGGTTGTTTTTTTTTGCTGTTCCTTCATGCTGAGGTTGTAAATGAAACAAACATCCTTTAATTGATCTCTTTCACAGAAGCTGCACAGAAAAACACCCAAAGGTTTTTTCTTCAGCTGCTTGTAAATTTTGCACCAAATATCTCAAATATAACAAAGAGTGAGAAGAAATAAGTTTGGTTTGTCTTTACGCTCCCAACTTAGCAGAACAGAGGCATAGCAAGAAATTTTAATAGGGGTGGGCATAAGCAGATAGGCACCAGAACCTAAGGGTCAATCTACACTGTACAGACAGGAACGAGCACGACATCTATATAAAGACAAACTACACTTTCCTAGAGCCTTTGCTAACAAATAGACACATATATTTAAACATCCATGCTGTCTAAATAAAAGGTATAATGGTCAAAATTTCTGGGGTGAACACTACTTATCAAAAAATTGTTCTGCATAACATTATTTACATGTATTAAAATCTACATTAACTGGATTTTTAAATTATTATTAAAGTAGTTATTTATCTAAGATTTCACCCAAGACTCGTAATTAACTTGCAGAGACACATAACTTTCTCTTTACCCTATATAGCACAAAATTTAGCTCTGAAAAGAGCATAAATTCTGTATATATCAACTTTAATGTTAGTATTTTGATGTACATAATTAACCACAGTGTTTTAGTTGTCAACTAATTGTTAATATATGAAAAATTTAAATGTTTAATACTTTTAAATATTCCCCTTGAGAGTATTACTGCTCCCACCATCTGTATTGGAGGGAAAAATGGTAGGGGTGGCCAATCATTGGCTAAGGGTGGCCATGTCCACCTCTGGCCCCCCATCTAGCTCTGCCACTGGACGAGAAGGATGCCTAAACTTAGAGCAGGTCAGGAGAATGTAGGGTCTCACCTGTCTTAGGCCCAGCAGTGAGCGCCTTTACATGCGAGCGGGCAGACATTCCTACGCTTTGGCTGCTGGAGCTCATGGACACCACTGACTCGGTCGCCATGGCAGACATGCTGGCTGCAGACATGCTCTCAAAGGAAAACTGATCGACAGCAGAGTGGGAACTGCTGCTGTAGCTGCTGGCCTGCATCAAGGCAGCTTCCGTATAAACCGATGAGGCTAAGAAACTTTTCTGCATGCTCATAGCGGCCTCAGTAGAAGCTCTTTGCTCGACAGCGGCCATTTGTATTGGTTCCTCAACCAGAGCTGTAAAAATGCAAATAAGATGACAGTGACAGACTGTGTGCAGACTGCAAGCAAACATGCTGACATTCTTTGGGTTTCTGAGAACTAATTTATTCAGACAAACCAAAGCATAACAGGTCATCAACACACTTAAAAAAACAGTAAAAATAAATTATTTGTCATTCATATCTTGCAGGGGTGCTAAAAATCTCAGATTAAAAGCTTAAGTCTTAAACCTTGATATTTAAGTATTTTCAGGCATTGCATGAACATTTTAATGTCAATTTCGCATGCAGATAATTTAACCCTTTCAAACTCCAGTTAATTTGGTTTTGCTGAGTAAAAGAGGCGACCTACAGAAGACGTTGAGCGATGATGTCGCAGAGCACTGCCCAAACTGGTTCCTGGCTTTTATTGTGTATTTCCCGCTATCTGCAACCGTTGCCTCAGAAATCTCCAGAGTAAACTCGTTCTTAGAACGTCTTAGTTTGATATTTGGAGAGACGAATATCTGGAAAGACATGTTTGTTTTTACTTAAAATACAAACTTAAAAATGTTTTGTTGATTAGAAAGACTAATTTTGGAAAAGAAAACTACTCACCAATGCGTTGTCTTTCAACCACTCCACTTCAGGGGAAGGGTGGCCTGAAATTTCACAGGTAAACATAACGGTTTGTCCCTCATTCACGTTTTGGGACCTGGGTTGCAGCAGGAAGTAGGGCGCTTCTTCGACGGATTTCTGGATTTCTGAGGACTTCACCTCTGTTACAGAGGACGATGTTACCTCATGGATTCTTTCCTTTTTCAGGACTTCCTCCGATATTGTTTCAGAGCTCTTTAAATCTAAAAAAGGAAAAGCATTAATTGATTTATTGCAAAAAAAAAAAACATATCTGTAGATTGTTCAAACAGGTTGCCTCCACTTACCATGTACTGTAACTGTGCAGGTTGTTGACACTGCTCCAGAAGAGTTGGTGGCTGTGCACCTGTAGACCCCACTGTCAGAAACCTCTGACTTACAGATTTCTAGATGCGCTGAACATTGGTCCTCAAATAATTCATACTTTCCACCTTTAGATATTGTCTAAAAAAAAAAAAATCGTAAAATACTTAGAGTTGTTTAAAGTTCAGTGAAGACTTTTAAATCATTTGCTTATTTAAATCTGTTACCTGTCCATCCTTTGACCAAGAGACCGTAGGTTTAGGCTCTCCTTTCACCTTCACAGACAGCTTCACAATCGAGTCACAGGATGCAGTAACGTCACTGAGCCCCGCTGAAAAGACAGGCTTCTTTCCAAGAACTGGTGACAAGACTCTCTTAGGTGACTTGACTGGAGGAATTACTTGCTCCCTTTCAGAAGGAGGTGGGGACTTTGGAGTAGGAGACTTGGGAGTTGGTGACTTTGGAGTAGGAGACTTGGGAGTTGGCGACTTTGGTGAAACTGGAGACTTTACTCTTTGAGGTGATTTGAGTGGCTCGGGTGATTTGACTCTTTGGGGTGATTTGACTGGCTCGGGTGACTTTGGTAATGGAGATTTAGCCTCTGGAGAAGTGATTCTAGGAGAGGCGACTACTTTCTCCTTAGACTCAGACTTGTTGATCTTTAAAGTGAAATGGGCTTCCTGTTTTCCACCAGCATTCTCTACTAGCAATGTGTAGCTGCCTTCATCTGACATCTCGACAGCAGAAATTTCAAAGGTTGAGTTGTACTGAGTGGAAACAATGTGATGCCGGGCGCTGGGAGCAACAGTTATCCCTTCATGAAGCCAGGTGATTGAAGGTGATGGTTCACCATCCACATCACACTCAAATCTGGCGTTGTCTCCTTCCTCCACAGTCAAGGACTTTGGTTTGGTCAGGATTGTGGCAGGAACTCCAGGCTTCTCCCTTGGCTCCTCAATGACAGCAGAGGTCTCTTTTACGATTCCAGTGACAGTTTCCTCAACAGTTGTTTTGGAAGAAGAAACATGGTAGACCTCTGTTCGTGTCATCTCTGGCAGGTGGGCTGTTGGTGGCTCCTCCTCTTTGCGGAAAGATGAAAAAGCAGCATACTCTTCCCCTGCTACATCCAATGTAGCATAATCTGAGGTTTCTCCTTTAGCATTCTTGCAGATTACACGGTATGTCCCCGAATCTTCGGTCACGCAGTTGTTTATCTGGAGAGTTAAAACTCCACTGATGTTGGTCATGAAGTATTTGCTGCTCTGATGAATCTCCTTTCCATTGTGGAACCATTTGATCTCCGGTTCAGGTTTGGCTTGGATATTCAAAGTAAACTTTGTGTTTGAACCGTATGGCACACGATGAGATCGCATCCTGATGGTAATACGTGGGGCATGATCAAGGCTGAAGGGAGCCTGTGTTACAACTTCAACTGTCCTCTCAACAGACCTTCTCTCAGATCTAATTGCCTGTTTTCTCTCCTCATACCTAGACAAATAGTCCACTTTTGGATAAGTAGCATCTGTTTTTGAAGCTTTTTCTAAGGCAAAAGATTTTGCCACCTCTGGTTCAGGCAAGGGAACCTTTTTTATGGGTTTAGGAATATATTCTGTGGCAAAAGTTGTCAGATGCTCAGATTCAGTGGTCTCAGAGAAGGTTGAAACTGAAACAGCTTCCTTCTTAGAGGTCCGTGTCTTCTCCTCAAATTCCATGCGTTTAAGTTGACTTTTGTAAGAAGAAAGTCTCTCCGTGGTTGTATGTGGGCGTAGCAGTTCAAGATCTTCCCTCTCTTCGTACACTCGTTGCTTCTGTCTTGGAGGCCTGTGTGTGGCTTTGTCGTGACGCTGGCGAAGGTCAACAAAAGTAGGTCCGGCCTCATACTTAGAAGGAATTCTATAGCAATCATATCTTTTCACCTCTTCTCCTCCTTCCTCATCACTGTAGACTCTTCTGGGAGATGTTGGGCGCAAAGCAGACAGCTCAAATCGAACTGGGCTCAGGCTAGGTGGAGAAGCAGAATAACCAAGTTCCAGCTCTTCCTCTAAACGGAGTCTCTCTTCCTCTGTTCTTTTCATTGAGAGATATTCGCCTGCAGGTAGTAGCAGCTCCTCATCTGAGAGATCTCCCAGAGACCTCCTTCTGAGCCGGCGGTAGACCTCTGTCTCCGGAGAGGGAGTGCGATGCCTTGCGGGCCTCACTGTCTCTAAGTCATCCTGCGTCGTAGAGGAGATGCGCCACTTTGGCTTATAATCTTCCTTGATCCTGATGGGTACCTCATAGAACTGCTCCCACCGAGACAGACGGATACGTTTCATTCTCTTCTGTTTGATTTTATCCATTGGCTCAGGGAACTCATATTGATCCCGCAGCTTCTTGTACCATTTCATGTCAGAGAGGGGCTGGAAGTGTTTTATTTCTACATCCTCCTCTAGAACAGCTGGATTTATGACTCGAGGTGTAGGAACGACATAAGGCATGCGAAGCCTTTTCTCATCAGCACGCTTCTTCCTCTCCTCCTGTTCTTTCTTTATCTCAGCCTCAGTCTTCTCTCCTGTCTTGGTTTTGACAGCAGGTTTGAACATAGTAGCTGCCTCTCTGACAGCTTCTACTGCTGCAGGTGGGAGAGGTGTGACAACAGTGCCAGTCAATATCTGAGACAGCCTAACCTTTTTATCCAGTTCCACCTGTCCAGCTATCTTTTGCTTCTCCTTTTCGCTTGGCTCATACTCCTTCTTTACATGAGTTACTCTTTCCACTTTAAGAGTTGCCTGGCAGCTGGCAGATCCAGCAGAGTTCGTTGCAGTAACTCTGTATACTCCAGAGTCCTCAGGGAGTGTGTCTCTTACATGAAGGATGTAGTAATCCAAGCCCTCGTGAACAACTTCGATGGATGGTCCAAAGGCTAAGGGTGTGCCATCTTTCTCCCACTTCAGTGCTGGGTGGCCAGAAACTCTGATCTCAAATCGGATGTTTTGACCCTCTTTACACTCAATGTTTGCAAGCAACCGTTTAAACATGGGTCTCAAGGTGAGGTCTGCTGGTTTGGGGCGGGGAACAACAGTGAGGCGGGCCTTGCAGCTGTCATCACCATACCTGTTGCGGGCCACAACACTGTACTCAGCATCATCCTCTTTTTCTAAGTTGTGGATTATAAGCTGATACAAGCCTTTATCACTAATGAAGGTGTATTTTCTATCATCATGTCCAGGGATAAGTTTTTGTCCGGATTTGTGCCAGATGACACGAGGCTCAGGGTGAACGGTGATGGTTACGCCAAAGCGTATATCTTCACCAAGATAGGCTGTGCGGTTGACCAGGGGAAGAGTAAACTCTGGTGGCTTCTGAAGCATTCGGGCTGTGTCCACTCTTCGCTTTGTCCTTCTTATCACACGAGTAGTGAAGAAGTCACGGTAAGATCGAACCCCACTGACAAATAGCTCTGCATAAGCGCTATCCTCACCATACTCATTCACAACCTTGCATCTGTATGTACCGTCATCTGCTCTAACGATCTTGTTAATGGTTATTACAGCAACTCCGTCCTCATACTCAATTTCATACTTTTCTCCGGTCTCAAGTTGCCTCACACCACAATACCATGTAACTTCTGTGGTGCTGTCATAATTCTCAATGTTGCAGATGAACTTCACACTATCTCCTTCACTGACCATGGCATGGCTTAGCTGGCCCGCAACGGGGCCATGTTCAAATGGAGCAATGTTGACTTTAGACACAAAAACACCACGCTGGGGCCGGATGGAGCCACCGCTGGCAACACGGGCAGCAGAAACTACTGTGCTCCATTCCTTCTTGACAATTGCCTGGTAGTATCTCTTGTGTCTGCCTGTTGGAAGTGCCCTGGCACTGATCTCTTCTGCAGGTTTTGTCAGCCAAGGATGCACCAGAGCCTCAGCTGCAGTCATACGGTGCTTACGGTCCTTTGTCATCAGACGGTCAATGAAGTCTAAGGCTTCTACGCTGACTTGCTTGAAGGACTCATCATCATAGCCATAGGCTGCGTTTGAAATGTTATCAATCATTTGTTGGTTGGTTTCAGCTGTGAATGGATTAAGTCCACTTAGAAGCACATATGTAAGGACACCTACTGACCACATGTCAGTAACTGTGCTAACCATGTCACACTGGTGGATCTCGGGGGCAGCGTACTCTGCAGTAGTGTATTGAATTTTGATTTGTTCTCCTGGAGTCAGATGTCTAGACTGCCCCAATTCAATGATCTTGACAGTTGAGCTGGTTCTCGTTGTGTATACAATGTTCTCAGGTCTGATATCAAAGTGTCCATATCTCTCAGAATGCAGGTATTCCAGAGCTGAACAAATCTGCCTAATATAGTTAACAACCTCCCGTTCATTGAGCTCAAACTCTGCTGTATTAAGGTGCTCAAAGATGTCTTGGCCAGAGATGAAGTCATAGATCAGCACCAGCTCTTCTGGGCTTTCAAAGGACTCATGAAGGAGGAGGAAGTTAAAGTGCTTGGCCAAATTGATTGTTGCAATTTCTTTTTTAATTATTGCTTGATCAGCACCTCTAACTTTCACAAATTTGGCCATGTATGTCTTCTCAGAGCTGATGTCAACGCAGCGATGAACAATGCCAAATTGGCCTCTGCCCAGTTCCTCTGCAATGGAATATTTGTTGTGCAGATTCTTGGTGTCAGAGTGTGGGGCTTTGCCTTTGCGGACTCGGTCAGTGTCATCAACTTCCCTGTCATAAAGCAGAACTCTGGATTTGTCTTCTTTGGTCATAACGGGTCCACTGCTCTCAGATGGGGCACTCTGTCCAAACTTGTTCTCTGCAATAACTCTGAACTGATAGCTTGTACCACCAAACAAATTAATCACTGTGTAGTGGGTGTCACGGGACTGTGCAACACGTTCCCACCGCTCAGCAGTAGTTGGACATTTTTCAATGATATAACTTATAACCCTGCTGCCACCATCATTGGCTGGAGCCACCCAGTTGAGTGTGACAGAATCTCTTGACACATCACTGGCTTTGACACCACGAGGTGGATCGGGCACATCAGCAACATCCAACTCCACGGTTTGTTGATCAATGCCAAATCTGTTCTTGGCACAGACGATGTAAAAGCCAGCGTCTTTCTTTTCTACTCCATTGGCGAACACCAAAGAGGTGAAGGATCTAGTGACAATCACCTGGTAATGGCCATTGCTGTCAATAAGATCTTGTCCCTTTTGCCAAGTGATGACAGGATCTGGTTTACCACTGAAAGGAATCTTAATATTGACCACTTCCCCACGCAGAGCTGGGATTGCTTCCTTGTCCTTTAGGTTCTTTGGCAGATGAATCTTGGCAGGGACTAGAAATAAGAAAAAAAAAACGTTATATGATTTTAATGTTAAAATTCAATAGCCTTAATTGATCAAATGACATGTCTTTAAGCTTACTTTCAACATCTAGAGAGACTGTGGCACATATCGAGCCTCCTTGGTTGGTGGCTCTGATCTGATAAACAGTAGAGTCTTCCTCATCAGCCTCAGTGATAACCAGCTGGTGATATCCTCCCTTAAATTCCTGGATTTTGATCTTCTTGCCATCTGAATGGATCTCCTTTCCTCGTCTGAACCATTTAATTACAGGTTTAGGTTGTCCTGTGATCTTGCAGACCAGGGTAGCATTGCTCTTGTACTTGACACTCATGTTCCTCAGCTCCTCCTTGAAGGCAGGTGCGCGTACATCTACAGCAGTTGCTGGGATGATGGGAGCCGTCTCTTCGCTGTAGTCACTTTCTCCACCTAGGTTTTCACACTTGACACGGAAGACATATTCAACGCCTTCTGTCAGGCGCTTGACAGAGAACACTGTTTGTTTGATCTCATCTGTGGTAACTGGAGTCCAATCAGTCCATTCCTTTTTATCCTTCTTATGTTTCTTTTCAACACGGTAGCTTTTTATCTTAGATCCACCATCACTTACTGGAGGTTTCCAAGAAAGCACACATGAGTCCTTAGTGATACCAGACACGACTGGTGACAGTGGTGGTGATGGTTTCTCTGTGGATAAATAAAGAGAAAAAACTGTGAAGACTTTTGCATTGAAGCCTCGGTTGTACATTTTGCAATATTAAGCAAACCATATTTTCTAAAATAAATCCTGACATCATCTTCCCCTTACCCAGTTGGCTCTTAATCAAGATGGGGTTGGTGAGCTCTAGTGGCTCACTGTTGCCATATCGATTCTGAGCATAAACACGGAAAAAGTATCCAGCACTGTCAATCAGGTTGGGCACCCGACAGGATGTGCTGTTAATGGAGGAAGACACCAGTTCCCACTCGGTGCCCTCCTTGTCTTCTCTCTTTTCCACAATATAGTTGGTGATCATACAGCCTCCATCATCTTTGGGAGGTTTCCAGCTGATGATGACAGAATTCTTAAGGAGGGCCTCCAGGACAATGGGTCCCTGAGGTATATCAGGTTTGTCTGTGAAGAGAGGTATAGGATGTCATTGTATAAAAATCTGGCAATGCTTATCTTTCACTCACTGTATTAGGAAGAGTTAATTCAGTTAACTTACCATAAATTTCAACATTGAAGGCCGTGTCAGCCCTGCCAAAGTGGTTATGCAGTCTAATCCTATATTTGCCTCCATGGACTCTGCGCTGGACATTCTTTACAATCAGGTGTGTGTAATGCTCAGTGGTCTCAATGCTAATATCCTCTGTGTTTTCCAGCGTTTTAGCCCCAAGCAGCCACATAATCTTTGGCTGAGGACGGCCAATATAAACGGCATGGATGCGAAGAGTTGTTCCAAGTCCGGCATAATAGGTTTCTTTCAGTGGGTAATCTGGGTGGAAGGATGGAGCAGCCTCCAGCACTAGAACACCAGTAGTCTCAGCTTCTCCTGCTTCATTAATGGCCTTGCAGGTGTATTCCCCTTCGTCTTCCTGCTGGTCTGTCATGATAGACAGGGAGTGGTTGCGGCCATCAGAGCTCATCTCGTACTTGCGTGACTCTACGATCTCTTTGCCACAATGGTACCACTTTATATCAGGTACAGGTCGGCCAACAATCTGGCATTTCATAACAGCAGGCTGGCCAAGCTTGGTAGTGACCTCATCCATTTCCTTCCTGAGGCTTGGTTTACTTTCAGCTGTGGGTAAAAATTATAAATGTAATATATCTTATTAAATCCGTAGTATATAGTAAAAAATATATGAAGCTCGACTTACAGATCAGTTTAGTCTTGATGCATGTGGCAGTCCTACGAGGTCTACTCATTCCTGTCTCATTCTCAGCAAAGACTCTGAACTCGTATTCTGTGGCCTCAGCCAGTCCTGTCATGGTAAATTCCTGCTCCTTAATTCTCTGTTTATTGCACTTCTTCCAGGAACTCTCAATTGACTTTCTGTATTCCACCCAGTAGCCCAGGACTTCTTTCCCTCCGTCACATTCTGGAGGTTGCCAGCGAATGGTGATAAAATTGTTTGTCACATTTACTGTGTCGATCTCTCCTGGTTGGCTTGGTTTGTCTAAAATGAAATAAAACATTTAGGTCAGCTTTGTTTTCTCTTACATTGTGAAGTATAGATTCCTGTCAAATATTTAATGTAAAACTAAAGGTGGAACAACTTTTGCATTTACCGTTACTGAAGGTTATCTTTCTCAGGGAAAAAAGTTTAGTTTTAATCAGAAAAAATAACTATGAGTTAACACAAATAGTTAGATCTCAGTTCATTCATTCATTTACTTCAGTTACTGCAAACTTGTAGTAACTGCTGACTGCAAACATGTAGTATACCATATCATCTTCTCAGGACAGAATACTCACCAAATGGATCTTTGCAGGTGACGGGATCGGATGCTGATCCAGCCTCGCTTTCACCTATATCGTTGACTGCTACAATGCGGAATTGATAGTCTGTATCAGGGGTAAGTCCATGTAGCGTAAACATGGTGGAGCTGATCTTGGTCTCATGGCGGACCCAGGTCTCAGTGGACACCTCCTTTAACTCCACAAAATAGCCAGTGATTGCAGAACCTCCATCATCCTTTGGTCTGGACCAGGCCAGTGCCACTGAGCTTTTGGTGACATCCATGATCTCTGGAGGGACACTTGAAGGCTCAGGGGGACCTGGTTTTTTGACAAAAAAAGAATTCCAATCTATGCAGACACAAATGGATGACTTAATACTTTTCAGAGACAGCTGCTCAACAGAGATGTAAAACTTACAGAGAGGAGTCTTCGGTACCAGTGGTTGCTCAGATTTAAGAGATGCACTGATGCCAAAGGAGTTTTCAGCAGTGACTTTGAAGTGGTACTCTGTTCCCTCTTTTAAACCCTTAACGACCAGCTGAGTCTCTGTTACCCTAGAGTCCACCGTGTACCAGGCATTCCTGGCTGCTTCACGCCTCTCTACAATGTAACCAAGGATCTCTGAGCCACCATCATCGCTGGGTGGCTTCCAAGAGACCTTGACAGAATTGGCTTGGATTTCTTCAAACACCAATGGTCCCTCTGGAGCACTTGGGCGGCCAATGATCTTGACCTTAATTTGGGCTTTCTTCTTGCCTACTTTGTTCTCCAGCAGTAGCTCGTATAGACCAGAGTCACTCCTCTCTGCTCCCTTGATTACCAATTCACTGGAGTCCTCACTGGAGGCAATCATAGCCTTTGTGGAGATAGCTCCAGTATCCTTAGACCACTTGCAGGTTGGGAGGGGTTTGCCTTTTATCGGCACAGAGAGTCTAACCACTCCTCCATAACGGACAATGTACACATCTTTATATTTCAACTCCAGTTCATAGTCAGGAGATTCTGGAAAACATAATATTCGTAATTTTTAATTTTTTTAATCTCATAAACTTTGTTGTTGTGCAGACGCAGTAAAGTTTTCTTCTTACCAAGCCTTTCAGTCACTTTAACCGTTCCTGGTACTTCTGCAGGTTCTCCGGAACCTCCAGCGTTACAAGCCATTACACGGAACTTAAATTCCTCTCCTTGCGGCATGTTGGTCAGTGTGTACTCGCAGATCAGAGATGGAGTTGTGTTGCACTTGATCCAAGCGACAGAGCCGACCTTCTGCATCTCAATCAAATAACCATCCACCCTAGCATCTCCCTCCTCATCAGGTGGGCTCCAAGCAAGCGACACAGATGACTTGGTAGTGTCTGTGAGCCTTGGGTTTTGAGGACAGCCAGGAGGATCTGCATGAATAAAAAAATAGGCAAAATGTTGAAGATGCATCGTTACTCACTTTTACAAAGCTTTTCATGGAAATATTTGTAACTTTGCAGAGGTATATCCTCAGGCCTTGGTTTTATTACACTTACCAATGGGATCTGTTGCTACTGCTGGTTTAGATGGAAGACTAGGTTTGCTCAGGCCTCTTGCATTAATGGCTGTGACTCTATGTTCATACTCCAGGCCTTCAATCAGCCCAGTGGACCTGTACCTGGTCATAGTGACTGGGTTCTTATTTGCCCGCACCCACCGGTCAGCCCTGACCTCTTTGCGCTCAATGATGTAACCAGAAACCTCAAGACCACCATCTTCATCTGGTTGCTCCCAAGCCACAGTCATTCCATCACGAGACACATCAAAGGTGATTGGACGACCAGGAGGACCAGGCACATCTGTAAAGGAAGCAGATTTTAGCATTCTGCCTCTGTCATAATGCATGCATTGTATACAGAGTATAATCTATAAAAACAAAGATCTTACTCTTCAAGCTCTTGCAAGTGACAATCTCAGACTGCAGGAACTCCCCGGTTCCATAGCGATTAATGGCAGCTACGCGGAAGACGTACTCATCTCCTTCAATTAGGTTCTCAAACCTGAACAATGGTCTGCTTACAGAGTCAGAGACAGTCACCCAGCCTGGTCTGTGAGCATCACGCTGTTCTACTAAATAGCCACTGATAGGAGCTCCACCATCTCTGACTGGAGGCTCCCAGCTGCAGGTGACAGTGGTGGCATCAATCTCATCAAACCGTATGGGTCCATTTGGTTCATCGGGTTTGGCTGACAAAGCAGAGAAAGATACTCGGTTTTTATTTGTGCCCTCCAGATCATGATAATGCAAAAAGTACATTTAAATTCAAGTTGATCACATCATTATTCTGTTCATTAGCTACATCTTTAGAGATGGCTGGTTGGTATTGGTTTAAAAGTCTCTACAATAATAAGCGATTAATTAAAAATGAGGATTGTTAAACAGCTTCTTACAGAGAATGACGACCTTTATGACCTCTGTGACGACTCCAACAGCATTCTTGACTTCGAGTGTGTAGTCACCACTGTCATCAATTGTTGTGTTGGACACAGTCAGCTTGGAGAACTTGCCAGTGCTCTTGACCTTCACACGATCTGTTATCTTTATCTTGTTGTCCGCAAAATACCAGGAGGAGACAGGAGGAGGCCTGCCGATGATTGGAAGGTCCAGTTCCAACGTCTTACCCGCCAAAACATTGACAACTTTCTGGGGAATGCTGGACAAATCTACTTCAGGCATCACTGAGAGAAAAAAGGAAATCTTATATCACTATGACTAATGTTGCACTAAATCTTTAGGGTAAAATCAGTTTCTTATTAAAGTCAAAATACAGATAGCAGAGCTCTGTTTGGTTACCTCTTTGTTCCTGGACAGTGACCGCAGCAACAAGTTCTTGGGGCTCACTGGCTCCTCTGCTGTTGATAGCTTTAATCCTGAACAGGTATTGCTCTTTCTCATTTAACTTCTCTACGGTGTGCTCAAAGTCTGTTAGTTTCAGTGTTGCCACCTTCATCCATTTGTCAGTACCAAACTTGCAAGCTTCAATCATGTAACCAGTCAATCTGCTGCCACCATCGTGCTCCGGCTTCTCCCAGGACAGAGTGACTGTGCTCTTAGTGACGTCTATCACCTCGAATTTATGCGGTGGAAGAGGAACTTCACAGACCAGGATGACGTCTGGAGTCTCACAGGGCTCACCGATTCCATATATGTTTTCTGGGAGGACGCGGAAGTAGTAAAGCATGCCCTCCATGAGGTTATCAATCTTATAGGAGGTCTTACTGCACTTGGAGGTTACTGTTTTGTAGGCTCTCATGGAGGCTTCACGCCTCTCGATGATATAGTTATTAACAGGAGCACCACCATCAACAGATGGGGCCTCCCAGGAGATGATGGTGGAGTCTTTTGTGAGCTCATTGATCTTGATTGGCCCAGTTGGTCCAGGTGTATCTTAAAATATAAGAAATGCATTTTCATGTCAAATACAAAATAAAAGATCCCCTTTTCAAGCTTGTAAAATGAACATTAATTACAGTAGGCAGTTTAATTGTTGATCAGATACTCAGACAGTTTTTTACTCACCATAAACCTTGACAAGAATACTGACTTCCTGTTTTCCAGCAGAATTCTCAGCTACCAGTGTGTACTTCCCAGCATCATAGCGGTGCACCTTGTCAATGATGAGAGTGGTTGATTTTCTGGTGACTTCGATGAAGCCTCTGTTATGGAGGTCAACACCAGGTTTGCTCCATGTTACAGCTGGGGCAGGACGACCTGTTATGTTCACAAATAGACGAAGAGAGCCACCGGCACGCAGGCAGATTGTCTTTTTGAGGTCGTCGTGGAGCTCAAAATCAGGAGGTTCTATGAGAGACATAGATGATGTGATGCAAAATGTAGTAGAAGGGAATTTCATTAAATTCAGTAAAAAAAAAATATTTTTGGCTGAGAAAAATGAAAACAAATGAAAAAAAGTAATATAGGCCTTTAAAAGGTCTTACCAATTCGTTCCACAGGCTCAGTCTCAGCACATGGTTCACTGAAGTCTCCTGTTCCATTAATGTTGATTCCAGCCACTCTGAAAGAGTACTTCTTTCCTGAAGAAAGTCCGGTTACCACATGCTCTGTAGCATGCAGGGTCTTCTCATGGGCCTTTTTCCAGTCCTCTGCCCCAGCTTCTTGCATCTCTAGAATGTAGCCAATCACATCAGCGCCTCCATCCTCTACAGGTCTAGACCATGCCAGGCTGATGCTGTCAGCATGCGTGTCAGTGATTCGAGGAATGGAAGGCGGAGCAGGGGTACCTAAGAAGTAGGGATGCAAAAGTTAGTTTATCTCTGTCTTTAAATAGTTCACTGATAATAAATTGAATCACTCTTGTTATATTATTAATGAACAGAATATTCAAAGATTCTTATTGAATTGGACATTTAGGACTCTGATGCAACATACTTGTTGGAACTCTGCAGACGACGTAAAGAGAAACCTCGCTGGGCTCACTCTCTCCAGCTTTATTGATAGCCGTTACCCTGAACTGGTAGATGTTGCCTTCAGTCAAACCGGCCACCTTTAGCATGGTGTCCAGGTGAGCACCATCCCTGTTCACCTTTACCCAGCGGGCACTCTTCCTCTCACGTCTTTCCACCAGATAATGAGTTATCGGGCTGCCACCATCACTTTCTGGTTTTAGCCACTCAATTGTGGCAAAGTCCTTCCCTGATACAAGGATCTCTGGGGCCCCAGGAGGAGTGGGCACAGCTAAGGGACAGATAGGAAGATAAACAATCAGTTTAGTGAAATGGTGATTATGAAATAGAGCCTTGAGTAGGTCTCATTGGTATTTTTATATTTTCAACCCAAAGTTTTTCCATATTGATTCTCAAAGATTCCGCTTCTTGTACTTACTGAATGTGTTTCTGGCCACCATTGGCTCTGACTGGAGGTAAACCCCCGCACCATACTTGTTGACCCCCCGAACTCTGAACAAGTACTCTGTGTTCTTGAACAGACGGGTGATGTTGCATGTCAGGTCCTTGCACTCAGGATTCAAGATCACCCAGTTCAACCTGTTGGTGTCACGCCTCTCTACGATGTAGTGTGTGATGTTATCCCCACCATCCTCAAGAGGAGGCTTCCAGCTCAATGTGCATGACTCCTCTGTTATCTTGCTGATCTCAATGCTGCCTTCACATACTCCAGGTGTGTCTAGACAGGATCAAAACATACTTAAAGTAAATACCTTTGCAACAAATGCACTGAATATTGTCTGAGACTACAAGTGATTCAATTGGTGAAGAACAAAAGGCACTTACCAAGCACTTTGACATTGACCTCTGCAGTCTTGGTTCCACTCACATTTCTGGCAGTCAGGATGTATTTTCCAGTATCATCTCTGTCACAGAATTTGATAATTGCCATAGCTCTAGTGGGTGTGTACTGCAGGTGATATTTCTCACACATCTCCAATTCCCTGTTGCCTTTGGACCAGAAAGCCTTAGGATCAGGTCTACCCCCGACTGCAGCATCCAGAACCAGGTCTGAGCCGGCTCTGACCATTACAGTTTCAGAGAGCAGCTTGCTGTCCAAATGTGCTTTAGGAGGCTCTGTTCAGTGGATTAACAGATCTTAAAGTTAGGTCATGTCTTAAAACTTGCTACATATAGTATGGAAGATATTAGTGCAAGGAAAAAACTCTTACCAAAATCAGTCTTGCACTGCACTGAACCTGTGGATTCCGACGGTGTACTGAATACTTGGTTGGCATTTTTTGCAATCACCCTAAATTCATAGGCCTCTCCTTCTCCCAGGGCAGTGACGGTGTAGAAATTATCCGTCACGTTAGTGTAGTTGCACTTGAGCCAGCGGCCCTCACCCGTCAAAGTGTATGGCTTTCTTTCAATAATGTAGCCAACAATAGGACTGCCACCATCATTCAAAGGAGATGACCATTTCAAGGAGACAGTGCTTCTTGTGACATTGGTGACTTCTGGTTTACTTGGAGGATCTAAAGACAAGTCCCAAGATATTTTGTCAGATAAAAATTTCTAATTAAAAGAAACAGTATAGGTATTATGCAACTAAACAGCAAAACTTACCAACTGGGTTTTGAGCAACTGCTCCCTTAGAGGCCTCACTGGCTTTACTGAGCCCAGCACTGTTCATGGCATAAACCCTGAACTGGTATTCCAGGCCTTCAACCAGACCTTCTACCTTGTAGTAGCATTCAAAGCATGGGATATTATTCTCTCTAACCCATAATATATTGTTCCTCTCCTTCTTTTCAATCCAATAGCCTGTCACTTTGCTTCCACCATCGTGGTAGGGTTCCTCCCATTTCAGGGTCATTGTGTTTGCTGTGACGTTAAAGACTGAAGGTTTGGTTGGTGGGCCTGAAGGTGCTGTAATAAGAAATCAGGTTTGGTCATTAGATTTTATTTTAAAAAGACCATGCAATTAAGATGTTTTGATAATGTATTTAATGCATAATTTTAAAAGAAAGGAAAATATAACCTGAAGGTAACACTTACAGAAAGGATGTTCTGCAACAATCGTCTCGGATTCTGTGGGCTTGCTCACCCCAAATCTGTTCTCAGCTGAGACCCTGAATGTGTATTGCATATATTTGGTTAGGTGACTAACGTGAAGAGATGTTCGCTTCACACTGGAGTTGATCAGCTGCCAAGCTGTGGAGCCAGATTCACGCTTCTCTACGATGTAGTTGGTAATGTCAGTGCCACCATCATCCTCAGGTGGTTGCCAGTTAACAACACAGGACTCAGAGGTGATGGAAGAGATTTCAATTGGTCCAGTTGGAGGACTTGGTCTGCCAGTGACGTTAACTTCAACTGTAAATGTCTTCGTTGCTGTTACATTTTCAAGAGTGAGGTAGTATTTGCCTCCATCTCCTCTCATGGCCTCCTTGACTGAGATGCTGGCTCTGTCCTTTGTTACCTTGATGGTGACTCTGTCAGAGTTCTTCAGTCTCATTTCCTCCAACCTCCATGAGACTTTAGGAGCAGGTCTGCCACTAATAGGAACATCAATGGTGAAGGTGCTACCAGATCTGCATGTGACAAGTTGGTTGGGTATCTCACTCAGGTCAGCAGCAGGCTCAATATGAGGCTCTTTGACCAGCACAGGTGCTAGAGTTTTCTTTGGTTTGCTGTAGCCAGCCTCGTTTTTAGCCTTTACAAGGAAGTCATACTCATCACCCTTGTTAAGCTTTTCAATAACATAGGTAAGATTCTTGGTGCTTCCGACCACTACCCATTTGTCTCCACCTTTTGGTCTAGCTTCTATGACGTAACACTGAATGCGGCTGCCACCATCGTGGTCTGGCTTCAACCAGCCTAGTGACACAGAGGTATCCGTGGTATCAAGGACATCCAGCCTCTTTGGAGATGATGGCTCTGCTGTAGCAATAACCGGTTCAGTGAGCTCAAAGGCCTCCCCCAGACCATGTTGATTTTCAGCTGAGACTCTGAAGAAGTAAGGCACACCCTCGAGCAGGTCCTGGATCTTGAGGATACCCTGTGTGCATTTATCACCAGACTGCTGCCATGTGCGTCGACTAGCCTCACGCCTCTCAACAATATAGTGATGAATACGAGCACCTCCATCACTGACAGGTGGCTGCCAAACAAGTGTGACGGTGCCTCTGGAGACCTCCTTGAAAGCTACATTCTGTGGAGGCCCAGGTGTATCCAATACCTTTACTACAAAGGTAACAGCCTTACTACCGCTGGAATTCTCCAGGTTAACTGTGTATTTGCCTGTGTCATATCTAGAGCATTTTTCAATACTTAAAGAGCTGTAGCCATCAGTAGTAGTTATCTCTGACATCCCGCTCAAATCTCCTTCCTCTTTCACCCAGGTAGCAGCAGGGATGGGCTTTCCTCTGAAGTGAATGCCCAAACATACCGAGCCTCCAGCCTTGACAATGTGTGTTTGTTTAAATGTGGCATCAATGTCCACCTGTGGAGCCGTTAACCTCTCAACAGCCTGGGCAGGTTCTGGAAGTTCCTTGTCTTCACCTCTGCCTATATGATTAACAGCTGCAACACGGAACTTGTACTCAGCTCCTGTCTGCAGACCTGTCACCACATAGTTAGTTTCAGACACAAGTTCCTCATTTATCCTCTTCCACTCAGTTTCTTCTCCCTTCACCATTTCGATGATGTAGCCAAGGATATCCATGCCTCCATCATCAACTGGTTTTGTCCATTCCAAACTAATGGAGGTATTGGTAGAATCTGACACACAAACCACCGATGGAGCACATGGGATATCTCTAGGCTCAGAAGCCCTGATTGGTAAAGAGATGTTGCTTGGAGCCCCAACACCGGCATCATTAACAGCCATGACTCTGAACTCATATTCCACATCTTCTGCTAGGTTAAGCACCTTGTGAGCACATTCGATAATTGGCTTTTTGGTAATAACTTTATAGAACCGAGTAGTTTTCTTTTCTCGTTTCTCTAGAATGTAGTGCTGGATAGGGTTGCCTCCATCAGACGTTGGCGGGATCCAAGACAGTGTAATACTCTCCCCTGTCACCTCAGTGGCATCAGGGGTTCCTGGCGCATCAGGAGTTGCTAGGAGGAAACATTTTAATATTTTACAGCCAGTAACAACAAAGATCACAAACAATATATTCTTAAAAGCATTCTTTTTTATGACTTTTGCACTTACTGTATTGCAACTGTGCAATGATGGGACTGGATTCCAAAGGCCTGCCAACACCAAACTTGTTAACTGCAGACACTCTGAACTGGTACTCATTGGACTTGATGAGTTTGGTTGCATTAAATGTACACTCCTTGCATTCATCAGACACCAAAGCCCAAGATATCTTGGCTGTCTCCCGTTTCTCAATGATGTAATGTGAAATCTCAGAGCAGCCATCATTCTCTGGTGGGTTCCAAGACAGAGTGCACTTGCCCTCTGAAATATTTGTGAATGTGATCGGTCCTACCGGCTCCCCTGGTGTGTCTGCATTACAAAGATTCACATTAAAATAAATAAGTCACAGCTATCCAAAAATAAAAATACAAAAACAATACAATTGAAATGGAAAAAGAATGTCAGCAGTTCTTACCCTGGACTTGGATTATAATGCTCTCCTTTTTGGTTCCAGATCCATTGGTAGCTTCTACAGTATAGAGGCCACGATGTGAGCGGTCAGCATCTCGGACAAACAGGGTGCTGGATCCGGGAACATTAATAATGTCCATCAGCTTTTTGGTAATCTCCACATCATCTCTGTACCAGACAACTTTAGGAACTGGGCGTCCAGTGACGGTCACTTTTACTCGAATGTTATCTCCAGCCTTAACTGTCAAACCCTCGAAGTACTCCGGGCCAAACTCAATATTTGGAGCAGCTGTTTTAAGAAAGTTCATGTTAGTTTTATTGTTCATCAGTAAAAAAAAGGAAAGTTACATCCAGACTATTGGATCAATGGAAGTATTTCAGTGCCTGAATAACAGATTTTTAAAAATTTTATATCCATTAGCTTTAAACTGTAATATAAGATTCAAATTCTGTTGAAACTCACCATTTTCACTTCGTACAGCAATAAAGCCAGAGGAGTTGGATGGGGGACTGACAACACCAATAGCATTTCTGGCGATGACTCTAAACTCGTAACGTTCATTTGTCGTCAGTCCAGGGACAGTGTACTGACAGTCATGTACTTCAGTCAGATTGGCTTTGAACCAGCGACCATGTCCTTGACGCTTCTCGATGCTGTAGCTTGTAATCTTGCTACCGCCATCACGTTTTGGTGCATCCCATTTTAATGTGACTGAATCACTGGTCACATCAGTGTAATCAGGCTGGCCAGGGGGGTCTGAAAGAGAGGGAATTTAAAGAGGTAACATGGTAAACAAGTACTTCCCAAAACCTCAGATGTTTCAGAATGTTAACGTCTTAACTGGGACTTACCAACAGAGCTCACAGCCATTGTTGGCTTGCTTTCATCACTCATTCGGCTGAAGCCAGCATCATTCTGAGCGTAAACTCTAAAAGAGTACTCAAGACCTTCAATGAGCTCCAGAATCCTGTAGTCCAATTCTTTGATCAGGACTGTGTTCACCTTTTGCCACATGATGCTGTTCTTTTCCTTTTTCTCCACATGGTATCCCTGGATGGGGGTTCCACCATCATATATAGGTTTCTCCCACTGGATCGTCATGCCATCGTTAGTCACATTGTAAACAACTGGTTTTCCTGGTGGGCCTGGGGGCCTGAACTGGTGCTTGGCAATAACCATTTGTGAGATTAGAGGCTCACTGACACCATATCGATTTTCAGCACATACTCTAAACTGGTATTGAACGCCCTTGATCAAATTAGGGACCCGGAATTGTGTGTCTTCGACACGGGAGCAAGCCATCTTCCAGTTGGACTGGGTGGCATCACGTTTCTCCACTGTGTAGCAGGTAATTTCTCCTCCACCGTCATCATTTGGTTCATCCCAGGATATCATGATATTGTCAGCTCTGACTTCATCCAGGCGGATGGGTCCTACAGGCTTTGATGGTGGTCCAAGAGTATTGACAAAGATATGGAAGGACTTCCTGTTGACCTTGTTGTCAAGACTCAGAGTGTATTTACCCCCATTCTCCTTCTTCACATTCTTAATCATTAGAGTTGCCTTGCTTTGAGTTGTCTTGAAGCGAATTTGGTCACTCTCTTTCAGAGGCAGGCTGTCTTTTAACCACTGAACAGCAGGTCTTGGCTTGCCTTTGTATGGTAACTCAATATGTACATTATGACCAAGACGGATGTTAAGTCTACCACCTGGGTACTCTCTAAGGTCTGCCTCAGGAGTGATAATGTAGTCAATGACCTTAATAGGGCCATGCTCAACAAAGTCACCCTGCCCTTTCTCATTTCTGGCTGCAACTCTGAAGTACACATCTGAGTGCTCCTTGAGTTTCTTGACCTCAAATTCACACTGTCTGCTGACTCCTCCCAATGACCACTCCTCGTCCTTCAGCTTCTTCTCAATGATGTAGTCAGAGATGATGCTGCCTCCATCGTAATCAGGCTTAAGCCACTGGAGTGTCACAGAAGTCTTAGATGAATCTTTCATAGATATTTCTTTGACTGGTCCTGGAGTTTCTGTAGCCTTGACAGACTCATGTGTTTCACATGGATCACCAATACCATTCTCATTCTCTGCTAAGACACGGAAGGAGAAGGATGTTTTTTCTGACAGGTCTTCAATAGTGTATGTAGTGTCTACGCATTTGTTTGTTACTGCAGAGTAAGATCTCTTAGAGGAGTCCCTCTTCTCAACAATGTAATTTGTTATCTCAGCTCCACCATCAAGAAGTGGAGGATCCCAACAGAGTGTGACCTTTCCACGGGTAACTTCCTTGATGGCCAGGTTCCTGCACTGAGCTGGGGTGTCCTGTACCTTCACAGACAGAGTCAGCATTTTAGGTTCTCCAACACCATTCTCTATCTTGACTGTGTACTTTCCAGTGTCAAGTCGGGTCACTTCACGCATGATGAGCACTGTTGTTGTGTCTGAGTGGTGGAACTCATATTTGGGATTATGATCTATGCATTCTTCCCCTTTGCTCCAAGAAGCCATGGGAGCAGGTCTGCCCTTCAGTGGAACAGTCAGCTCAACGTCTTTTCCTGCCTTCAGAATGTAGTGAGTTCTCATGGCAACATCTGAGTCAATCTGGGCTTCCTCTGTAAAGGTTACAAACATTTTAAGGTTAAAAAGATTTAGATAAATCTACGTTAGATATATTTTTTGCCAATCTTAAATATATTTATATATTACCCAAAATATCTTTGGCCTGCACAGGCTCAGTCATCTCTAAAGGTTCTCCTCGGCCAGCACAGTTCAAAGCAGAAACTCTGAAAAAGTAGTTTGTATCTGGTTTTAGATCATGAACTGTGTACTCTGTAGTCTTAACCTCGCCCTTGGAAGTAATCATTGCCCAGTCTTCTTCGCCTTCAACAAGCTTCTCCAGCATATAGCTGGTAACCTCACTACCTCCATCCCATTCTGGTTTTGACCAACCCAGGGTGATTGATGTCTTTGTGGAGTCCACAACCTTTAGCTTGCAGGGCTCATCTGGTGGATCTGTGAATAAAAAAAGATGAGTTAGAGAAGTAGAGTAAAAAAATGGTTGGCATATAAATCTCAAAGTTTATCTTATCACGTACCAACTGGGTCAGCAGCCTTATAGTAGTCCGATACCTCAGAAAACGGCCCCTCACCAGCTTTGTTAATTGCACATACACGATACTGGTACTCATTTCCTTCTGTCAGGTGGTACACCATCTGTTTGGTGTCAGTGATGGGATCTTTATACACTCTAATCCAGCGTGAGCTCTTTTTATCACGTCTCTCTAAGTAGTAGCCAGTCACAGGGCTGCCACCATCCACTCCCGGTTTGTCCCATTCTACTAACATGGTGGACTTGGTAGTAGTGTTCACTTCTGGAGTCCGGGGTTGACCAGGAGTTACTTTGGAAAAAAAGGCAAAAATATATATTATTTTAGGGGAAACTATAAAAATATCAGTGTTTCGTAATAAAATGGTATAAGTAGTATAAAAAAACAAACAAAATCAAAATGAGTATTTAGTGTTACACAATAAGGAAATTATTAAACACTTAAAAACAACCTACCAAAGGCATTCTTAGCAATGACAGGGTCAGACTCAAGTGGCTCTCCAACTCCAAACTTGTTAACTCCCATTACTCGGAAGACATATTCATTTCCACGCACCAGCTTTGAAACTACAATGTGTGTTTTCTCATGTCTCTCTGAAACGGTTGACCAAACCACTCTGCTGGTCTCCCGCCTCTCGACAACATAGTGGGTAACTTTGGAACCTCCCTGGTCAGACTCTGGAACAGGCTCCCAGCTGAAGATTATCCGATCTGCTGTTATTGAGTTGAAATTAATCAGGCCAGCTGGGGGTCCAGGTTTGTCTTAAAGAGAAATGAAAGGCATGTGAACATTAAATATACACCCTTGTATTCATTTCTAATTTTATGAAATAGGATATGACATATAACAGAGAATTAAGTGCTTGAAGTACCAAGTATTTCAATCCTGATTGTAGAAGAGGCAGATCCCAGAGAATTTTTTATCTTAATCTCATATGAGCCAGTGTCAAAGCGAGTGGCATCCTTAATCAGAACAGCAGAAGAGTCTGTTGTACTTTCAACAGACACATTAGAAGAGGTTACCAGCTCCTTTCCATCCTTGAGCCACTCAATAGTTGGCAGAGGCTTCGCAATAATTCCTACGCTTAGTTTTACTGACACTCCGGCTTTATACTGGACCACGTCAAGGTACTCAGGAGGAAGATCAATTGCTGGGGCACCTGTGAGAAAAATATATTTTGAATATCAAACAAATAATAACAAAGCAAAGCATCATGAAAAAGATAAAAACAAATTCATAGCCTACCACATGCATCAACACAGGTGACTGGGCCAGCAATAAGAGATGGGTTACTGACAGACCCAACAGCATTTTTGGCATATACCCTGAACTCATAAGATTCATCTTGATTAAGTCCATATACAGTGAAGCCAAGCTCAATGATGTTTGTAAAGTTGGCCTTCACCCATCTGCCATTAGGGGCTTCCCTCCTCTCCACACTATAGCCAGTAATCTTGCTTCCTCCATCATATGGTGGGCGTTGCCAAGCAAGGGTGACAGAGCTCTTCGTGACTTCTGTGACACGAACATTTGCTGGGGGCTCTAGAGGATCAATGTGGAAAACATCCAAGTTAAGTGAAATAAAATAATTTGTTAAAAGGAGCTTTTCATATTGTATATATAATCAATCTTAAGGTAGTGATTTGAAATAAAAATATCAAAGATTAACATAGGTTTACATCAAACTATGCCTGTTTAGGGCAGTATTGTGAAATAAAAGACTTACCACAGGCATCAATAGCAAGCACTTCTTCAGATGTCTTGCTCATCTTTCCAATACCAGCAGCATTTTCAGCTGCTACCTTGAATTCGTAGATGAGACCCGGACAGATATTTGTAACCCGCCACTGGTTTATTGGTATGGCGGTTTTATTAACCTTCTGCCATAGGATGCTGCTTCTCTCTTTCATCTGGAGGTGATACCCAATTACAGGGCTTCCGCCATCACTGACTGGCTCATTCCAGCACACAGTCAGACTCTCTCTGGAAACAAAGCTAACCCACGGGGTGGACGGAGGACCCGGGATTACTGAAAGAGAACAGCATTTTGGAACAGTTGTTAAGAAAGGGCAATCAGTCATAAAACCACAGATAAAGAACATTTTTTTTAAAATGACTTACCGTAAGGCAGCTTGATCATGACTGGTTTAGTGTCTATGTGGCTGCTCACACCATAGCGATTCTCAGCCTTGATTCTGAACTGATACTCTTCTCCCTTGGTTAGCTTAGTCACCTTGATGGCACTTCTAGCAATGCTAGTTGACACCTCTACCCAAGCAGGAGTACTTGTTTCACGCTTTAGAACAATGTAGTTGGTAACAGGACTGCCACCATCATATTCTGGAGAATCCCACTTTAGACAAACAGAGGTCTCTCCGACCTCTCCTATCTGAACTGGACCAACTGGAGGTCCAGGTCTGTCCAGAACGATGAAAATAAGCGAGATCTTGGTTGTACCTCCTGCATTTGAGGCTGTGATTTCATATTTGCCTGCGTCACTTGAAACGCTTTCTTTTAGAGATACAATTAGGCTGTCAGGAGTTACTTCAGTCAGAAGTCTCTTGGATCCTTTGATGAGAACATTATTTTTGGACACTGTCACCTTTGGCAGGGGCTTGCCAGTGAGAGGAATCTCAAAAGTCAGGTCAGATCCCGCTTTTACATAAACTGTATTCTTGGGATAGTTCTTCAAGTCAAACTCTGGAGCCTCTGTTAAAGAAAATCAGGACAACAATATGAAACATGATCAAATACAACTTCAAATAAAATTTACAGCACACATAGTTGCTCAACTTTGAAAGTGTAGGCAATAATACATTTACCTTTAAGCTACATGCAGATCTGAAAGTTAAGTTATATTTTTATATTGAATAACAAAATCTTGTAGAAAATAAAATTAAAAATACCCTGTATTTCCTTGACGATAACTGGAACAATCATCTCCTTAGGTTCACTGAGTCCAGCATGGTTTTCAGCACGAACTCTGAAGAAGTACTCAGCTCCTTCCCTCAGATTCTTAATGGTATGAGTCAGGTTCCTTACAGTTGCACACTTCACCCACTTGGTCTGACCCTTTTCCACGGCATCGATCAGGTAACCAGTGATTCTGCTTCCACCATCATATTCTGGTCTTGTCCAGGCAAGTGTAACACTGTCTTTGGTAACATTTGCAACTCCAAGTTTCATGGGTGGACTTGGTACCTCTGAAACACACAGTTTTAATTTTTATTAGCTTATGCATGGACAAAGTCACACGTTTGTGATTGATTAATCTATCCTATATATGTATATACACCCATTTATATTTATATATATATATACCTGTAATCTTTGTTCCTCCCTTGGCCTCTTGAGGTACACCCACTCCATTTTCATTTTCTGCTATAACTCTGAAGTAATAGACAGCTCCCTCCTGCAAGTCTTCCACCTTGTAGGTCAAAGCATGACAGTTGCTGGTTACAGTCACCCAGGCCTTCTTACTTGCCTCACGTTTCTCAACATGGTAGGCTTTTACTGCATCACCACCATCGTTTTCTGGAGCCTCCCACATCAGTGTTGCAGAATCCCTGGTTACGGATGAAACTTTAACATTGACTGGGGGTCCAGGGGAGTCGAGCACTTTTACCACCATTGGCAAAGTTGCTTTACCCAGTGGTGATTCAATAGTGACACAGTACTCTCCAGAGTCATTCCTAGTTGACTTCTCAATAGTCAGTGATGTGCTGGATTCTGTTGATTCAATCATTCCTCTTGCTGTTAGATCTACACCTTCTCTGCTCCATTCAACCAATGGTGCTGGTTTCCCCTTGAATGGCACATTAAGGGTAAAAGATGTTCCGTGTTTTACTACAAGAACCTTACGCATCTCAATATCAGCATCGAAAGACGGTTCTGACGTTCTATCTGCTGCTGCAGCTGGATCTGAATAAGGGCTTCGCACACTGCTTCCAATTTTATTAATTGCCTTTACACAGAATTCATACTCTACATCTGTCTTTAGTCCCGTGACTGTGAATTCCAAGCTTTTGGTAAGAGGAATTGCCTCAACCCATCTGGCTAGTTCTTCAGGCGATTCAGGTGCCTCTTCCTCCTCATATTCCTCTTCATCTTCCTCCTCATCTTCTGGCTCTGGTTTAGGAATAAATTCTCTGTATTCCACACTATATCCTAAGATGGCTGTACCACCATCATTTGTTGGTGGTTTCCAAAGGATAGAGACAGTGTCTTTGGTTGAATCTATAATCTTTGGTTTGGTTGGACGAGAGGGAACAACCAGAGGATCTAGTGCTCTGAAGGTTGCAGATGGATCACTGGCAGGACTCAGGCCAGCTGCATTTTCAGCATAGACTCTGAAGTCATACTCACAACCCTTGCGAAGTTTTGTCACCACCAAGGTAACCTCCTCAACTAGAGCTCTGTTCACACGGACCCATCGCATGCCAGTCTTCTCACGCCGCTCAACTACATATCCAATGATGGGACTGCCTCCATCACTGGCTGGCTTACACCAGGTGAGGGTCATTGAATCTCCTGTTATGTAGGTCACATCAACACCAACTGGGGCAGCTGGAATTGTGTATGGATCAGTTATTTTTATAGCCTCACTTTCAAGAGCCTCGCCAACTCCATGCTTGTTAACCGCTAGAACTCTAAAGATATATTCATTGCCCTTAAGTAGACCTGTGACCTTAAAGTAGGTTTTTGTGACATCACCCTTAACTAATGTCCATGCCAAACGACTGGTCTCACGCTTCTCAACAACATAATGTGTGATATTAGCACCACCAGTTTCTTGAGAAGGACCCCATGACAAAGTGCACTCCTCAGCTGTAAGACCAGTGATCTGAAGAGGGCCTGCAGGGGGAGCTGGTTTATCAATTATCACACAGTTTATTGGCATAGTGACTATTCCACCAATGTTCTGTAGAGTTAGCAAATACTGTCCAGAATCTCTCCTGATACAGTCCTTTACAACGACAGAAGTGCTTGTATCTGTGGTAACAATCTGAATCCTTGCTCTTAACTCAATCTCTTTGCCATCTTTTGTCCAGCAGACGACAGGGGCAGGACGTCCAGCAAGGTCAGCATTGATCTTTAGAGTTTCTCCCGCCTTCACAAACACAGTCTCTCTAAACTTGACATCCATCATGATGCGTGGTGGATCTACGTCATCTTTAACAGTAATAGGGCCTGTGTTGTATGATGGCATACTGAACTGTCCAGCTGCATTCTTAGCAATGACACGGAAATCATATTGGCTGTTTTCTGTGAGGCCGGTAGCATTGTAGTGGGTCTCTGGCACATTGGTGAAGTTACACCTTGTCCATCTACCTTCAGGGAGGTCCCTTCGTTCAATAATGTATCCGGAAACCTTTGAGCCGCCATCATACTCTGGTTTTTCCCAAGACAAAGATACAGATGTTCTTGTAATAGCAGTAACCACGGGTGTGCCTGGAGGATCACAGGGATCTCTCGCTGCAACAGCCTCACAGGCCTTGCTGCATTTACCAATACCAGCAATATTTTCTGCATATACACGGTATTCATAGAGCATTCCCTCTTCAATACCATTGACTTTGTATTCTGTGTCTTTGATCATTCCTCTGTTCATCTTTGTCCAAAGAATGCTTGAACGTTCCTTCCTCTCCAAATGATAGCCTAGAACAGGACTTCCCCCATCAGTGACTGGCTCATTCCAGGTCACCAACATGTATGACTTGGTAGCCAGTTTTACAATAGGCGTTGAAGGAGGTCCAGGCTGTTTGAAGTTATATTGAGCAGTAATTCCAGGAGAATCAAGAGAGCTGCTCTTTCCATAACGGTTAACTGCATAGATGCGGAATTGATACTCTGCCCCTTGCGTTAGGCGACCAGCTTTGAATGATGTTCTAGCCACATTACTTGCTACCATTTGCCACTCTTGTGTGTTTGTATCTCTCTTCTCAACAATATAGTTGCTGATGGAGCAACCACCATCATATTCTGGTGGGGACCAGGATAGTGTAATACTATCTGAAGTAACGGCATCAACCTTAATACCTTTAGGTCGACCTGGCTTGTCTAGGACAACAACTCCAATACTAGCTGTTACAGTTCCAGCAGTGTTGGCCAAGGTGATTTCATATTTTCCAACATGTTCTTTGTTAGCTCCTTTAAAAATGATTTTAGATGAGGTTGCTGTATTAATGATTGTTACTGATGAAGTTTGCTTCAATGGAAGGGTATCCTTCTTCCATGATACAACAGGCTTTGGCCTGCCTCTTATGGGAACTTCAAGTGTGAGATCATCCCCAGCCTTGACACTATATGTTGTAAACAATAAATGTACTGATGGTTCTATTGCAATATCTTTTGCAACCACAGGCAGTCCAAGATCCTTTGGCTCACTTTTTCCCATCTCATTGATTGCAACAACTCTGAACAGATATGCTTCATTGGGATTCAGATTTGGAATAGTTGCTTCTGGTACTTTGACTGTGCATGCTGTGCCCCATTTGTCACCATGCTTAGGTTTGAATTCTACATTGTAGCACATGACTTTGCTTCCACCATCATGAGTAGGTTTCTCCCAGGCAAGGGATACACTGGTCTTTGTTACATCCACAAGAGAGATCTTGTTTGGTGGTTGAGGCACTTCAGATACTTTGATCTCTTTGGTTTCAACTGTCTGCCCCTGACCATACGCATTGACGGCACAGACTCTGAAGTAGAATTTTCCGCCCTCAGGCAGGTCTTCAATTTTGAATGAGTTTGCAATGCAGTTGCTAGTCACAGTTGTGTAGGCCTTCCTCACTGACTCCCTCTTTTCCACAATGTAATTTGTAATTTTTGCACCGCCATCGTTAACTGGTGTATCCCAGGCCAGAGTGACTGAATCCTTCTTGAGCTCCTTAACAGCAAAATTTTGTGGTGCACTTGGTGTGTCAAGCACTCGTACTGAAATGACAGCCGATTTTGTGCCACTGGTGTTCTCCAATGTTAACGAATATTTCCCACTGTCAAAGCGGTTTACATTGTCAATTACAAGCATGGTGTATGAAGAAGTAGTATCGATTGCAGCACGGTCTGTTAGAGTACTCTCAAGTTTCTCCCATTTCACAGATGGGTTAGGTCTCCCTCTAATGGGTACAAACAAACGTAGTGTTCCACCAGCCCGGACAGACACCACCTTTCTTAGGTCAGCATCCAACTCCATCTCTGGTGCATCTGCTCTGTCAGAGGTTACAACTGTGCCATAAACATTAGCTGCCTCCCCAACTCCTTCTGAGTTGATGGCACAGACACGGAACTGATATTCTCCACCCTCCTTAAGATCTGTGATGGTGATTTTAGTGACTTGTATACCTGTAGGTGGCGTACACATGGTCCATTCTTTTTCAACGGGTGCCTCTATTGCTGGTGCAACTTCTGCTTCCTCAGTTAATTCAGGTTGTGGTGTATACTCTCTCATTTCAACAATGTATCCCTTGATGTATGCTCCACCGTCAAAGTCAGGTTTTCCCCAGGAAAGACACACAGAAGACTTTGTGTAATCTGTCACTTTTGGGTGGCGTGGAGGTCCAGGCGGTGTTGTGGCATCACATGCTCTATAGAAAAGGGACAGTTCGCTCAGGTCCCCTATTCCAGTCTCATTCTCAGCAGCAACGCGGAACTCATAAAAGTGATCGGGCATAAGACCAGTGACCTTGAAGTGTGTGTCTTTCAAAATTTGCCTGTTGCATTTTGTCCATCTCACACTATCTTTGTCACGTTTTTCAAGGTGATAGCCTTGAATGTCAACTCCACCATTGTTTTCTGGAGCTGTCCAAGATAGAACCATGGAGTCCCTTGTGATTTGACTTGCTTCGGGGGTTCCAGGAGCACTTGGTGGTTTGTATGGATTGCGTGCAATAATAGGTTCACTCTGAAGATAATCACCAGCACCAAATTTGTTGACTGCCCTTACTCTGAAAATGTACTCATTTCCTGGAAGTAAATTTGTGACTTTATGGTACAGGCTTTTTACATTTTGTGCAGCTATGGTCCAGGACAACCTGCTCGTTTCTCTCTTCTCCAAAACATAGTGGCTGATACTAGCTCCACCATCCAGAGCTGGTTCAGACCAGGACAGAATGCATCTGTCAGCCATGACTCCAGTCACTTTAATGGGTCCAAAGGGTGGTCCTGGTTTGTCAAGGACTTTAACAGTGATGGGGAAGGTTTTTGTACCACCAAGATTTTTGAGAACAAGGTCATAATGACCACTATCCAGTTTAGTAACATCCTTTATGGTCATAGCCGAACGTTTCTGTGTAGTTTTAACTTCAATGCGCCTAGCTTTCTCCATTTCTTTGCCCTCTTTAAGCCAGACGACCTCAGGTTGTGGAGAGCCATAAATGTCTGCATCAAAAATCAAAGTCTCCCCAGCATTAACAACAATTATATCCTTGTATTTGGGGTCCATTGAGGCCCTTGGTGCTTCAATTTCATCAGTTACAGTTATAGGTCCAGAGCTGTCTGATGGTTCACTGAAGACTCCGGCAGCATTCCTTGCAATAACTCTGAATTCATACTGCGCATTCTCTGTCAGACCAGTAACTGTATACTCAGTCTCAATTATGTTAGTAAAGTTGGATCTTATCCAGCGATCCTCAGGTGAAGAGAGATCTTTAAACTCTACAATGTATCCATTAACTTTACTACCACCATCATACTGAGGTTTGGTCCACTGAATTTTTATTTGATTTTTACTAATAGATACAGCTTCTGGAGCACCAGGAGGATCACATGGATCACGGGCAACAAAGGACTCTGAGACCTTACTGCAGCGGCCAATACCAACAATATTTTCAGCATACACTCTGAATTCATAACCAATCCCCTCCTCAAGATTGCAGGTCTTGAACTGAGTATCTGTAATACGAGTCTTGTTTAGCTTGTTCCAGAGGATACTACTTCTCTCTTTACTTTCTAGATGGTAACCAATAATTGCACTTCCACCATCAGTGACTGGCTCATTCCATTCAATGATCATCATTTCCTTAGTTGCAGATTTAACACGTGGTGTTCCAGGAGGCCCTGGGGGTTTGTAAGGATACTGTACTACAATAGCCTTGGAGTCAAGTGCCGCACTCTTTCCATATCTGTTTTCAGCTATGATTCTAAACTGATATTCGGCACCAGTCTTTAACTTTGTTACCTTGAAAGCTGTTCTGGCTAGCTGTGTAACAACTGTCTGCCAGGTTTGGGTGGTGGTATCTCTCTTTTCCACAATATAGTTCTTAACTTGACAACCACCAGTGTAAACTGGGGGCTCCCATGACAGATGGACAAAAGTGTTGCTCACTTCCACCACTTTGACTGGACCCTTTGGTGGACCAGGCTTGTCCAGGATAATAATAGTTATATCTTCTGTGATGGTGCTGACAGTGCTTGTTGCAGTAAGAGAATATTTGCCAAAGTCATCTTTGCAGGCCTCCGTAATCTGAATTCCGGTTGTTAATGGAGTGTTAAAAACATTAACTCTTGATGTCACTTTTAAAGCCTGGCCATCCTTTGTCCAGCTGACTTTTGGTTTGGGCCTGCCGAGTACAGGGAACTCCAGTTTAAGATCTTTTCCAGCTAACACACTGTAAGTATTAAATTGCATCTTGATGCTTGGTTCTATGGTCATGTCATTTGCAATCACTGGAGCAGCAAGTGCCTTTGGCTCACTCTTTCCTTTCTCATTGTATGCAATGATCCTGAACAAGTATTCTGTTCCTGCCGTTAGGCCTACAACAGTTCCCTCACAAGTCTTTGGGTTTGCTGCAACTCCCCACTTATCTGTGCCTTTAGGCTGCATCTCAATGAGGTAGCCACCAATCCTGCTGCCACCATCATGTTCAGGTTTCTCCCAGGCCAGAGTGGCACTGTTTTTGGTGACATCTGTAAGGAAAACTTTTCCAACAGGGAGTGGTACTTCAGACGCCTTTGAAGCAGTTTTTGTTTCTACAGCCTGACCTATTCCATATTCATTCTCAGCCATGACTCTGAAGTAGTACATAGCTCCTTCAATTAAATTTTCAACCTTAAATGTTGTCTTGGTGCATTTTGTTGAAACATTTGCATATGCTTTCCTGGTCGATTCACGCTTATCAATGACATAATTCTTGATTTTTGAACCTCCATCAATCACTGGTGCGTCCCATACAAGAGTAACAGAATCCTTTCTGATATCTTTAACAACAAGGTTCTGTGGGGACCCAGGTGTGTCCAGCACTTTTACAGAAACAAATTCAGAGACACAGCCACTGCTATTGGTTAAGCTTAAGGTGTATTTTCCTGAGTCATGTCTGTCACAACAGTCAATAGAGAGTTGCGTGAAATTCACTGCTTTCTCAACCACAGCCTTCTCAGAAAGATCTCCATCATCCTTTGTCCATTTAATTTCTGGTATTGGCCTTCCCTTAAAAGGAACATAAATTCTTACAGATCCACCAGCTTTTATTGTGACGCCTTTTCTCAGCTCAGAATCAAGATGGATTTGTGGTGGATCTGTCCTTTCCTCTGGTTTCGCTGTTCCAGAAAGAACAACTGGTTCACCAACTCCCATTTTGTTCAATGCACAAACTTGAATTTTGTACTCCTGGCCCTCAGTAAGTTTGGGAATCTCATACTTGTTAACACGTAGGCCAGTAGGGGGGGTAACCATTGCCCATTCTTCCTTTTCAGCTTGGCATACTTCAACAATGTAGCCTTGAATGGCACTACCTCCATCAGTCAAAGGCTTTCCCCAAGAAACTGTAATGGAGGTTTTTGTGGAGTCAATTACATTAAGATATGTTGGAGCACCAGGTTTGTACTTCGGGTCAGATGCCTTGTAATATGAACTTGGAAGGCTTGGTTCTCCTATTCCTACAATATTTTCAGCAGATACCCTGAATTCGTACTCATGGCCTGTGGTTAGGCCTGTAACTCTGTATGATAGATCAGTAACTTTTTGTCTGTTACATCTGGTCCACTTGATTCCAGCTCTGTCCTTCTTTTCAATTATATAACTGATAATCTCACTGCCACCATCAGTTTCAGGAGCAGACCAAGTTATAGTCATGCCATCATGGGCAATGTTGGATACATCTTCAATGTGAGGTGAACCAGGTGGAATGAATGGATTCCTCATAGTAACTGCATCAGACTCAAGTGCCTCACTGACTCCATGATGGTTAACTGCCATTACCCGAAAGATATACTCATTGCTCTCCAGTAATTTGGTAACTTTGTAGCATGTGGTGTTACAAGTGTTAGAAACAAGAGTCCAAGCTAGACGACTTGTCTCTCTCCTCTCAATGATATAATGTGTAACAGCACTACCTCCATCATGTAATGGTGCCCGCCATGCCAGTGTGCATCTGTCCTCAGCTACTCCAGTGACATGGAGAGGTCCTTCACATGGACTAGGCTTATCCAGGACCAAAACCTTAAATGGAACAGTTTCACTGCCAGCTCCATTGGTCAGCAGAAGGGTGTAAGTTCCACCATCAACTCTAACACAGTCCTTGACCATGATCATTGAATGGTTTTCTGTGTTTTTGATCTCTAGCCTGATTGTATTCTCAATAGGCTTATCATCCTTAAACCACTGGATTGAAGGTAGTGGCTTACCATGGACATCTGCATCCAACTTGAATGTCTCTCCAGCATTTATTATAACAGTTTTGGTAAAGGCAGGATCGATTGAGTACTTAGGGGCCTCAACATTGTCACTTGCTATGATAGGTCCACTGTTGTATGATGGCTTGCTGACTGTCCCAACAGCATTTTTAGCAAAAACTCTAAAGTCATACTGTGCATTTTCAGTAAGACCAGTAGCAGTAAATTGGGTCTCTATCACATTTGTAAAGTTTGCCCTCACCCACCTGCCTTCTGGCAGATCTCGTTTTTCTATAAGGTAGCCGGTGATATTACTGCCTCCATCATATTCAGGTTTAGTCCACTGAATAACAATACTATCTTTGGTCACATGGATGGCCTCTGGTGTGCCAGGGGGATCACATGGGTCACGAGCAAAGCAGCCCTCTGAAATCTTACTGCTTCTGCCGATACCAACAATATTTTCAGCATAAACCCTATATTCATATTCGATACCCTCGTCCAAAGGATGACTCTTGAAAGTAGTTCCATGAATAAGTGTCTTGTTAATCTTGACCCAGAGAATACTATTTCTCTCCTTCCTTTCGAGATGGTAACCCAAAACAGGACTACCTCCATCTGTTATAGGCTCATGCCACTCAACAATTTGGTGGTCTCTGGAGAGAGAAGTGATAAAGGGAGTACCTGGTGGGCCTGGTTCTCTGTAAGGATATTGAGCCACTACTGCTGATGAATCTAGACCTTGACTCTTTCCATAGCGGTTCTGTGCAATAATCCTGAACTGGTACTCAGCTCCAGTCTTTAGTCTAGAAACTTTGATGGTTGTTCTAGCACAGTTACTGCTCACATTCTCCCATGTTGTTGCATTAGTATCTCTTTTTTGTACAATGTAGTTTGAGATTTTGCATCCACCAATGTATTTCGGTGGGTCCCATGAAATTGTTACACTTTGCGTTGTGATTTCATCAAATCTCACTGGACCAGATGGAGGACCAGGTTTGTCAAGTACAATTATTTCGATTGCACTTTCTTTCTTTCCTGCTGAGTTAGTGGCAGTTATGGTATACATACCAATATCATCACTTGCTGCCTCCTTAATGCTTAAAGTTGTATGTGTGGATGTATTGTGAATATTGACTCTGGTGGTAAACTTCAAAGGGGCTCCATCCTTGGTCCATACAATTGTTGGTTTAGGGCGTCCAAAGATGGGAATATCAATGTTCATGTCTTTACCAACATGAACACTGTAACTGCTGAATGCAGGACGGATATCTGGCTCAAAGACTAGATCCTTGGTCATCACTGGACCAGCAAGAACCCTTGGGTCACTCTTTCCTTTGTCGTTGATTGCAGTAACTTGAAAGAGATATTCATTTCCTGGGTTCAGTTTGGACACTGTAGTTTCCATTGTCTTAAATGTGTTTACAGCAGACCATTTATCCTGGCCCTTCAACTTTACTTCAAGCAGGTATTTTTGAACTCTGCTCCCACCATCATATTCTGGCCTCTCCCATGCCAAGGAGATGCTTGTTTTTGTCTGATCTGTAACAATCAAATTCCTTGGAGATTGGGGCACTTCTGAAACCTTAAGAGGGTCTACTGTTGATGCTGGTAGGCCAACACCAAAAGTATTTTCAGCAAGGACTCTGAAGTAGTAACTACAGCCTTCTTGGAGGGATTCAATCTTACAGGAAAGAGTATGACAATTTGTTACAGCAGCTGCATACGTTTTACGAGTGCTTTCTCTCTTTTCAATAATGTAATTCTTGATTTTGGACCCACCATCTAAAAGAGGTGGCTTCCATGCCAGTGTTACTGACTGGTTTGTAATCTCCTCTACTTTAAGATCAACAGGGGCACTGGGTGTATCTAGGACACGGACAACAACAAATGCAGACTTGGTTCCACTGGAGTTCTGAGCAGTAACTGTATATTTTCCACTGTCATTTCTGCTCATTTTATCAATAACAAGTGATGTATAACTGCTGGTTATTTCAACCTGAGCAGTCTCTTTGAGGGGTGCTTCATCTTTGTCCCACTTAATAGTAGGAGTGGGTCTTCCTTTAATGGGGATAAATAGTCTAAGGGAAGCACCAGCTTTGATGGTCACAATCTTTCTAAGTTCTGGGTCAATGTCAAGATCTGGTTCCTCTGTCCTATCCTGCGCAACCACAGCTCCAGAGACATCTGCATGTTCACCCACTCCTACCTTGTTTATGGCACACACTCTAAATTTGTATGCCTGGTTTTCCTTCAAATTTTTTACTTCAAATTTAGTTGTCTTTACACCTGTTGGGGGGAGTGCAAATTATCCATTCCTCAGCAGATACATCGGTGGCAGAGACTGATTCATCTGGGGCATCAGGTTGCACCACTGGCTCTGTAGCAATGCTACACTCAACAATGTATGACTGAATTTCACAGCCTCCATCACATACAGGCTTCCCCCATGACAGAAATACTGATGACTTTGTTGTGTCAGTGACCTTGGGGTTTTGTGGTGGGCCTGGTCGGAAGATGGGATCAAGAGCTTTGTAGAAAACAGTTGGGGTGCTTGGCTCACCAATGCCCACTGAATTTTCAGCAGCAACTCTGAATTCATAAATATGACTTTCCAAGAGTCCAGTTACTTTAAAAGTCAGATCTGTAACTGTTTGCCTGTTGCATCTTGTCCATCTCACTCCTTCTTTGTCATGCTTCTCAATTATGTATCCAGTAATTGGACATCCACCATCCTCAGAAGGAGCTTCCCAGCTGAGCACCATTGAATCCTTTTTAACATCTGAAACTTCCAGATTTTTTGGTGTTCCAGGTAGAACATATGGATCTTTAATTATAACAGGAGCAGACTCAAGTGGTGCACCCACTCCAAACTGATTAACGGCATGAACTCTGAAGATATATTCATCTCCTTCAAGAAGCTTATTTACTTTGAGACAAATATTTTGTACTTTTGGATCAACAACAGTCCAAACAAGCCGGCTTGTCTCTCTTCTCTCAACGATATAGTGAGATATTTTGCTACCACCATCTTGAATTGGTGGTTTCCATGCAAGAGAACAATGGTCTTTGGTTACTCCTGTAACAACAAGAGGCCCTTGTGGTTCCCCAGGTTTATCAAGAATGACAACATTGATTTGAGTAGCTTTCTCTCCTCCTGGATTTCTTAGCAACAGTGTGTATTGGCCTCCATCTGAAAGTTTAGATTCCTTTACAAACATGAAAGCTTTAGTCGGTGTGTTCTTAATTTCTCTATGAATAGTGTTGCTGAGTTCCTGTTCTCCCCTCAGCCAGTGAATAGAAGGCAACGGCTTTCCATGAACATCAGCATCAATTTTGAAGTTTTCTCCAGCATTAACCACAAGCGTCTGTGTGTATTCAGGATCAATGCTGATCCGTGGTGGTTCAATCTCATCCCTGGCGGTAATAGGGCCAGTGCTGTATGAAGGAAGACTAAAGACACCAGCCGCATTTCTGGCAATAACCCGAAACTCATATTCTTTATCCTGCACAAGTCCAGTTGCAACATATTCAGTCTCAATGACATTTGTGAAATTTGCCTTTAACCAACGACCCTCAGGAAGCTCCTTCTTTTCAACAATGTAACCAGTTACCTTTGCACCACCGTCATATTCAGGCTTTGTCCAAACAATGGTTATGGAGTCTTTAGTGATCTTTGTTGCTTCTGGAGTGCCTGGAGGATCACAAGGATCTCTTGCAATATGTCCTTCAGATACTTTGCTTGCTTTACCTATTCCTACAATGTTTTCAGCATAAACTCGGAATTCATACTCCATTCCTGGTTCCAGACCTGTGGTCTTGAAAGTTTGATCCGTTATGAGAGACTTGTTAAGTTTGACCCATAAGATGCTGTTTCTCTCTTTGCGTTCAAGATGGTAACCTAAGATATTACTTCCGCCATCATTTACAGGTTCATTCCAGATTACAACCATGCTGTCCTTAGAGCAGGCTGCAATTTTTGGTGTTCCTGGTGGTCCTGGGAGCTTGTACGGATACTGAGCAACAATACTTTCAGAGGAAAGAGCTGGGCTCTTTCCATACCTGTTTTCGGCAACAATCCTAAACTGATACTCAGAGCCAGTCTTCAACCTGCCAGCCTTAATTTGTGTTCTTGCAATGTTTTGAGATACTACCACCCAATTGGTTGTGGATGTGTCTCTTTTTTCCACAATGTAGTTTTTAATGGTACATCCACCGTCATACTCTGGTGGATTCCAGGAGATTGTAATACTATCAGAAGTGACCTCCTCCACTTTGACAGGCCCCCTTGGCTGGCCAGGTTTGTCCAGAACCACAATGCCAATATTTATTGTTGTCTCCCCTGCTGTATTGCTAAGAGTAATACTGTATCTGCCAACATCATCTTTAGCGGCCTCTTTAATGTTAAGGTTCAGCATTGTGTCTGTTGCCCCAAAGTTGACTCTGGTAGTTCTCTTCAGCCCCTGACCATCTTTCATCCAAGTAACGGCTGCTTTTGGACGTGCCACATATGGAACCTCCACTGTCAATTCTTCTCCTGCCAGCACACTGAATGTGTTGAACAGCATTTTAGCAACTGGTGCAATGATGAGATCTTTGACTATCACAGGGACACCTATTTGACGAGGTTCACTGGTTCCTTTCTCATTCTTCGCTGCTACACGGAACATATACTCTTCACCAGCATTAAGTCCACTGATAGTTGCTTCTGTGTCTTTAACTATCATAGCCTGTGTCCACTTATCCACACCTTTAGGCTGAATCTCAACAACATAACAGCCAATTCTGCTACCCCCATCATGTTCTGGCTTTTCCCAAGATAGGGTAACACTGTTTTTGGTGACATCTTTCAGTGTGATTTTACCAGGTGGCTGTGGCTTCTCTGACACTTTAACTGATTCAGTCATTTCAATTGGCAACCCAATACCATATTCATTTTCAGCCAGGACTCTAAAGTAATAATTGCACCCCTCTAGCAGCTGGTCAACTGTGAAGGAGGTAGTATGGCAGTTGGAGTTAACTGTGGCATATGCCTTTCTTGTTGACTCACGTTTTTCAACTATATAATTCTTAATCTTGACCCCTCCATCATTCACTGGGGGGTCCCATGTTAAAGAGACAGCTTCCTTTGTGACAGATGTAATTTTTAGATTCTGTGGGGCACTTGGTGTATCAAGAACCCTGACTTGAACTGTAACTGTTTTGGAGCCAGATGAGTTTTCAATGGTGAGGTTATATTTTCCACTGTCAAATCTATTGACATTTTCAATTACAAGTGATGTGTATGAAGATGTGCTGTCAATTGTTGCCCTCTCTACAGCTTCACCTTCACCTTTAGACCACATAGCCTGAGGTGCTGGTCTGCCTCTTATTGGGACAAACAGTCTAAGTGTGCAGCAAGCCCTCAGACTGACCACTTTGCGGAGCTCAGCATCTAAATCTATTTCAGGAGGTAGCAATCTGTCCTCAGCTTTGGGATTTCCTGGAACAGTTGCTGCCTCTCCAACTCCTTCACTATTAATGGCAGAAATATTAATCTTATATTCCTGGTTTTCTTTCAGATTAGTAATGGTAAATGAAGTTGCGAGGAGACCTTCCTTAGGTGTTGCTATGGTCCATTCCTCCTCTTCCTCTTTTTCAGATGGGATGCATGTCTCAACAATGTAACCAGTTATATCAGAGCCACCATTATATACGGGTTTGTTCCAGGCAACAGTAATTGAAGATTTGGTAGTATCCAAAATTCTGGGGTTGCATGGAGGGCCTGGCTTGTACAGCCCATCAGTAGCTCTGTAAAATAGAGTGGGCACACTTGCTATGCTCACTCCAGCAGCATTCTCAGCAAATATTCTAAATTCATATTCATGTCCTGGAGTAAGCCCAGTTGCCTTGAACTGCAGGTCTTTGACTTTTCTCATATTACATTTCACCCATCTGAGGCCAGCTCTGTCTTTCCTTTCAATACTGTAGTTGGTGATTGGAGTTCCACCATCACTCTTAGGTGCTTGCCACATTACAATCATTGAATCTTTAGTAATAGCTGTCACTTCAGGATTTTCTGGAGGGTCAGGTTTCACATATGGGTTGTCCGCAATAGTGGGTTCTGATTCCAGAGATTCCCCAAGGCCATATTTGTTTACAGCCATTACTCTAAATATGTATTCATTCCCTTTGAGAAGCTTGGTTACCTTGTGTTGTGTAACCTGCAGCCCTGAAATAACATTGGTCCAAACCAGTCTACTTGATTCACGTTTCTCAACTACATATCCTTCGATCTTTGCACCACCATCATCTGTTGGTGGGGCCCAGGTTAGTACACAGTTGTCTGCAGTTACATCAGACACTTTTAGGGGTCCAACTGGTGGTCCAGGTCTATCAAGCACTTTAACATTGAAGACATGTTTTGCAAATCCACCAACATTAGTGGCAGTCAAAACAAATTCACCTCCATCTGCTCTAACAGAGTCCTTGTTGGTCAGAACTGTTGCTAGTTCAGTAAACCTAACCTCTCGCTTCATTGTGTTCTCAACCTCCTTTCCATCCTTTGTCCAAGTCATAGATGGGATTGGCTGACCAGCAATATCAGCTTCAAGCTTAAAGGACTCTCCTGCCTTAAGAAGAACAGTGTCCTTGAAGATGGCATCAACCATAATGCGTGGCTCTATTATGTCATCTTTGCAAATAATTGAGTCAGATGGTTCAGATGGTATGCTTACTGCTCCTGCTGAGTTTCTAGCTATTACCCGGAACTCATATGAGGTGTCCTGAGTCAGTCCACTCACTGTGAATGCTGTCTCAATAATGTTGATAAAGTTTGCTCTCATCCAACGACCAGCAGGCAATTCTCTCTTTTCCACTGTGTAACCAGTAATCTTAAAGCCACCATCATAGGCAGGCTTTGTCCACTGAACAGTGATGGCATTGTTGTTCACAAAAATTGGAACAGGCTGACCTGGGGGATCCACAGGGTCCAAGGCCAGTATTGCCTCAGAGGCTTTACTGGGTTTACCAATTCCTGCCATGTTTTCAGCCAAGACACGGAATTCATAAGCAACTCCATCTTCAAGTCCTGTTGACTTAAAAACATTGCCTTTCACAAGACTATTGCTGATCTTATGCCATATTATGCTGCTCCTTTCCTTCCTTTCAACATGATATCCAATTATTTCATTTCCACCATCAGAGACAGGTTCATTCCAACCAATTGTTATTGAGTCTTTGGTGAATGCAACTACACTAGGAGTTCCTGGTGGTCCGGGTACTTTGAATGGATAGGCAGCCACTACAGCCTCTGATGTGATGGGAGGTCCAACACCATATCTGTTTTTAGCTTTTATTCTAAACTGGTACTCTGATCCAGTGGTTAACCTTATGGCTTTGAACACTGTACGAATGACAGTGGATGACAGTTCAGTCCATGTCTGGGAGGTGGTGTCTCTAATTTCAACAACATAGTTGGTAATTGGAATACCCCCATCATTATCAGGAGCTTCCCAAGAAAAGACACAATAGGTGCGAGCTATTTCCACAATCTTTACTGGTCCTTTTGGTGGTCCAGGTATATCGTGTACTTTGATGATTATGTTGTCTGTCGTAGTTCCAACAATATTCTTCCCTGTCATTGTGTAAACACCACTATCAGCTCTACTGCAGTCACTTATGCTGATGATAACAGTAGCTGGAGTAGATTCTACATTGATTCTCTGTGTGAGTTTTAGGGCTGCTCCATTCTTCTGCCAAGAAACTGTTGGCCTTGGACGTCCCATGACTGGGATTTCAACCTTAATGTCATCCCCTGCTTTTGCAATAACAGTTTTCTGACAAACACCACGTAAGTCAAACTCAGGTAGAGATGTTGAATCTTTGATAACAATGGGTTTGCTCTCACGAGGAGCACTTCTGCCAGATTGATTAACAGCCATGACATGGAAAATATACTCCTCATTTTCATTGAGATTCTTCACAGTGAAGTCCAAGGTTTTCACTGTTGAAACATGTGCCCACTGGTCTGTTCCCTTCTTTTTGGCTTCTAGAACATATCCAGAAATTCTGCTTCCACCATCATGTTTGGGTTTGGTCCATACTAGGCTTACTGAGTTCTTTGTGATGTCAGTAGAAATAATGCTTTCTGGAGGAGTAGGCGCTTGGGATGCACGAATTGGATCAGAGGTTTCAACTGCCTCCCCAATGCCAAACTCATTCTCAGCAGAAACTCTGAAGTAGTATTCGCAGCCCTCACCCAAGTCGCTAATTCTAACTGATGTTGTTGGGCACTTTGTAATTGCAGTAGCAAACGCCTTGCGTGTTGACTCCCTTTTCTCAATTATGTAATTTGTGATTTTGGCTCCTCCATCAATTAGAGGCATATCCCATTGAAGCGTGATACTGTCTTTGTCAATCTTTACTGGTTTGAGGTTAAGAGGAGGTCCAGGTGAATCCAAAACTCTAACATGAATATCAGCACTTTTCTTACCAGCTGAGTTTTCAAGGGTAATCTCATATTTGCCAGCATCGATTCGTGAACTCTCTGGAATAAGTAGCATTGAGAAAGATTCAGTGCTATCAATGACTGCACGTGGAACAGGGCCACCCTCTTTACTCCAATTGACTGTAGGAGCAGGACGACCCTTGATAGGCACAAAGAGACGAATCGAACAACCAGCTCTGACAACAAGGGTCCTTCTCAGCTCAACATCCAATTCTAGATCAGGTTCAGCAGCATGTTCTACAATTGCAACCAATTCCTGCGTTTCAGCGGGTTCACCTGATCCCTTGGCATTTACAGCACTAATTCTGAAATGGTACTTAGCACCAGTTTCCAAGCCCGGAACAACAAACTCTGTGATTCGGAGAGGAGACGACGGGGTATCCTTAATCCATTCTTCTATTCCATCCTTTCTGTGCTCAATTACATATCCAGTGACTTCAAGTCCACCATTGTCCAGAGGTTTCCCCCAGTTCAGCGTAGCAGTAGTTTTAGTTGTGTCGGTAACTCTTGGATTGACTGGCGGTCCTGGAACAACTAAAAGGAATATGATAAGCAGTTAGATTTCAGCAAGAAATACATATTTTTGTATAGATTAACATAATATTAAAAGCAACAATTATGCAGTTGTGCGTGCTCCAAAGACAAAATTGTTTGATTTCTTTACTTACAGGCTGCAACTATTGTTTTGATAGCCATAGATGCTTCACTTGGCTCTCCAAAACCAGCTTTGTTCTCAGCCAGAACACGAAACTCATACTCAACACCCTCAGTGAGACCCGTGACTTCATAACTGAGCTCTGCAATCGACTTCTTGGATGCTCTAACCCAACGCATCGCTTTCTTTTCCTTCTTCTCAATACTATAACCAATAATGTCACTTCCTCCATCTTCAGCTGGTCTTCTCCAGGTCAAAGTAACTGAATGTCCATCAACTTTCTCTACTTCTGGTCTAGATGGTGGACCAGGGGGACCTACAATAAAAACTTAGTTACTTCCAAATGCACGCAAAAGTATACATATAACCAGACAGTCCAGCTTGTTAATGGTATACTGCTTGGTTAGATAATCTAACTATACATACCAAATCTGTCGACCATCTTGACAGCTTCAGAGTGAGATGGCTCACTTGCACCGTACTGGTTTACGGCAGAGACTCTGAAGAAATACTCATTACCCTGGATGAGTTTGTTAGCCACATAGTGGCAGTCAATGACCTTCTCTTCGAGGACTGTCCAGAGCAAACGACTAGTTTCCCTCTTCTCCAGGGTGTAATATTTGATAGATGACCCTCCATCTTCAGCAGGGGCTGTCCAGGTAAGAGTCACCTTTTCAGAGGATACACCACTGCATTCAATGGGTCCAGGAGCACTAGGGACATCTAGAACTTTGACCTTGACGGTTTCCTCCTTTACACCAAATGGATTGGTGGCTGTGATGATATATTCTCCAGAATCCTTTCTGCTGGCATATTTTACAGACAAAGTTGATGATGTTTGAGTGGTTTCAATTTGAACAAGGTCAGAGGGTTTGAAGTATTTCCCTCCCTTTGACCAGCAGGATGTTGGTGCAGGTTTTCCTATAATGCTTGTTGCAGTGACAACAATCGTATCACCAGCCCTGACAGTCAGACCTTCCTTTACGTGAGCATCAATAGTAATGGTTGGTGCAGCTGTTGGATGAAATGAGAAACATTTAACCTACAATGACCTTATCTATAGCTCTTTATGTGTGGTGTGGTTATTCATTTTTAACTTACCATATTCGTCTGTACACAAAATGGTATCTGTCTGCTCAGATGGTGGACTGAGGGCACCAGCAGCATTTTTAGCCCTGATCCTGAACTCATACTTGCAGCCCTCTTGGAGATCAGCAACAGTAAATGCAGGTTCCACAACATTCACATTGTTGGCTTTTACCCAGATCTTTGAAGGCAAATCCCGTTTCTCTACAATGTATCCTGTCAACCTGTGTCCACCGTCAAATTGAGGTTCAGTCCATTGGAGGGTCACACTGCTCCTAGTAATGCTGATTACATCCGGTTTACCAGGTGCATCTGTTTACACATTGGGTAAAACAACAATGAATGCTTTGGTATAACTGTGTTTAGCGTTTACGTTATTGGTACTATGCTTCTTTTAAATTTACCTATGGGATCTAGGGCCACTTGCGGATCAGTTGGAGCACTCGGCCTGCCGATTCCAGCCAGGTTGATAGCCATTACTCTAAACTCATACTCCAATCCTTCAGTTAGTCCAGTGACCTTGTGTTCCTTCATCTTTAAGGCAGACGGACTTGCCCTTTTCCATAACATACTGTTCCTCTCCTTGAACTCAACATGGTAGCCTGAACATTGCATGAACGTTTTAGGAAAAACAGAGATTAAGATTTATGAAAAAATTTTTTTTTTCATTTTTAGATGATATACGAAGCTAACAGTTAAAAAGAATTCAGATTAAGTCCTACATGGACCGCACCTGTAATGGGAGATCCTCCTGTCTTTCTGGGGTCAGACCAGGCTAGATATGCAGAATCATGCCGCATACTCATGATCTGAGGAGGAGGTGGTGCATCAGGTACATCTGTAGAAAAAAAAATTCAAAGTGTCAAACAGTTAGCATAAGTTAAATGTTGGATATTATAACTTATAATTTTGTTTACATAAATAAAAAGCACTTACTGAAAGGATGTTTTGCAACCACAGGCTCAGACTTTAGTCCCTCTCCAACACCATATTTGTTCTCTGCACTGACTCTAAATATGTATTCCGTGCCCTCATGGAGGCCTGTCACTCTCATTGAATTGGTCTCCACTGTGGAAGAAACGTTCACCCACATGTTGGTGACGGAGTCCCTTTTTTCAAGGATGTAGTTGGTAATCTCTGAGCCACCATCATCCTTAGGAACACCCCACTTAAGTGTAGCACCATCAGCGGTAACATCTTTGAATTTTATTGGTCCAACAGGGATGCCAGGTTTACCAACCACCCTAAAACAACAAAGAATAATCATTTGCATCTTTATTATATGTAGCCAATGATTAATTATGACTAGAATCTCTACATGATTTAGGTTTTACTCTTACCTGATGAAGATCGTGGACTCTTTGGTGCCACCACTATTTCTCAAGGTGATGGTGTACTTGGAGGCATCCGTTCTCTGGCAGTCCCTGATTAGGAGGGTGGTGTTGACTGCAGATGACTCAGCACAGACTCTGCCAGTGTCTGTCAAATCTTCATCATCTCCCTTTTTCCAGGAGACCTTGGGAGTCGGCTTGCCACCTACTGGAATCTTCAGACGTACTGTGCTGCCTTCTTTGGCAATGTAGCACATGTTGGGTAACTCTCTTAAATCACAACTTGGAGGAACTTAAAAAAAAAGACAAGTATTTTAAAAGCCCAAATTCATTTTACAATAACGTTTTATTCTAAATATGGACACTTACTAATTTGGTCCTTAGCAATAACAGTGAGCTCCTTGGCAGAACTTTCTCCTGAATCATTGACTGCTTTGACCCGATATGTATACTCTCTACCCTCCACAAGGTCCTTGGCACTGTACTGCATGTTCTTGGACCTCATAAGCTCCTTGTATTTGTCATCGCCATTAAGAACCTCAAGTACATAGCAGATGATGCGACTGCCACCGTCAGTGAGGGGCTTTTTCCAGCTGAGAGTACACGAGTCTTTGGTCACCAGTAATGTTTTGAAGTCCATTACAGGTCCAGGCTCCTCTGAAGGAATACAAATAAAATACTGTTAAAATTTTGTCTTATAACTACTACAAAAAGTTCATCAATTAAGGTTCGACTCACCTGTTGCTCTGACAGCATCGGCTGTTTCACACGTTTCTCCGGTACCGAGCTGGTTGACGGCTGATACTCTGAAGCAGTAGGACCGCCCGGCATCCAGGTCTGGGACCTTAAAGGAAGTCTTGGTGCAGTTGTTGGAGACAACAGACCAGGCCTTTCTTTCAGTGTCCCGTTTCTCCACTATGTAGTGGGTAATATCAAAACCGCCATCAATGAGAGGGGCATCCCAGAGGATGTAAGCGCTGTCTTTGGATGTCTCTTTCACTATCAAGTTGACTGGTGGTCCGGGCGTATCTGAAAGAGGAAAAACCTTTTTTAAATTTGACCCAATTCTAAAAGATGACTCACATTGTATCTATGATGTTATAACAAAAGTATGTGCATAAGTATGTACTGTAAGTATGTATGAATGGATGGATGCATGCAGGAATAACTCCTGTACTGACCAAAAACTTTGACAACAATGGTGTACATCTTCATGCCAGCCAGGCTGTCTAGAGACAGAATGTATTTTCCAGCATCATATCTGTTGACCTTCTCCACCATAACCATTGTGTCAGTGCTGCTAGATTTAATGACGATGCCCTGACGGTCCTTAATGTTGGTGTTCATCTTTGCCCAGGTGACCTTGGGAGTAGGGCGGCCCTTGATGGTAGCATACAGCCTCATGTTTGTGCCAGCATTTAGCTCCAGGACCTCCTTCAGCTCAGCACTCAGCTCAGCTTCAGGAGCAACTGAATAAAAAAGCAAGTAAGAAATAACTGTAAGAAATATCATTTTATTAACTGACTTATGCTTTCTGTGTAATTAAAATCCTGTTAGCTAAATATGCTAGATTATTGTAAGGGTTCGGCATTTCCTTACGGCACTTCCTTCTATACCTAATTTGAAGAGTGACATAATAAAGTACATACCTATAATATCCTTTGCAACGTGTTTGCCTGGGATTTCTGCTGGCTCACCAAATCCTACTTTATTAACAGCAGTTATGCGACATTGGTATTCTGCTTTGTCAATAAGGTTCTGAATGATGTAGCTGGTGTCCTGCAGGTTCCTGGGGACATTGCAGCGGATCCAGTCAGAGGTGTTGCTTCTCTTGCATTCCACCAAGTATCCGATAATGGGACTTCCACCATCATTAGCTGGCGCAGACCAGGTTAGACTGATTGTGCTGTTGGAGGTATCTGTGACATTGGGGTTTATGACAGGTCCGGGAGGAGCTGGAGAGAACAAAGGTATTTAGTTTCATAAAGCTGGCAGAAGTTTGATTTTTGAGATAACCTAAAAATTGTTTATGTTATCATGTGTACGGACGTTTGGGACTTACTGATAGGGTTCTGTGCAGTGGTGCTTGCAGAGGGTTCACTTGGTTTCCCTAGCCCAGCTATGTTCACCGCAGTAACTCTGAAGTCATACTCAACACCCTCTGTCAGACCTGTTACTTCTAGAGTCCGCTCTGTTAGCGGTTTTCTGTTCACCTTGTTCCATTTCATCTCCTTAGTCTCCTTCTTTTCTAACACATAGCCCAGAATAGGGGACTTTCCATCATCCGCAGGTTCCTTCCAGCTCACAGTCATGCCGTCTTTGGTAACATTGGTGATCACAGGGGCTTCACATGGACCAGGCACATCTGAAAGTTAACAGCTTTCATTAGTCTAAACCTTTGCTAAGAGTCAATGATGAATTGTTCAATTTAAACCCAGCTTGTCAAGAAACTTGTGTTTGACAGATAGCTGAATGAATTCAGCATAAGGAAAACAAGACTCCCCATCTAATAAAAGACCAGAATATGAATCTGAAAGAAAGGAGATGATGACTCACTGAAAGGGTTCTTGGCAATGACTGGATTGGTGATAAATGGGTCTCCGACTCCCCACGCATTTTCACCGCGAATTCGGAACTGATATTCACGACCCTCAATTAATTTCTCCACAGTAAATTCCAGTATGTCCCCCTTTATCTTCGCTGAAACTTGGGCCCAGTTGGTTCTGCTAGTTTCACGCTTGTCCACGATGTAGTTGCTGATAGGAGAGCCGCCATCCTTTAGAGGAGGCTGCCAAGACAGCTTAATGCTGGAGGCTAACACCTCTTCATATTTAGCACAGGCAGGGGGCCCGGGCACGTCTGAAATAACACAAGTCATATTATGAGTAGAAAAAAACTTAATGTGAATTGAACCTTGAGTTAAGAAATAATAAATCCTTACCCAGTACATTGACCATGATCTCTGCAGTCTTAGAGCCACTTGCATTCTCTGCCAGCACTGTATAGGTTCCTGTGTGCTCTTTGGTGCAGTCAGGTATCTCTACCTGGAAGTGATGTCTCTGCTGTTTAATGACCTGGCCTTCCCCTGACTTCAGGGTATGATCACCTATTTTCCAAGTGACTCTTGGCATTGGTTTACCAAACACCTCTGCTTCCAACAGGATTGTGGCTCCAGCCTTGACCATTAGAGCTTTTTGCATCTTGGCATTAAGTTCAATCCTTGGTGGAACTGAAAGGTATTGAACATGTCATTAGTAATTAAATGGCTTAAAATCATCAAATTAGTTCAATTATATATTAGACCTAGAGTGTATAGAAAATGAAATTTTGTTTTGTACAGCTCTCATGACATTTCCATTTCTTAAAGTGCAGCAATGATCAACTGATCGAGCCATATACTGCATGTATCACTGTTTTATTAGCTTGGCTGTGTGTGTTGAGTAAAAATGTCTCACCATTCTCAGCACAGACCAGGATTGGGTCAGTAGGTTCTGAGGGCTTGCTCATGTTCACTGCAGTTTTAGCTGTGACTCTGAACTGGTACTGAAGGTCTCTTTCCAGTCCTGTCACGGTGTACTCCTCCCTGGGGACGTTCTGACTGCTGGTATTGCAACGTATCCAGGTGTCTCCTGGCACGCGCATAGCCTCAACATAATAACCTATGATCTTGCTTCCTCCATCATTTTTAGGACGGGTCCAAACCAAACTGACAGAGTTCTTGGTTACATCTAGTACTTCAGGTTTACCTGGAGTGTCTATGAGAGAGAAATAGACGATTAAAGTTATCTAGCTAACAAAAAATCCCTTTGTGTACAAGGATTGTCTATCAACTCACCAACGGGTGTTCTTGCAGTGACAAAGTCTGTCTTCTTGCTCGGTTTGCCCTGACCAGCACGGTTAATGGCTGAAACTCTGAAGGTATACTCCAGGCCTTCAATGAGACCCGCACAGGGGTATTCAGTGGTCCGGACCACCGTGTCATTTGCCTTCACCCAAAGAAGGCTGTTCCTCTCTTTACGTTCGATGTAGTACCCTGTGATGGGACTGCCCCCATCTGTCTCTGGTTTATCCCACGCAACAAACATACAGTCTTTGTTGGTCTTGTTAACACGACAGTTTAGTGGCTCGCTTGGTACATCTAGTAAAACCAAAAGAAATGTGTCAGTCCTTAGATGCATGTCTCAGTAATTTACTACTAAGTTCAATGAAACTTCAGCCTTGGAGCATGTTTCACTGACACTCACCAAAGGGGAACTTTGCAACCATCCTTTCTGACTGAAGAGGGTCTGACACACCGAACCGGTTTTCAGCACGGATGCGGAAAACAAATTCCTTTCCAGGAATAAGTTTCCCAAGTCTGCAACTAGTCTTAGCGCATGAGGAGAGCGCTGTCACCCAGTCGCCTCTGGTCACGTCACACTTCTCAATAACATAGTTTGTAATATTGCTGCCACCATCCTCGAGAGGTTTGTTCCAGGACAGGGAACAAGCATCAGAGTCAATGTCACTGATTTCCACAGGGCCTTCAGGAGGACCAGGGATGTCTGCAATGTAAAAGTTTACCAAGTAATTTTTACTCTCTTTTGCTCAGACAAAAGAAGTATCACCTTTTTATTTCAGATAGTTAAAAAAAAAAGTGTTACGCACCTCGAATTACAATCTTTATTCCTTGGGAAACTTGTCCAGTACTGTTTTCCGCAATAAGACTGTATTCTCCACTGTCATTCCTTGTAACATCTTTGATGATAAGGACGCATAGGTTGCCAGATTGGTGCACAGCTAAACGGCTGGATGGGACCACTGCTTTCTCACCACGTGTCCACTTGCATGTGGGAACAGGTTTTCCTGAAACTAGCGCCTCCACTCTGAGCTTGGCTCCAGCTCTAGCACTAGCGGTTTCTGGCATAACAATCTTTGGCTCCACTGTGGTTTGAAAAAAAAACAACAAAAAAACTGGTTGTTGATGATTTTGGTACATAGTTCATGTTAGTAAACAGATTTACAGATTTCAAACATTAACCCACAAAATCCTTTGCTGTTTAATATCTTATCTCAGTATAACCAGGTTGTAACACGCAGTGTTAAACAATAATAATACAAACAGTTTTTCTTCTTTTCATGCATTAAAACATACCCATCTGTTCCTTGATTTCAGTTGGCTCTCTTGTTTCAGTGAATGAACTCATGCCCATGATGTTCTTGGCAGCCACTCTGAACTTGTACCTCTTGCCCTCCTTCAGACCACTGATGCTGACTGTTAAACCTTTAACTGTGGTGTAAGCGTTCCAGACTTCTTTTTCACCTTCATCTTCCTCTTCTTCCTCCACAACTGGGGGTGGCGGAGGCAGTGGAAGAGCTTCCTCACCTTCGGCTAACTGTAGTAAAGTAATACAGATGTTATCTAAGCAGAAATGATTTTTAAATGTCTCAAAAGAAATCAAAACTCCAGCAACATCAATGAATGTTTATATGTGTAAAATATCAGCATAATTGGGTACGTTGGTCATGATTGCAATGTAATTGTTGTTTCGGTCCACTATAACTGAATGACGTGGTAGGAGGACGAACCTTAACAGGGGCTGGTGGCTCTGGTGGAGGTTTCACTTCAATATATTCAATAACATAACCATCAATTTTGGCTCCTCCATCTCTTTCAGGCTTCGTCCAGCCAATCATCGCACTGTTCTTGGTTATTTCTAACACTTCAATCTTCTGACAAGGGTCTGGCTTGCCTGAAAAATAATTCAATATTTGAATATGTTGTCATTTCGGCTAAAAACACCCAAAGCAGAACTAAAAAAAAAGAACTAAAAACAGCTCAACTTTGATTCTGGGATAAAACATCATCTGTATTTTGTTGTTCTGAGTAATTAGTGACACTTACTGACAGGATCAGATGCCAGGTAGGAAGTAGGCGTGACTTTAGGAACACCAGAGCCGTACTCATTGACAGCAGTGACTCTGAAGTAATATTCAGTGCCAGGTGTCAGACCGCTGACTTTGACAGGAATCTTATCCGGCTGAAGTTCAGTCTTAACAGTTGCCCATGTCTTGCGGTCGATCTCTCGCTTTTCAACGATGTAGTGTATCACCTCACTGCCGCCGTTGTTTTCTGGAGGATTCCAGGTTAACATGACTGAAGTCTGCTTAATGTCTGTAGCTTCAAGATTCATTACAGGTCCAGGGGTATCTGTAGGGGAAAATGGCATTACTATTTATTTATTCTTAAACTTGGGCTAATTTTTTTATGGAACTATAAAATATTGAGGTTTTTGTCAGTAAAAAAATCTTAACTGAATTTGAAAGTATGGGCTTACCTAGAACCCTGACGTTGACAAACACAGCCTTTTCTCCTGCAGGGCTCTGTAGAGTCAGGCAGTATTTTCCAGAGTCATCACGGGTGCTATCAGGAATGACCAGGAAGGTCATTGTGTCTATGATGTCCACTTTGCCCTTCCTAACCACATTATCGATACCCATTCTCCTCCAAGTGACTGTAGGATGTGGTCTGCCTCTAATAGTGGCACAAAGTCTAATGGGACAACCAGCGCGAACTGTCAGGCCCTGCTTCAGGTTGGCATCCAAGTCGATCTCTGGTGCCTCTGTTGGGTAAAGAAAATATTTATGTTGGCAATGAATCAAGAAAAACATATTTATTGATTTCCTTGTGTAAACTTGTTATATACAGTGAACATATTTAATCACCTAGAATCTCCCTTGGAATCACGGCGCCCTCTAGGTCACAGGGCAGGCTCATGCCCACCTGGTTTTGGGCTGACACTCTGAATTCATACACTAGATTATGATCAAGGCTTGTGACTGTAAACTCGCACACAATAAGTTGTGCCGCTACATTGCATCTCCTCCAGCCATCATCTCCTTTCTTTGCACTGCCCTGTGCTCTCATCTCCACAACATATCCAATGAGAGGAGCTCCCCCGTCAGACACAGGCTTGGTCCAACCCAGGGTAACTGTTGATTTTGTACTGTCCACAACCTTTAGGTTGGTAGGTGGTGCAGGAGGCTCTGTCAATAGATTACAAAATGTGAGGTGCCGGACTTAATTATGGTTAACGCATTAACTAGAAAACAAGCTGTTATAATAAACTCACCCACTGCATCCTTTGCAGTGATTGCACGAGAAGCCTTGCTCGGAGCACCAACGCCGATTTCATTGACAGCCTTAACTCTGTACTGGTAATCATGGAGAGGCAACAGTCCAGTGACTGTGAAACGAGTTGCAGGGATTGGATCTTTGTTGACAGGCGACCACCTAACAGCATGCTCTTCTCTCTTTTCCAAAAGATAACCCAAGATTGGTTTCCCACCATCCTTCTCAGGCTCTGACCATTGTACTGTCATCTCCTCTTTGCTGATCTTTGTTACTTCTGGTGATTCGGGGGCATCAGGGACATTGAACTGGGTGCCGGCAACTATAGACTCAGTTTGAACTGCTGGTCCAGGACCCATTTTATTCTCTGCACGAACCCTGAAGATGTACTCATTACCCTCAATTAGTCGGGTTACTTTCGCCTTATTGGTGATAACGGCATTAGAATGAACAGACCAGACCCCTCTCTTGGTCTCACATTTTTCAATAATGTAGTTGTATATATCACAACCACCATCATCTTCAGGAACATCCCAGTGTAGACTGCACCTGTCTGTTGTTATATCGGACGGTTTGAGGTTCCTTACGGGACCAGGCCTGTCCAGCACATTCACAGTGCCTGTAGCGGAGCTGGTTCCTGCACTATTGGAGGCAGTGATGATGTATTTGCCACTGTCTGTTCGTCTAGCACCTGTAATCAGCAATTTAGAAAAGTCTACACCAGTTTCGAGTTGAAGTCTTGGGCCTTTCTTGATTTCGTCTGTGCTTTCATCCTTCGTCCATTTGACATCCGGCTGAGGCTTGCCCTTCACTGCTGCTTCTATTGCAATTGAATCTCCTGCCCTCACAACAAGGGTTGCCTCGAGTTTAACCTTTACTTCCGGCTCTACCAGCTGTTCCTTAACAAGTACTTCTCCTGTGGTCACCCAATTACTTTCACCTCCCTCATTCTTAGTCTGGACTCTGAACTGGTAGATTTGATTTTCGATACACCTATCGGCCATAAAGTAGGTCTCCTTGATTGCACCCTTATGAATTCTCTCCCACTCTTCAGCTTCCTTTGGTTTCTTTTCAATATGATAACCTATATTTCGACTACCACCATCATAATCAGGTTTCTTCCATTTTAAGAAGCAGAAAGTCTTTCCAATCTCAGATATATGGAAATCAATGGGTTCCCCGGGTTTTTCAATAGGATCGACGGCCAAAACTGGTGACTTTGTCTCTATGGATGGCCCAACTCCTATCTTATTTTCAGCACTCACACGGAAGAAGTATTCGCACCCCTCAGTAAGAGGAGCTTTTATCAAACGCTTGGTCCAGTCATTGGAGACTACTGTCCACCCTCTTTGGCTTGGCTGACGGCATTCAACGGTATACTGAGTAATCTCAGTGCCTCCGTTGTCCTCAGGGTTTTCCCAGGAGACCATGCAAGATTTCTTTGTCACATATGCCACTTTTAAGTTTTGGCAAGGTCCTGGTGTGTCTAAGACATTGACCAAAATAGTAGCCTGAGCCTGTCCACTGCTGTTCTTGGCAACAATGGAATACTTTCCATAATCTGACCTGACTGAATCATTAATAATCAGCTCACAGACGGGGTGGATGCTATTGATTTCAGTGCGCTTATCTCGCGACACAGCTCTGGCATCCTTTGTCCACGTGATCTCGGGATCTGGTCTGCCTTTTACTCTAGTAATCAAACTGATTGTCTGGCCTGCTCTGACTGTCACAGAGTCACGGCAAGAGACATCAACCACAACTTCAGGAGGCACCAGGATGTCTTTTGCCAAAACGGCCTCAGGCAGTTCCCTGGGTTCACTGTCTCCCACTATGTTTGTAGCTCTGACACGTAGTCTGTACTCCATTCCTTCAACGAGACCAGGGACTCTGTAGGCACAGATCTTGATTAGGTCTTTGTTGATTCGATCCCACTGGGCAGATCCTGACTTCTGAGCCTCAACAACATAGCCTAGGATTGGGCTGCCTCCGTCTCTCGTGGGTTTGGTCCAGCAGATGTCTGCATAGGATTTACTCCAGTCTTTAAGTTTGGGGTTGCCGGGAGGACCGGGTTTGGTGATGGCACGTGTAGCTTTGACCGGGTCAGATGTAAGTGAAGGCTCACTGATACCAGCAACATTCTCAGCAAACACTCGGAATTCATAGCTGTTGCCTTCAAACAGACCAGAGACTCTGTATCGTAGGTCCAGCACAGGAGTTTTGTTGACACGAATCCATTTTCCTGTCATCTCTCTGCGTTCAATCACATACCCACTGATAGGGCTTCCTCCATCATAGTCAGGAAGGGCCCATTCCACTGTAACTGCATTTTCTGTGATATCAGAGCACTCGGGGAACCCTGGAGGACCAGGAGGGTTAAACAAGTGCTTTGCAATCGTTGGGGGACTTTCAAGCCCAGCTCCAATGCCAATCTTGTTTTCTGCTCGGACCCTGACGATGTACTCGCGGCCTTTCTCCAACCGTGTCACCTTGGCCTTTGTGCTGATGCCACTTGAGCTAACAACGGACCAGGGTTCCCATGGCTTCTTGACATCTTTCTTTTCAACCACATAATTGGTGATGGGTGTACCACCGTCGTCTTTAGGTGCCCGCCATTGTATCATCATGTGATCGGGGGTAACCTCCAAAATATTGATGGGTCCAACTGGTGGTCCTGGTAGATCCAACACAGTGACGTGTAGAGCAACGGTTTTACTGCCCGCAGAATTTGACACAGTGAGCATGTACTCTCCGGTGTCTCCTCTCTGGCTCTCTACGATACTGAGGGTGGTTGAAGTTTCAGCAGATTCAATTTTGAATCGACCTTCAGATGTCAACTCCTTGCCGTCACTGATCCACTTGGCTGTGGGAAGAGGGATTCCTGTCATCTTAGCTGGTAGAACAATGGTAGTGCCAGCTTTGACCACAAGACCCTCAATAAGTTTCACATCAACTTCTATAGTAGGTGGCACTACAAAAAGAAGAAAACAGCAATCATGAATGTTCAAGATCCAAACAAGCACATGAAACAGAGTAGTTATGAGAACTGGTATGCCTTACATGTCTTCTCCTGGCAAGTAATGGGGACACTGGTCTCAGGGCGGCTGATACCAATGGCATTCTGAGCCTTAACTCTAAAGCGGTAAGTCTTGCCTTCTTCCAGACCTGTCACATGACTGTGGTTGTTGGTCATGGTCTTAAAGGTAACCCAATCAGTTTGGCCCTCTTCTTGGTGTTCAACAATAAAACCGGTAATTTCACTGCCTCCATTGCGATCAGGCCACTCCCAGGCCAACCACACCTCTGTCTTGTCTGCATCGGTATGGTGGAGATTTTTGGGTGGGCCGGGAGGATCTTAAAGGTGTCAAAAGAGGGACAATAAGTATCATCTATATATTTAGATTAAATATATCCTACTGATCATATTATTAGACCGCAATAACATAAGGTTTACTTACATAGAGGATCTGTAGCCTTAATGGGTACCTTGGTCACAACAAAGTCACTCCTGCCAAACTGGTTCTCAGCAGCCACCCTGAATAGATACTGAATTCCCTCCATAAGGTACATGGCCATAAGACTAAGCTTCTTATTGGCTGGAGCAACCGGTACCCACTGGTCTGCAGCCACATCCTTCTTTTGCACAACATAATGAGAGATGACTGCACCACCATTGTCCTCTGGAGCCTTCCATGTTAGGTAGGCTGACTCGCTAGTCACCTCGGACACCACAAGATCTCTTGGAGGAGAAGGCTTATCTGAAGGAACCAACGTGTTAAGTAAGATAAACAATTATAATTTAAAAAAGTTCAACTTGTTCGTTTTGGTATCCATTTTACTCACTCAGCACAAGCACGGCAACGGTTGCTGATTTCTTTCCAGCAGCATTCTCAACCGTAATAGTATAGTTGCCTGAATCTGCACGGACACACTTGGGGATGAAGACTTTGCTGCCGCTGGCAGTAACAGCCACGGTGATGTGAGAAGGAACATCTCCATCATTTTTCTTCCAGGTAATTGTCGGCATTGGAACCCCCTTAACTTTGGCACTAAGAGTGATGTCGGTACCCAGCATTGCTAAGTGGTCACGTGCCATGTTGGCATCCAAGAGTAATTCTGGTTCCTCTGTGAAAACAGACGCGTAAAAAGATTAATCGCTTGTTTAGAAGAAAAATGTTAAAAGAGAATCAACAAATAACCATGCCTATATTGGGAATCCATTTTGGATTTTTAATTGAAAACATAATACAGGGTTTTATTTTTTTGTTCTTCAGTTATTCCCTTACCAAGCCTGTCATGGACTTTGATGGTCTGTTTAACGTAGGCAGGGTCAGATTTGCCGGCTGCATTGACAGTAAAGATCCTGAAGGTATACTCCTGTCCATCAGTCAGGCCTGTCACCACGTAGTGAAGGTCAGGACACTCCTCTGGAGTTTTGTTGGCCTGAGTCCACTCTACGGAACCAGGCTTCTGATATTCAACGAGGTAGCCAAAGATTCGTCCTTTTCCATCGTGGCGAGGCATCTGCCACTTCAGACTCACTGAATCTTTGGTCTTATCGTAAGCTTCTGGTGTTACCGGAGGACTGGGGCACACTGTGATGAGACAGTATTCAGTTTTAGCAGCAATAAGCCAGACACAGAAGACATTATCAGAAATATAAAAAGTTGGATTATTTAAACTTTAAAACCTAAATAGCAAAGAGAATTAATGAAAGAGCTCATTCTATTTCTGAATAACTGATGATATTTAAAATAGATATAAGGAAAGAAATGTTGCACTGACCAATGGGATCCTTGGCAAGGATCGGTTTGGATGGGGGACTGGGATCTCCAGTGCCCAACTCGTTCTCAGCCATCACCCTGAATTCATACTCGCAGCCCTCTATCAAGTCCTGGACTCGGTACTGGGTCGCTGGATATAGAGGGTCTCTGGTGACTCTGGACCACCTCTTCGCTCCAGGCTCCTTCTTCTCCAGGATGTAGTTGGTAATAGGTTTGCCTCCATCACGGGGACGGTTCCACAACACCAGGGCATTGGTAGCATAAACCTCTCTGACTGTTGGCATCTCTGGAGCTTCAGGGACTCCTTTAATTTGGAAATATCAGGACATGGATTAAGATAATTTGACAGTCGTTTTTAATCAAAGCATGCAAGTCAAGCTTAGAAAAGTTTGAAATGATCTATTGCATGTAACCGGAAGAACTTACTGAACAGATCTTTAGCCTTCATCTCCTCGGACTCCAGAGGGTCGCTGATACCATACATGTTCTCTGCAGATATCCTCATGATATACTCTCTGCCTTCAGTTAGCTTCGGGATCTGGAAAGAAGAGAACATATGAATCATTTCTAATCTCCAGAGATCTCCTCTTGCTGGAAAACGTGAACCAGATCTACCTTGCATGTGGTCTTTGTTGTTGCAGATGTTACTGTGGTCCAGATTTCTCTGTTGACATCTCGCTTCTCAATTATGTAGTTGGACACCTCAACACCTCCACTATCCAATGGAGGTTTCCAGGAGATCACCATAAATTCTCTGTGGACCTCGTCAAACACCACAGGACCAACAGGAGGAGTTGGACGATCTGAAGGAATAAATAAAATGACAGTCGGTCGCTATGCTGATTGTTTTTGATCGTATATCTTACGTTTTTTCCTCCACTTTTCACCATACCTACAACTGTGACGTTACAAACGCCCTTTCTGGACCCCGTGCTGTTTTCCACAACCACCACATATCTGCCACTGTGCTCACGCTTCGCCTTTACCAGGCCCAGAGACATCATGGTGGGTGTGCTCTTTAAAATGATGTGTTTATCAGCTTTTAGTTCTTCGTCATCTCGGTACCAGACGATAGATGGAGCTGGTTTGCCCGTGTAGCGTCCCTGAAGCAGACAGCTTTCTCCCACACGTATGATGATCTTATCACGGAAGTCCAGCTCGATGGTTGGGGGCTCTGTAAGGAGAGACATTTTTCTTTATGTTCTCCATGGACTTCATTCATTTGCAGCTGAATTAAAACTTGGAAAGTGACTCACCCAGTTCGTCCTTGCAAGTGATCGGTTTGGTGCAGAACGATGGTTTGCTCTGTCCGACTTCATTCACTGCGATCACCCTGAACTCGTAGGTGTCTCCTTCTCTCAGGCCATCATAGGTAAACTTTCTGTCCATCAACTTCTCTTTGGTAAGCCTGGTAAACTTGTCCTTTCCAATCATACGTGCTTCCAGAATGTACATGGTGATTTCAGACCCTCCATCAAACTTGGGGGCTTTCCAGGTGATGCCAATCAAATGTTTGGTAACCTTGGTGACCTCCAGATCTTCAGGACGGTCTGGTACACCTAAAAAAAAGTAAAAAAAAAGTCTCTTATGGAAAGTTTTGGTATTTACAGTAACTTTATTCACATCTACATATTTCTTTATTGTATGAAATCTTGAAAGAGACTGTACTCACTGATTGGCTCCTTGATTATAACTTCCGCTGCTGTCTCCACAAACGGTCCAATACCGATGGCATTCTCAGCAGCCACTCTGAAGAAGTAGGCCTTTCCAAGGGTCAGGCCGCGAGCGATCGCATTCTGTCTGCTGGCGCTGTAGGACACAGCTGTCCAGGCTTTGCGCTCAGCTTCTCGCTTTTCGATTATGTAGTTGCTGATGGGAGAGCCTCCGTCGTTCTCGGGGAAGAACCAGCTGAGCTTGCAGGAGTCTATGCTCAGGTTTTCAGCCACAAATGGAATGCCGACAGGTCCAGGAACATCTAATCAGACGGAAGGGATTTTAAAAAGATAGTGTAACGGGCCGTTTAGATAAACTACTCCGATCATTTAACTATCACTCACCCAGGACTTCCACCGTGACGTTCTTTGTCTTCTCCCCACTGGCGTTCTTGGCAGTCACAGTATAAACGCCGAGATGTTTTCTGGCACAGGGTTTGATGACCAGTGAGGAGCTGATGGCAGTGCTCTCTACTTTAGCCTCTGGGGGCAGTCCTGCACCGTCTCTGGTCCAGGTAACGTCGGGCGTCGGCTGGCCCGACACGTAGGCAATGAGACGGATCACGCCGCCGGCGTGGACCACCATCTTCTCCTTCATTGATGCATCCAGGTCCACCTCAGGAGCAACTGGAAAGAAGAACCTTTGTATTACTGTCGTTTCCAAACAGTTAAAAAAAAGTTAAGGTGAATAACATTTAACTTACTGCTTCTGTCGTTGACCTCCAGCACCTCTGGGACTTCACCTGGCTCGCCGTTACCCGCTGCATTAAAGGCAATCACCCTGAATCTGTACTGACCTCCTGTCTTTAGACCACTGAACACAAACCGTGTGCCTCGGATTTCAGTTTCCTTCGCCTTGGAAAAAAAAAATACAATTTTCACTATAATTTAATGGAGTAATTATTATTTTTTACAACTTTTTACTTCTAATCATTAAATTTTTCTGCAATTATCTCTACTTTCTGTTGTTTCATTTAAGCTAATTTTTGTTATGGCCTGTAAATATATATATAAAAAAATAAAAACCAACAAAATAATTAGCTTCATCCAGACAATTAATTTCTTCATGGTTGGACCTGGTGCTGCCCCCACTTGTTGTTCACCACATACCAAAATAAATAGTTTTTCAAAATGATGGAAGTTAAATTATTCACAGTTACAATTACTTATAAAACTAAGAAAATGTAAGGAAGCTATCCAGAATTTCAAAAAAATGTTCCATTAATTGGGTAGTGCAGTAAAGTCATATCCACCTGATGACCACAGATCTCAGCACACATCTTAGACTGTCTCTCTGACATCAAAATGGATGAAAGCCCATCACCTCCAACTGAATCTCTCAAAAACTGAACAGCCAAACCAACCATACACCACAATTTTCACATCCCGACTGGATCTCTGTCTCCGACTCCATCAAAGGCAGGAAGAAACTTGGGTGTCATGATTGATGACCAGCTGACGTTTAAAGATCATGTTACCTCTGTCTCTCGATCTTGTCGCTTAACTCTACTAAACATAAGAAAGATCCGGCCATACCCAACCCAACATGCAACGCAACTCCTGGTGCATTCTACAGTTATCTCTCGCCTTGAATATTATAAAGCACTCAACAGGTCTCCCAGCCTGTATGTTAAACCGCTAGCAACGATCCAGAACCCGGTGGCCCGTCCGGTCTTCAATCTGCCCAAAAAGTCTCACGTTAACCCTCTGTTGAAATTCACCGGTTACCCCTGGCTGCCCACATAAAATTGCTAGCCTAGGGAGTGCTTAAGGGTGTAGCTCCCGTCTACTTGGACCCTCTTGCAAAGGCAAATGTCACAACTCAGTCACTCCGGTCACCAATGGATTGTCATCTAGCAGTACCTATGCCATGCCTAAAATAATCCAGACAGTTTTTATGGGTTGTTCCAAGTCGTTGGACTTATTCATGATAACGGTAAAATAGTGTCTACTTTGTAAGTGCTTTGGATAAAAGCATCTGCTAAATGCATAAACATAAAGCCTCTGTCCTAAACGTTTTTCCTGCATTACTTTTACCCATACTTTAAGTAGTTTTAAAAATGGTACTTTTACACTTTGACTTGGGTAAAAAGCTTCAGTTGATCCTACAAAAGTGTTTTTAAACAGTAGGATTTACACTTCTACTGGAGTGATAAACATTAATACTTCAGACACATCTGCTAACACAGCAATTAGGCTCAGATAAGTGTTGTCCCACCTTCACCCAGGCCTCAGTGCCCTCCTCCTTGTATTCCACCCAGTAGCCGATGATCTTGGACCCTCCATCTTTCAGGGGCGGAATCCACTCCAGGTCAACCGTGGACCGTGTCCAGTCAGAGACCCTCGGGGTTGGAGGCGATGGGGGAGCTTGACAGGGCAACAGACGAGAGGTTAGTATCCGGCCCTGTGTGCTTCAAGTGTCTCATGAATATTAACGACACTTACTAATGGCGTCCCGAGCGAAGACCGGGTCTGTTGGAGGACTGGCGAGTCCTGGGCCTGCGGCGTTGATGGCAGAAACCCTGAATAAATACTCAGACCCCTCAATGAGTCCGGTCACTACAAAGGACTCGCCCAGGCCCATGGGACGGATGGGGTCCCTAGTGACACGAGCCCAGCGTTTTCCTGTGGTCTCCTTGCGCTCCAACCAGTAGCCAGTGATGGGAGTGCCGCCGTCATCCTCAGGCTCCTCCCAGTTGACCGTCATGGAATCCATGCTGACGTTGGTTACTGTTGGCTTCTCAACTTGCCCGGGAACAGCTGGAAAACAGCAGAAAAGGGGAAGCAAAATTATTATTAGTTTAAGTAACAGACAGCGGCAAAGACCGTATCTGTTCTTCCTCCAAAGGTCAAAAAATGCTTTTTGAATGAAGATAAGTCATCTTATTTCTTGTTAAATAATACTTAGGCTTTTTGTTTTTTAACTATGAAGTAGAAAAAGAAGTACCCAGTGAACAGATATATACCGGCATCCTCTGTCTGGTGAGCTAAAGCTAAATGTCTACCTATTTTTTTACGTTAAAATCTTTACCAGAAGTTGCAACTTACTGTAACGGTTCCGGGCGACCTCAGGCTCACTGTCCAGAGGCTCACCGACCCCATACTTGTTCTGCGCCATGATGCGGAACACGTATTCATGTCCCTCCATGAGATTCTCCACGGTCCAGATGCGGTCTTTGGGCTCGTTGGTGACCGGCACCCAGGTTTTTCTGTTGGCCACGCGTCTCCAGATCACATAGTTGGTGATTTTAGAGCCGCCGTCATCCTTTGGTGGAAGCCAAGACAGTGTGATCTTTTCAGCGCCGACTTCTTCAAACTTAATAGGAGCAGATGGGGGGCCAGGACGACCTGCAAAAAAACGGCAATTAACAATTTAAGTGGCTTTTTATGGCTACAGAAATCTGTCATCGAAAGCTTATTTAATTTCTAGATTTTTGTTTGGTATGAGTTATTTTAGCAATAACTCACTAAAGCTGGATAATGTAGACGTTAAATAATTATTCCTCCATTATAAAACGAAACAGAGGGGCCTCCAACACTGTTAGACAATCCTGTATCTCATTCTGTCCGTCACCCAATGAAGGATAGTGTTTTCCTGTCTCATGGTTATTTAATACACATACGTTATAAAGTGTACATTACGTAAAGAGTTCCCTCACTGGTTCGTTTCCTGAGAACAGATCACTCGTGACAAACTCTTTAAATAACACTCCATAATGTGTATGTCTTAAATAACTGCAACACATGAGGACAGATTTTGACAGAAATTGTTACTCAGACCAGAGAAGTTGCTTAGGGTTGGAAGAAGCTGGTGCTGAACTGGAGAGCTCCTTCAGTGACAGACTGCTGCATCCTAAATGCACCAGGGAGCGTTATCACAGATCCTTCCTCTCAGCAGCTGTTAGACTCTAGAACCACCACTGTTCCCAACAACCTGAATAAGTTGTTCCATTCATGCTGATTTTGCACAGTTTTTGTCCTAGTCATTTAAATAACATGCTGCTGTCATTTTGCACATCTCTGGTGTTGCTGCCATTTTCACATATCAACTGCTTTAAAAATGTCCACGGCTGTATATTTGGTTATTTACTCTCCAGGTGCACAGCATTTATATTGTAAAAACACTTTACAGTAAGGTACTTTATTTATTTTTTTAACTCTGCCACTTATTCCGATATTTTTTATACACTTTTAAGGAGTACATTGGTGTGACTACTCTTGCTGTTATGCTTTTTACTGCTGTAAAACCACAATTTTAGGTGAGGAGACAACCAGTTCAGATAATTGTTGAATATTTTTTATTGGGACAAAATCCTATCATTTACTTTTAATGAACTTTTCTAACTGAATGGAAATCATTAGAAGTTTCATTTCTAGCTTTAAAAAGGCTTTATGATGCCTTCTGCCGGTTCTGTTTATCTATTTTTGTAGTCATCAAAGTATCACTAGTTTCTTAATAAAAGTAATACGTTTATATTCTGTTACCTAAAAATGATTGTTTTATACTTTAGTTACTTTAGTTATTTAGCATTTACCAAGTTTTTTCATAAATTTTACTTTTTATTGTGGATTAAATTCAGGAAGGCAAATATTCCAAAATGAGTTTGAGCTTCTTTAGGTTTGTTTTAGATAACCGTTAATATTTTTTGCTCTCGGTTAACTAATTGATTGTTTCGAGGCGTACCGAGCACATTGAGCCTCATTTCCTTGGAGGCCTTGCCAAGGCTGTTGGAGGCCACCACAGTGTACAGGCCCGTGTCGTGACGTTTGCCCTGCTGGATGAGGAGCGTGCAGCTGTCGTCGGTCACCATCTTGTTGATGTGCTCATCGTACTGGACCTCTGCCTTGTCGTCAGACTTGTGGGGAGGCGCCTTGTACCAAGTGAGTGTGGGGAAGGGGCAGCCACGAAGCTTGGCCACAATGCTGATGTCGGCGCCCTGCTCCACCTCCATGAACTCCTCCAGCTCAATGGATGGAGCACCTGGAGCGAAATGGGAAGACTGTCACTCATTTACCTTCGCAGCATCGACTCAAACCCCAATAAAAAAAAAAAATGTGATAAATACAAAACCACAATTTGAATGGATAAACCTTCATATTTAAAATTGGTTATCTATTATAGAAACCAAAAATGGAAACCCCTGCATCAAAGCTGCGGGCTTACATGTCTGGTCCTGGATGATGACGGGTCCGGCGGTGGATGACGGTCTGCTGGGTCCGGCTTCATTGTAAGCCGTCACTCTGAACTCGTATTCGTCTCCTTCTGTCAGGTCCTCCACCTTAAAGCTGGTGGTGTCCACGTCTCTCCTGTTGCACCTGAGATTCAACAGTGACCCTTTAGCAGCCGCTAACAAAAGCATCACGCTAACGCACAGAGATCCAACCTTACAGAAGAGCTCATCCCACATCAATTCAAGTTACTTTCTGAAGACAAGTTTCATTTTAAAAAAACACTTTTTATTGTATTTTAAAGAGGGCTGAAACAATTAATGAGAATAATCAATTATTGAAATAAACGTCAATGTGACGGGGTTCTTTGTTCACCAAGAATTCATGCCTCAGTCAGGTTACCGGTGTTGGTGGTTTACTGTGCTCAAAAACTCAAAGCAGGGTGCAAAAGAAATTATACATTTACAAGATCCTCTGGGCCTCAGCCTCCCTCCAGTTACCATCAATGTAACAAAGAAACTGAAAAACAAAATGGCCGCTCTTCTTCCCACAGCCCTCAATAAATAGCTTAAGCCCCTCCCCTCAGGCTCTCATCTTTCTGATTGCCTCACATAAATCAGTTTTAATCCATATAGGCCTATTATTGCCTCAACAAACAATTAAAATTGATATACAAAAACAAAAAAATTGTACAATTTAATTCCTTTTAACAGATTCATGGACTTATTAAAATACACCCAACTTTTAAACAGGACCAGCCGAGAACCATCCAAGGTCCCATCAAGGAAAGTGGGGACATTTTAAATGGCTAATACTGTATGTTAGTTGGGAGAAGATACACAGTTGTTGGGCAGGTCATGTGACCTGGAAGAACGTATCGCTTCACGGCCACAGGCTCCTATATAGTCATGGAGCTAAGGCTTTAGCTGTACTATTTTTTTACGTACTCGGCTACTGGTCATGGCTGAGGCAAGGAAAAAGTTCAAAACATCTGAGGAGGCTAGAAACAGAAAACGTGAAAGGAATCGAGGGAAAACAAGTCAATCATGGAAAGTAGTTTATTCGTTGGCGCAGGCTGAAAGAAGCAGCCGGATATAAAACTGATTCGCTTTTCTCAACTTTATCATTAGACTGGTAAATTATCGACAGACTTATTTGCAAAATAATCGTTAGTTGCAGCCCTAATTTTAATTCTTTAGGCACCAAAACTCTGTAAACTAGAATCTCAAAGTTGGTGTCTGATCTTTGCTGGGTTGGGTTCACGCTGGGGCTGAAACAATTAATCGGATTAATTGATTTTTAAAATAATTGTCGAATTATTTATTAATCTATTTACCGTTAACTGGAGTATAGAGATTGTAAAATAAGCTTTTAGCTGACAGAGTGACACACTTAGAGCAGTAATTGTACCAAGAATGCAAAACAAATATAAACATTTTGCATTTAAGATAGAAAAAATGTTTTCATCTGTCAGTATTCTCTATCCAGAACTCCTAAAGTGGAAAAGTTTTAGTTTCCCCTGCTTTAATTTGGTAAGAAATCTTCTTTAAGGAACCGTTGGCAATCCGATTATTAATAAATTCATCAAAAGAATAATCAACAGATTCATCGATTTGCAGAAAAATGATTAGTTGCAGCGATTGTTCACATGGAGAGCCTCCAGAAGACTCACCTCCTCCAGGACTCTTTCTGGGCTCCACTGGAATCCCAGCACAGAAGGTCAACGCTGTAGTGGGTAACGGGTGACCCTCCGTCGTTCTTCGGAGCCTTCCAGGTCAGCGAGACTGTGCCCTTCCTGACGTTCTGGATCTTCAGCCGTGTTGGAGGATCCGGGGGATCTGCATACAGACGATTATCAGGTGAGCCATGAAAAAAAGCTCATACTGTGGAGGTTAACTAAAGTGAGTTCAGACGTACGGATTGGATCTCTGGCTTTGGTACTTTCAGTAGTCTCAACATATGGGCCAAACCCGAAGCTGTTCTCAGCTCGGACACGGAACAGGTACTCCTCACCCACAATGAGGTCTGGAACCACCAGAGACTGAGTGGCACAGGTTGGGTTCACCTGAAAGAGCAAGATCAGAGTGAAATCTTTGCCCACAGTGTTTGTTATGAGTCAGAGGTCAGAGGTCATTACCTTGGTCCAGGCTTTGCCTTCCACGGTTTTCTTCTCAATAAAGTAGCTCTTCACCCGCTCTCCTCCGTCGCTCTCTGGAGGTTTCCAGGAGAGTCTGCAGGTTCCTCTGGTCACATCACTCACCTTCAGATTCCTGACAGGTCCAGGCAGGTCTGCAGAGCCACAAAAAAAGGTCGCAGTTATCGCTGGACCTTATCCACCCTGACAGACAGCAGTTCTGTGTAAATTGTAATTGATAAATGCTTCTACGTACCGAGCACGTTGACCCTGACTTTGACGATTTTGTGTCCGGCCGGACTCTCTGCGTTGATGATATATCGACCCGTGTGACCGATCTTGCTCTCTGGGATCACCACCACGGAGATGGTGTCAGTAGAGTGGATCTAGAAGAAAAGAAAAAAATGAAGAACACCTCAAACTGATTCCAGTGCAGACCAGTTTCTCTGATTTACTCCAAGCAGGTTTGTGTTTTATGCAACGTTCACACCGCACGCAATTTCAGCAGCAAAAAAAGCTTCTGCTGCTTCATTTTTGTCCCCATTAAGGTCAGGCATCCAGTAAAGTGAGTCCAGATGCGTCTGATGCCTCTGCTGCTCCTATGTTCAATGCCATAGTGCGGCTTTGCTATATTTGCTGTAAACAGTTGGTAAAAGTAATTTTAATATATTTTTTAGTGAGAAAGTCCTCCTGAAAACACGGTCTGTGCAGTCAGTTCATCCAGATTACCATCCTGCCTTCAAAGATTATTTCTCTGTGGGAGCCGCTCAGACCCCCACATACCGGCGCTGCGCTGTCACTGGGATTCCCCAGCAGCAGCTGCCTCAGGCCCGGGAGCCTCTTGGGGGTTTTCCCCTCCTGTTGGTGGCGGCTGGAAGTAGATGTTAGCGTATTTCAGGTCTGTGCTACAAACTGCAGGCACCAGGATAATAAAAGCCAACATATTCTGCCGGCAGGTTTCTACCTTTGAAGTTAATTTAGGCGTTAATAAACTGTTTCAGAGGAGTGATCATAGTCTTTCTTCCTGCAAGCTCCCAGATCAGCTTCTCTGATTGGTTAATGTGCACGTCGCACAGCAAAACTTACATTTTTCCAACTCCAGCATCTCCTGCTATTTAAGCGTATCACGCACCTCAGATGTGTCAAGTTGCGCTGCTCCTTCTGATTGAGATGCGCTGCAGGACCTTTAGATGCACCTCGATGCGCATCAGACATAGACTTTGTATGTAAAGTTACTGCTGCTCAAATCGCGTTAGGTCTGAACGTAGCATTAGTTTCTGCCTATAATGTATTTTATTATGCAAAAGCGGTTTTCATTTAGAAAAGCAACAATGTGACTCCAGAACGTCCCTAACCTCGGAGTCGACGGGCAGCGTGTGAAGGTCGTTCTTCTTCTCCGTCTCAGCTGTCCCGTCCACAAAGGTCCAGGTGACTTTGGGAACGGGTCGTCCAGTTATGGTGGCAGGAATCCTTATGGTGGTTCCTGCTCTGCAGTACAGCAGGTCGTGAGCGTTCACGTCCAGAGACACAGCTGGTTCGACTGGAGAGCAGAACATTAGAAGATGTTACCAGAACAGAGAGATGCATCCTATCAGTGTGACCGCTGAGGTCTGCTCTTACTCAGGATGTCCTGGACCACGATGTCTCCGGTCCTAGCGGGCTCTGACTTCCCGGCGGCGTTCACTGCATAGATCCTGAACTTGCATTTCTTGCCCTCTTTTAGGTCAGGGACGGTGATTTCTGTGGAGGGGTGGAGCTTGTCGGCAGGGTTCACCCTCCTCCAGTCCGGGGAGCCCTCCTCGTGAACCTCAACGATGTAACCCTTGATCGGGCTGCCGCCGTCTCTCTCTGGAGGAGCCCAGGCGAGGGTGATGCTGCTCTTGGTCTTGTCTTTAACCTCGGGGGTTCCAGGTGGGCTTGGGGGGTCTGAGAAAGAAGAGCAGTGATAAAAAGATTGAATCAGTTTAATTACTTGTCTTCTAGACCTCCACGTCGGGTGTTTAGTGGAGCTCCAAATAAATTAGGATGTAAGAGAGACTCACTGCATGGGTCGGTGGCGAAGCGGCACTCCGTGGCCTCGCTGTGGGGGCCGACTCCTGCCGCATTGCAGGCTGCAATCCTGAACTGGTATTCTGTTCCTTCTATGAGCCTCAGCACCGTGTACTGCAGCCCCTTCACTGCTGGCTTGGTCACCGGCGCCCGGTTAACGCGGCCCCAGTAGACGGCACCGCGTTCCCTCTTCTCCAGCCAGTAGCCCTGGATGGTGGAGCCCCCGTTGTCCAGCGGAGGGTCCCAGGTCACCGTCATGGTGGTTGCAGTTGCAGCTATGATTTTGGGGTTACGTGGAGGTCCAGGAAGTCCGAACGGATCTCTCAGCTGGACTTTCTCTGAATCGCAGCCATCGCTGACTCCATACTTGTTCTCAGCTTTGATCCTGAACTGATAGACTCCATTCAGGTTCAGTTTGTAGACCTGAGGAATCAGATCATGACATAAAATAAATATAAGAACATATACTTAGAGAACTCTAAATGATGAATTTAAAAATTAGTGGCACAAGCGAACCCCATATCTTCTATCGATCAGGTTGATGGTCAGAACATCAAAGTCTGACTTCTTCTTGCTGGCATCTCTGCGCTCCACAATGTAGTTAGTGATTTCACTGCCTCCGTTGTCCTCCGGAGCGTCCCAGGTCAGGTAGCAGGAGTCCGCCTTGATGTCGGACACAGTGATGTTCCTCGGAGGAAGGGGGCGGTCTGAAAGAGCAAGGTCACATGAATTGGTAAGGAAACCAAAACCAGAGGCTTCCCCCACCAGGTGAAGGTTCTGGTCCTTACCCAGGACCTCCACTCGGACCACATGCTGAGCTTTGCCGTAGCAGTTCTCAGCAACAAGGTTGTAGTTTCCTTTGTCTTGTCGGACAGTTTCTGGGATAGAAATCTTCGTCCTCAGTGTTGTTCTGTTTACCTGGAAATAAGAACCAACAGCTTGATACAGCAGAGCCTCTTTAGAAATCAATCTGATTGCTCCATTTTAGCCAAACATTTGAGCTGCTGTAACTGTGGAATATCACATCTGAAAATAAGTTAGGTCCCTGAGTTTTGATTCAGTTTGATCTGGTTAACCAAAAAAAATAATAAAAAATAGACTTAGAATTAACAAAAAGTGATTATATTTTTTTATTTATTTTGGTTTGTTAATCCATTGGAAATTAGTAGATCTTTCCAACTCCCTGTTTAATTTTTACCATGAAGAGATAATAAAGACTTTAAGATAAAAGCTGGTCAAACCTCCTCTGTTTCTAAGGTCATCTTCTCCTCATCAGGCTTCTCCATCACCACATCGTCCTTTATCCACTGGAGTGTCGGCAGAGGAAGGCCAGTCACCTCTGCTGGGATGTCTATGGCGGCTCCTTTCCTCACAATGATGGCGTTGCTCTTGAAAAACTTCAGGATTGTGATAACTGGAGCGACTGCAGACGAAAAAAAGAAACTCATCAGAGGTCATCTGAATCAGAGTGTTTATCCATCGTCAGTAGGTTCTGCTGCGTACTTTGGTCGTCCTGGATCCTGGCGGTGATTGGTTTGGATGGTTCTCCGTCTCCAACCTCATTCACAGCTTTCACGCGAAACTTGTACTCCTGGTTCTCAGAGAGGTTCTCGATAGTTCCGCAGCACTCAGTGAAGATCTTCCTGTTGGCCACGTCAAACTCTGTGCTATCTGACCTCATCTTCTCCACGTAGTATCCTCTGATGGGGCTGCCGCCATCAGTGCGTGGGGGCTCCCAAGCCAGAGTGATGGTGGTCTTGCTTCGGTCTGTGTAGTGCAGCTTCTCTGGAGCAGATGGAGTACCTGGAACATTTTAAAGGACGTTACTCCAAACGTCTTTGAATGTGAGGTCAGACTTGCTGCAGGTCATCTTTAAGTATTCTACCTTTAGGATCCTCAGCCAGGATGGGGCCCAGGTCTGCTGGAGCTCCATCGCCGTACTTATTCCTGGCAATGACTCTGAAGTCGTACTCCTCCCCAGCTAGCAGGCCCTGAATGTCGCACCTGCAGGATGCCATCTCCATGGGCTGCCGGAACAGCCTCATCTTGGCGTCCTTCCTCAGCACCTCGTAGCCGATGATGTCGCTACCGCCGTTGTCCAGAGGATCTGACCAGGTCAGGACGATGTTCTTCTTTGTCACCAGGACAGTCTTCAGGTCCACCACTGGTCCAGGGACATCTTTAGGAAGAGAGCAGGGGTTAGTGTTACCTTCAGCCTGGCATTCAACGCTATCCTGACACACTTCTGAAAAACTGACCCATAACATCCACTTTGGTTTCTGCCGTCTTGGTGCCGCTGCTGTTGGTGCCGGTAATCTGGTATTTCCCGCTATCGGTCCTCACGGCCTTCTTGATGAACAGGCTGCTCCTCTTGCCCTCTGTCTCCACAATCATCCTCTCTTTGTCGATCTCTGCTTCGTCTTTGGCCCATTTCACCTCTGGCTGAGGTCTACCAGTCACCACAGCCGGAAGCCTCAGCGATTCGCCGGCTTTTATCATGACGCCATTCTTCACGGAGGCATCGAATTCCACGACAGGTGTTTCTGAGGGACACATTGGTCGGATGAAACAGCAATGTTTTTAACATCTTTAAAAGACGTTAACCACTATATTAATGAGGAAACTCTTCATACCTTGTGGCTCTTTGACCGTTACAGGTTCGGTGAGACCAGGAGCTCCAGGGCCGGCGTCATTAACAGCAAGGATCCGGAAATAGTAGTCTGCTCCTTCCGTGAGGCCGGTCACCGTGAACGTCAGCTCTTTACACCTGAACTCTGTGCAGCGGCTCCATTCCTTCTCTCCAGCCAACACCTGTAAAGCAGAGTACAGCCAGTAAGATCTTGGTGTTCCCTCCAGAACTGCAGATTTAGAATGTTTACATCATATTCTGTCCAGGACCTTTTCAATGTGGTATCCCAAAATGTCCCCTCCACCATTGTACAGCGGGGGCTTCCAGGCCAAGATGACAGAATCTTTGCCAGTATCCACGACCCTGGGGATGGGGGGTCCAGGAGGAACTGGGGGTAACACAGTTTAGATTCATACTTTGTTCATTAAACGATAATAATGAAGCGCATAAAATTCTCAAAAACTTAACTTACGAATTGCATCCATGGCTACGATGCGGTCAGTGGGCTCACTGAAGGGTCCAGGGCCCGCCAGATTCTCCGCACACACTCTGAAGATGTAGGTTAGGCCCTCCATTAGACCAGTGACCTTCACGTCCAGGGAGTTGAGGAGGGCCCGGTTCACTCTGGTCCAGTGTTTGCTGTTCACCTCCTTGCGCTCGATCCAGTAACCAAGGATGGGGCTGCCGTTGTCCTTTGGCTCATGCCAAGAGATGTGGGCTGAACTTGCTGTCACCTCATGAACTCTAGGGATGTTGGGAGCATCGGGGGGATCTGATTTGAAAGGAAGAGTTCAGTGATTTATTCTGAACAATATGTGGAAAGATTTAATCTGATTTTGCGGCTCTTCTCACTGAATTGATTTTTGGCCACGAGCGGCTCAGAGATGCACGGTGGACCACAGCCATATTTGTTCTCAGCTGTGACTCTGAAGATGTATTCCTTCCCCTCGATGAGTTTGATGACGGGTAAGCTGGTTCCCTTCAAGGTGGAGGTGATGGTGATCCAGCCAATCTCGTCGCTCTTGTTGTCTTTCTTCTCCAAGATGTAGTTTAAGATCTCGCTCCCACCGTCGTCCTCAGGAGGCTCCCAGTTACAGATGACCGAGGTGTTCCTGATCTCATCGAAGGTGAAGTTTATCGGGGGTCCAGGTTTATCTGCAGAATAATAGAATTAGACTCTTCTCTAACCTCCAGAGGCAAGAGGAAAAAAAAAAGCTCCTTCTTACCCAGAACATTGACGAAACAGGTGGCAGAAGCGACGCCGTGAGTGTTCTCCACCTTGATTGTGAAGGTCCCATGGTCGACCCTGACGGCGTCACGGATCATCAGGGCAGACTGGCCTTTTGTGGTCTTATCCAGACCAAGACGCTCCCTTAGAGGAGTCACAAACTCCTCCTCTGGTTCTGGAACCTGAACAAAGTAAAGTCCAGATTAATTTAACACTTTCAGGTCAAGCTTTTAACCAGCAAGGTTTCTGAGAGAAAACCAACATGGGCTTTGGTCTTCTTCTTCTTCAGCACTGGAATTATCTTTTTAGCGGGCTCTTTGGTCACATCCTCCTCGTTCCTCAGCCAGGTGACTTTGGGGTATGGAGAGCCAGAGATAAAAGCATCGATGCGGATCTCCTCGCCCTTCTTTACGCAGAGGCCGGACTGCACGCGTGCATGCAGGGTGACCTTTGGTTTCTCTGAAAGTAGAAGCACAGAGATCCAGTATTGATTAGAATCAGTTCTTCATGAATAAGAGCAGATTGCGGCAGACATACTCACCAACAGGATCGGCAGCCTTTATCAGCGGCGTGCTGCGCGACGGCTCGCTGACTCCGGCCGCGTTCTCTGCTCGGACTCTGAACTGATACTCCATGTCTTCTTTCAGATCCGTCACCACATAGGAGAAACCGGCAACCAGGCTGGGGGTGACCCTCTCATAGCGGTCGCCATCCTTCTCAATCTTCTCTATAATGTAGCCCTGGATGGGGCAACCACCATCGTAGTCTGGAGCCTTCCAGGTGACGGTGATGGACTTGGATGTGGGGTCATGGCCCTCGACCTGGATGGGAGGGTCTGGTTTTTCTGTGTTGAACCAGGAAACACAGGAAATGAATGCAGGTATACATTTAAAATGTCCTCTAGATGTTAGAGAATGAGTCTAAACCAGAGCTTACGTTTGATTTCCTCCATGATGACAGGGCTGCGCAGCTCCAGATATTCTCCGGCTCCGACTGTGTTGACAGCCTTCACTCTGAAGTAGTACTCGCAGTTGATGTAAAGGTCTTTGACGTTGAAGGTTAGGATATTCTGGCCCGACATGACAGGAATGTAGGTTTTCTTAGAGGCTTCCCGACGCTCCAATGTGTAACTGACAATGGGGGTGCCACCGTCATCTTCCGGAGCTTCCCAGCTGATCACACAAGAGTTCTTGGTGACGTCGCTGGAGGTGATGTCTTTACACTGACCGGGAAGCCCTGTGAGGTTTCAGACATTCAGTTAGCTTCCTAAACCTGTATACATTCAGCAGTTTGCAATATCAGGTGAACTATCCTACCGATAACTTTGACGTTGATGTTTCCTGTGGCACTTCCCAGACTGTTCTCCAGGGTGATGGTGTAGGCACCGGCATCGGAACGTTGGGACCTCAGCAGCTCCAGATGGGCGCTGTTCATCTCAACCGTCATGGAGAGCCTGTCGTCCGCTTTGCACTCCACGCTGTCTTTCTGCCAAACCATCTTGGGGGTAGGGATTCCTTTGTAGGGGATGTTCAGGTGCAGCTTCTCTCCTTCAACGACGATCACATCCTGTGCGTCCAGATCCATGGATGGTGCACCTGCAGGTCAGAAGACATGATAGTCATTCAGGATTCCCTCTGGCCTCTGAAACCTGGAGAAAGAAGAAATCTAGATCCTTACAGTCTGGATCTTTGGTGGCAACTTTGTCAGAGATATCAGAGGGATCGCTAACTCCAATAGAGTTTATGGCCCGAACTCTGATTACGTATTTCTTCTCTGGTTTGATCCCATCGTCGATCCTAAAGTTCAGCTCCTTAATGGGGCGGGCGTTGACCCGTAGCCACTTGAGTTCTGGACGAGCCTCTGCCACCTCAACGTGGTATCCCGTGATGGGACAGCCGCCGTCCTTGGCTGGTGGTTTCCAGGTGACATTGATGTGTTCCCTGCTGGTGTCAACAATGGCCACATCCAGAGGAGGAGATGGAACACCTGGGCAGAGGTAAGGCCATTGCTTAAAACAGAACTGAACATTTAATTGCCATTTTTATTGATAGAAACATAGCGTGGGGGATTTTATTTCAATTTTGAGCCAAACATTTTCAACCATAAATCTCTGTTCACTGTTCCCTGAATGAATAGTGTTCATTGAATCATTTACACACCTGCAGATTTGAATTTAAATAATTTTCTTTCATTGAAAAACTTTTTTTATAGAAGACAACAGAACAGTTAAAACAAGAATAATTTAATTTTGAAGAATTTAAAATCCTCACATATAAAGCCTTATTTGGCCAAGCTCTCAATATGCAGGTTTACTAGTGGTTCCTAGAATTTCTAAAACTGGAATGGGAGGCAGATCTTTTAGTTCTCAGGCTCCTCTCCTGTGGAACCAACTACCAGTTTTAGTCCGTGAGGCAAACACCCTGTCTACTTTTAAGGCTAGGCTTAAAACTTTCCTTTTTGATAAAGCTTCTAGTTAGAGTTGCTGAGGTTATCCTGAGCTATCTCTATTGTTCTGCTGCTATAGGCTTAGACTGCTGGAGGACATAGGGACCCCTTTTTCATCATTTTGCTTCATTCTATCTCTATTCTCCCACTCTGCAGAATCTGTTAGTTGAATCTCTAACGTTCTGCTCTCTCTGCTTTTTCTCATAGTAGCTTCATCTGGTCTGTTCCTGTTTGGCTGTGACTCCATCCTGGAGAGAAATATCAGCTGTGCTGCTGCCATCAACACCTTTGTTTCTAGATGTTGGAGCTTGGCCTGTTTTCCAGTGCAGTCCTGTTTCTCTGACTGTGACTAACTGGATGTGCTCTCTTCATCCTCTGACATGGGAGCTGGCTCGGAGCTCGTCTGCCTGGCTGTGTGTTTCCTGGACGGGGCCGCCTGTGGAGCTGGTTGACAGTTGCCTTTTGTATCTATGCTTCTTTTTCTATGTCTGCTTCTGTCTCCTTGAACCCCAGTCGGCCTCAGCAGATGGCCGCTCACACTGCGCCTGGTTCTGCTGGAGGTTTCTTCCTGTTAAAAGGGAGTTTTTCCTCTCCACTGTCACTAAAATCATGCTTAGTGTGCGTGAATGTTACAGAGTCAATAAGATGATGCAATCAACTGGTTTACCTTAAATTAAAAACTTTGAAACAATCTTGGTGATCTGGTTGAATTGTCACACTATTGCTGCTATAGAAATATGTTGAACTGAAGATTCTACAGACGAGTATAATAAAATATTAAAGATTAGAAAATGGGATGTTGAAAAAGATTCATGCGTTTCCCATTTTTGCCTTCTTAGCATGACAGCAATCAAATCTTTCCTTGGTTGCCAACCATCTTTCATTGATGTTTCTGGTGATGAGCTCCATGTCTTTGGGGCTGGAAGGCCTCCCCGCCATCATCCTAATTACTGCCCTACTCATAGATGTTTTATTAAAGGTCTGGACTCTTCTAGACACTAATTTTGCTTCCAGTAGAAAGAAAGATATTGCTCAAATCAAACCATCACTAAAATTTTAATCCCCTCAATGTAGCAACAAGCTTGGGCCTAAAGGTGTCTTTCTTAATGAAGAAAACATAACAGTTTCTTACTGGTTGGATCCTCTATGGTGAGGATGACGGTAGGCTCACTAGGATCTCCTACTCCAGCCTCATTTTCCGCTCTGACCTGGAACTGAACCTCTGATCCTTCGTCCACGTCAGTCACCTTGAACTGAGTCTGTTTATCTGGAGTCTTGCAGCACTTCAACCAACGTGTTCCGACTTTTTCTTTCTTTTCAATCACATATCTGTGCAGAGAAAATCCACTCATCACATTTCATCTTGGGTTTTAGTTTCACCACAGAAATAAAAAGCTAGAAAGTATTCTTAGGTCAAACTGAAAGCCTCGTCGCTGACGCTCCTCTTACTTAGTAATGGGTCTTCCACCGTTGCTCTTGGGAGGCTCCCACTTCAACTCCACGTGTCTCTTAGTGACCTCCACCACTGTCAGGGCGTATGGAGGACCAGGAGTAGCTGTAAAAAGGCAATAAATCCAGATCTAGATTGAATTTTCCTTCGGTTTCAGCCCTACTGTAGAACAGTTTAAATCAAAGTATTAATGACTGGAGCTTTCTGTGTGATCAGATTGGCAGCAGTGGAACATACTGAACGTGTCCTTGGCGAGCACTGCATCCTCCAGCTCACAGAACTCTCCCGTTCCAACGGCGTTCTCTGCAGCCACTCTGAACACATACAGCGATCCCTCGTTCAGAGGCGTCACCGTGTATTTCAGCTCCTTGACGGTGGTGTCGACAGTCTGCCAGGCCTTCCGCCTCACATCCCTCTTCTCCACCACGTAGTTGGTGATGGGAGACCCACCATCGCTGCTGGGAGCCTGCCATTTCAGGTCAGCATTGATCTTGGTGATGTTGGTGACCTCCAGCCACTGAGGAGCGGATGGAGGATCTGCAGGAGGGAAAAAAAGTTATTTCAGTGAGACGTTCTTTCCTACGGAGATTTCCCTGCTGCCAGTTTTTAAGCAGGACTTACAGAGTCTCTCCTTGCAGACCACTGGGTCACTGGGCTCGCTGGGTTCGCTCTCACCAGCCTTATTGACGGCCTTCACCCTAAACGAGTACTCCTGCTTCTCCATCAGACCCTTCAGCTGGTGCTCTGTCTGAGGAACGTCCTCTGCAATGCGGATCCACTCCTCGCTACCTGTCTTCTGGAACTCAATGATGTAGCCTTCGATCTTGGCCCCGCCGTCGTGCTCTGGCCGCGTCCATGCTAGCAATGCAGTGGTCTTTCCAACCTCCCTGACAACCGGTTTCCCAGGTGCCCATGGAGGATCTGCGAGAAACCCAGTGTTTGTATCATTTCTTTGAGGTGCACAACAGTTACATCAAACAACCAATAATCGAATGCTGATACAACATCATGACACAATTCAGCGGTCACCTCCCTGTAGACCAATGTCGTGGATAAACTGGTGACCTACCGATGGGGTCTTTGATCAGCACAGGATCTGTCTCCACGCTCGGTTTTCCAGGTCCAGCCAGATTTTCCGCCAAAACACGGAAGCGGAACTTCTTCTTGGTGGGGAGTCCTTTTACCCTGCAGCCAAACAGACACTGTATGAAAAACTCTCCAGATCAACAATTCTGGAACTTTATAAACCTCAAAGCTGGGCTCATTACCTGAAGGTTGTGTCTTTAATGGGCAATTTGTTGCATCGGATCCACTTGTCGCTCTCTTGATCAAACTTCTCGATCCAGTACCCAGTGATGGGGCTGCCACCGTCCTCGTCTGGCTCAAACCAGGTCAGGGTCACTGCATCCTTCGCAATGTCAGATGGAGTGACTCTGGTCGGAGGACCAGGAGGATCTGAAGCGGAGGGAAGGAAACTTGATTAATTCTGTGACCGAAACTCTCGAAATTTGGATGAATTGATCCGTGTGACAGCATACCAAAGGAGTACTTTGCAATGATGGGTGTATGCTCAGTGGGAACGCCAATGCCGTACTGGTTCTCAGCGCTGATTCTGAAGATGTACTCCTTCAGGGCGGTCAGCTTGCAGGCCTTGAAGGTGGTGTCTTTCACCGTGGCGGACAGCTTCACCCACTCCTCTTTGTCCGTTTGCCGACCTTCAACAATGTAGTTGGTTATGGGCGAGCCCCCGTCATCTCTGGGAGGGTTCCAGGCCAGAACGCACGACTCGTTGGTGATCTCTGAGATGTCGAAGGCGGCTGGAGGACCCGGTTTATCTGAGAAGACATGGAAAATCCACTGTCATGAGTTTTTCCTTTTTATCATTAAGCTTTTCCAGAATTTTACGGAGGAAAAACCCGAATAAAAGCCAGTGGGTAAAGTTTGAAGGATCATACCCAGAATGCTGACATCAATGGTGGCCGTGGCACGTCCACAGATGTTAACCGCCTCAATGATGTAAGTGGCTGTGTCTTCTCTGGTGGTGTTGCTAATGGAAAGCTTGGAGTGACCTGGCTGGGAGTCGATGGAGATGCGGTCATCGGCCCGCAGGACCAGGTCGGCCTTGGTCCATTTGACACGAGGATCAGGCTTTCCTTTGACGTCTGCAGGAAGCTCGATTTTGGTGCCGGCTCTGGCCGTCAGACCCGCCAGCAGCTTTGCATCCAGCTCAATCTCTGGAGGTTCTGTAGTAGAAATTGGACAAATATTTCTACAAATTCTATTTCAAATAGAATCCCTGTTTGTATCACTGAAAACAAAAAGCATAAAATGTTAAAAAAAGTCCATCCTTATTGTTACGTAAGAGCTCCTGACGAACAGAAAAGCCTACCTCTAGCATCTACAGCCTGGATCTCATCTGTGGCCCTGCAGGGTCGGCTGGCCCCCAACCTGTTCACTGCTCTGATTCTGTAGGCGTACCACTGCCCCTCAGTTAGCCCCGTCACCTGGAACCTGTCATCACAAGAATCATCTCAAAACACAATCTAAACAAACCCAGAGCAGACGGATGAAGCTTTCTGTGAGACGGCAGATCTTACTTGAGTTCAGGGATCGGGTCGCAGCAGGGCTCCCACTTATCTGTCCCACGCTGACACTTATCCACCACGTAACCTTTGATTGGAGAACCACCATCGTACTTTGGAGGTTCCCACATAAGGAAGATGCTCTTTCCACTCTTATCGCGCCATTTAAGGTTCTCAGGAGGATCAGGAATAGCTAGAAATAAAGAATTAGATCAAACTTTAAGATCTTTTCAAATTGGCTGCCAAGTTGTTTCAGAGAGAGGAATAATACTGACTCGCAGGAGACGAGACGTTTACTGGTTCGTCTATGTATGCTGGTTCTCCAGGTCCACACTTGTTGCAGGCGATGACGCTGAACAGGTACTCTTTTCCTTCAATGACATCCGTCACTGTATGCTCCAGATCCATGACTCCAGCAGCAACCTGAGGAAAGAATCCAGGAGAAGTTTTCAAACATGGAGGACGTTCTGCAGAGCTCTAACAAAATACACCAAACTGATTTAATTCTCTAATGAGGGAGCTTTATTCGATCGGCCATATTTGCTCAGTTCTCCATTCATTGGTTCTTCCCGTAGCTCCCTCACTGCGATCAGTCTCAGATGTACCTTGGCCCAAGTCTTGCGTGAAACTTCTCTCTTCTCAATCTGATAATGGGTGACCGGGCTTCCTCCATCGTGTTCTGGAGGCTCCCACATTAGGTGGACGTGGTTTCGAGTCACCTCAGCCACCTTGAAGTCTTTGGGCGCACTTGGACACGCTGTGAAAGTCGCAGAAAGAGGATTTCAGAAACAAATATTTGTAATGGTACCAAAATTTGTTTTTAAATCCACATAAACGTCAAAAGGTTTAGCTCACCGATGACGTTGACTTCGATCTCGCCAGAGACAGACGACACGTCGTTCTCCAGGTGCAGGGTGTAGCAGCCCTTATCGGGACGGACGCTCGGTGAGATTGTCAGCTCTGTGAAAGTAGGCTTGGTCACCATGGAGACGCGTTCGTCCGCTGTGGTCAGTTGTTTCTCTCCAAAGCTCCACTTGGCTGTGGGTGTAGGGTAACCGGTGATGGGAACCCTGATGGTGAGTGGCTGGGGGGCAATGACCTCCAGGCCGTTCCTAAAGCCGCTCAGGTCAAACGTTGGACCAACTGGGGGGAAGAAACAAAAAGTTTTCCTCTCCTTTAAAACCACTTTAGTTTGAACCATAAGCAGTGAGCAGTTTGGTGTGGAATTATAATGAATAATAAATTCATTTCTCCTGAGTTAAGCCAGACTACAGAATATTTTCTTATGATTTTGAGTAAAACTTTTCTGAATGAGTCAAACCATGTGGGTCGTCAGCAAGCAGAGGTCCGAGCTGCTCGGTCGGATCTGAGACACCAGCTGCGTTCTCGGCACAAACTCTGTACAGGTACTTCTGACCAGGCTTCAGTCCAGACACCTAAGTGAAACCGCAGAGGTAATTAAACATTGAATATGAGACCCATTTGGAGATAAACAGGATGACTCTGTAACACAGAGAAGCTATGTACCCGGTAGGACAAGTCAGGACAGAGTCTGGCGTTGCAGCGCAGCCACTTGTCGGAGCCCTCGTCGCATTTCTCAATGATGTACCCGGTGATCATGCTGCCACCGTTGCTTAGTGGGGTTTCCCAGGTCAGAGTGACGGCCGTCTTAATTTGGTCACTGTAGTTCAGGTTCAGAGGTGGACTCGGCCTCTCTGCGGGACATTAAACGGTTTCCTTAAGTGAACACATCCTGCCACATTTAAATGGACCATCTGAGTGGCCAGGTCCCACTCACCGATGGGATCCATGATCTTGACGGGGTTGGTGGCAGCGCTGGGTCTTCCGATTCCAGCCTTGTTCTCAGCTCGCACCCTGAAGATGTACTCCTTGTGTTCCACCACATCGTTGAGCGTGGCTGAGCGTTCGGCCGCTCCGCACACCAGGGCCGCCTCCCACTTCACAGAAGTCCTGTCTCGGAGCTCAATCACGTACGCTGTGATCTCTGACCCGCCATCAAACTTGGGGGGCTCCCAGCTGACGGTGGCTCCAAACCGGTTCACCAAACCGACAGCAACATTTTCTGGAGCATCTGGGACATCTGAATTGGGAGAATATTGGTTAGAAGTGGGAAGATTTAAAGAAGCAGAAGGAGCTGTTGGTGCTTCCTACCAAATTTGTTCTTGGCCTGAACGGCATCATCTGTGGCAACAAGAGGTCCGGGTCCGACTCTGTTACGGGCGCAGACTCTGAACAGATACAGCGAGTCCTTCTGGAGTCCACTGACGCAGTACTCTGGAGTATCAGCCCGGTCTGTAGCCAGAGTCCAGGTCTTCCGCTTTACATCACGTCGTTCCACCACGTAGGCGATGATCTTGCTTCCACCATCGCTCTCTGGCTCCTCCCAGGCTAAGCTGACCTCCCCATCCGCAGTGTCGACCACTCTTAGGTTCTTGATTGGTCCAGGGACATCTGAAGACCACAAAGAGGAGAATCAGAAATCCTCTAAACAAATCAACACCTCACCTTTACCCCCTTAGACCTACCGATCACATCCAGGTTGATAAAAGCCTCCCCCTCCCCGTGCTTGTTTTTGATCACCACTCGGTACCGGCCCTGGTCCTCCTTGGTGGGGCTCTTAAGCCGGTACTCTGTCTTCTCATTTGAAGTATCGATGTTCTGAACAGGTAAACTGTTTCCACCAAAGAACCACTCAGCATCAGCGCGGGGGTAGGCGTCATAGGGGACTGCCATGACAAATGGTTTACCAGCATCCGTCACCAGGTTCTGGTCGGTGGTCTTGATCTTAGGAATTGCTGCAGAGGAGATTGTAGATTTTTAGATATTTCTCGTTTCATTCTTTAATCGAACTTTGAACATGTTCAGAGTAATTCTTAACACTGGTCTACAGCCTAGTATAAAGAAACCTGATTGGTTAACAGTAAGATCTGTGATTGTAGAGCAGGATATGCATCTTAAAACATTGAAAGGTCAGGCTTTTCTTTAAATGTCTACCGGACCCACCTGCCAGCTCCAACTTGGCCCGGGCATCCTTGTCTTTGGCCACGATGCGGTACTCTCCTTGATCTCTGGGTCTGATCTCGCAGACCTGCAGCCTGTGGATCTTACCGTCGCTGATCATCTGGTACTTATCTCCCTGCACTATAATCATGTTATTTCTCATCCACTTGACCTCCACTCGGTCCTTGTTGAGCTCCACCTCAAACACAACATCCGAGCCCGGAGGCTCAAACATGTCCTGGGGCGGCCTGACGATCTCCACTGGGGTTTCTGGAGGGAAAAAAAAGGCCAGAACCTTTGTTAATGTTTGAAGACACATTTGCCTCAATTTCTCAGAGCAGACATGGAATCAGAAAGCTGACCTTCAACAAAAAGCCGGGCTCTGGTCCTTCTCTCATCCACACCACAGGCGTATTCACACTCATCATCTGGTCTGCACACCTTGATTATCAGTCTGCACGTCTTGCCTTCTTTTTCCATGTGATATCTGCACAGTTGTGTAGGTTTGCATTAGTCTGAACCATTAATCAAATTAATCAATTATTTAAAGAATTGTCAACTAATTTAGTAATCGATTTAATGTTAACTGGAGTGTAGAGACACTAAATCATCCCTTTAGCTGACAGCGACCCACTTAGAGCATTAATTATACCATATTGTAAAAAATAAATATATCGAAACATTTTGCATTTAAGATAAACTTTTTCATCTCCAAATGTTTTCCATCCAGAAGTTTGCATGACTGGATATCCAAAGAGCGATCTATAAATAGTGTGTAATCTCAAAGTTGGCCTCTGGTAGCTCTGGTAGATACCTGGGTCCTTCTCGGATCTCGCGTCCGTTCCTGTACCACTTGACTGCAGCCTTCTCCTTGCTTAGCTTGCAGGTAAACTCTGCATCCTCAAACTCTGTGATGGTCTGATCCCTGAGCTGTCCTGTGAAGTCTGTTGGCGCCTCGCTGATGATCAGCTCAGCGGCACACTTGTCGTCTCCGACCACGGCGGTGTACTCCCCCTCATCTTCCATGACGCAGTCCTTGATCGTCAAAGTGTGTTTCAGGCCATCCGCCCTGTAGACGATGCGTTTGCTGAACGTCACCTCCTCGCCGGCCTTCATCCATTTCACCGTCACCTCAGGCCGGTTCACCTTACAAACAAAACTGATGGTCTTCTTCTCCTGGGTCTCTATGTCTTCGATGGGTTCCAGGAATCTAAGTTTTTCTGCTGAAACTTTAGCACTAGCAGAGCACTTAGCATGTTCTCCTCTGTGGTTAGTCAGAGAGACCGTGTAGGCGGCCTCGTCCGCCTTCTGAGCATCTTTGATCCTCAGTGAGAAGACGTTGTCTCTCTGCATCATCATGTATTTACTGCTTTCAAATATGGTCTCTTCGTTCTTCAGCCACTTGGCCTTGGCTCCCTCAGTGTTGGTCTCACAGTTAAAGACAATCTCACTTCCTTCCTTCACCTCCGTGTCCCTAATTGGTGTGACGATCCTTAGTTTCTCTGTAGCGGAGCAGAAAACAGTTCATACCAGCAGGAGAAATACCAAAACAAGCTGCAAAGAGGAAGGCAAAGGTCTCACCTATCACACAGAGATCAGCGGAAGCTTTAACGCTGCCGATGTGAGCAACGTAGCCACCTTCATCCTTCAGGTCACAGTTTTTCACCACCAGGGCTCTTCTCTTTCCTTCACTGATTATTGTGTACTTGTCTCCATCCTGGATCTCCTGATCACCTCTAAACCACTTCACCTCATAGGTGTCCTTGGAGACAGTGCAGGAGAACTCCACCTTCTCCCCCTCCACCACCTCCTGGTTCTGAGGACGAGAGGTGAACTCCGCTTCCAGTTCTGCAGAGCAGAAGCAACAAAGAACAGGATGAGGATACGCAGGCTAACTGAAAACACTTGTAAATGTCAATTGATCAAATCTCTTCTTTCTGAGGCTTTACCGTTGATTTTTAGGGAGGCGGATGTCCTGACTGTTGGACTCAGCCTACAGTTGTATTCTCCAGCATCTTCCATCCTCAGGTCCTGTATGATCAGGATCCTCCTGCGACCGTCCATGATCTGATCGTAGCGTCCGCCCTCTGGCAGCTCCTCATCTCCTCGGTACCAGCTGACCTCAGCATCGGCTTTGGAAACCTCACAGATCATCTTTATGCTGTCTGTTTCTGTTCCCTCCACGTTGGACAGGTTCTTAGTAAATGTGGCTGCTTCCTCTGAAGAAACACAGAGCAACATATTTGAGGAGTCATATTTTAATGAACATCCAACCTTAGATCATCACCTGACAAAGTCCACAAAACCCCTTACCGATGACTGTGAGAATGCCGGACGTCTTGGAGGTTCTGGCATCGCATTCATACTCGGCCTCATCGTCAAACACCGACCTGTGGATGACGAGGATCCTCTGCACTCCCTTAGCAATGATCTCGTACTTCTTTCCTTTTCTGATCTCGCCGCCGTCCTTGAACCAGCGGACCTTAGGAAAAAAGGAGGATGAGTGCGTCAATATGAATGTGATTCATAGGTTCTCTTGGGCCGGTCTTGAACGGACAGACTGGCCATTTTCTCAGGGCCTTACCTTGGCGGACTCGCGGGACACTTCACATTCAAACCTGGCTGAATCCTTCTCTCTAACTTCTACATCCTGCAGAGGTTTTGTGAACTCTACATAAGGAGCTGTGGACACAGAGATAAACCTTTTATTCCATCATTCTGCCTCCAGTCTTGTTGATCTCACTGTATTTTATCTTTGCTGTCGATGATGTGCTCCTTTTATGCCTAAAAACACAAAAAACTCCTCCTTACGTGTGACCTCCAGGAAGCAGGAAGTCTTGAAGTCTTTAGCGTCACATGTGTACATCTTAGCATCGTCTGGGGAGCATTCATGAATGACAAGGGCTCTCTTGCGCCCGTCTGCGACAATGTCGTACTTCTTGGTCTTCCTGATCTCCTGTCCCTCCCTCAGCCAGTGCACCTCTGCGTTCTCTCTTGAGACTTCGCACTCGAGCGTGGCGGTGGCCTCCTCCTCCACCGTCTGGTCCTCAAGAGGCTTGATGAACTCCACCGGCGGCTCTGTACCCAGACATTTTGATTAGATGCTGACTGAACCCCGTCTGATGCGTTCAATGCCCTTGGTTTATTGGAGTTTTACCTTTGACAATGAGCTGAGCCTGAGTCAGGAAATCCTTGGCTGTCAATTTGACCTCACCGGCCTCGGAGAGATTCACGTCACGGATGGTCAAGGTGTGAACTCTACCCGTCACCCGAGGCTTCACCTGCAGACACAGAGAGCTCTGCTTGATGGGCAGCTCCTCCTGCTGCAGCTCTTTATCACCCTGCTTGTTTTAATAGTTTTTATTCAATCTCAAAATCTTTCATTTGTCTCAAAGGGCCAACTTGCCTGAATTTATTTAAAAAATTTACAAAAGTGCTTCTATAAGAAATTCATGAAAGACACTGAGAGTGAAAGAAACACATTTTTTGGTCCAACATAACCTTAGAGGCATTAATGCTGATATTGACACTGACATCTTTTTGTTTATAAACACTAATATAATTGTTAACTAGACTTATTAACTTTTGAACTTTACTTTTCAACTTTTCACCTTTTTTACTTGACTTGTTAACTTTTTTTTCATACTTAATTTCCAGTAGGTAATATATCTTTCAAGGGCTCATCTAATTGGTCAAATGCCAAAACAAGATGCACAGCCATGTAGGAGTGTCTTGGCTGAATTGCTGGATATAGATATAGTGCTTCTAGACTTCACTGAGGGACGGGGGGACATTTCTTTCTTTTCTTCCTCCTGTTCACCCAGTGAGGTTTCTGCCATAGATAGAGACCTGCTCCCTCACAGATTACTTCCTGTAGTGGCGTCTGTGCGCTGTGATTGGACCAGGCCTCGGTGCAGATAAAGGACGGTTGAAGGAATGCAGATAAAAGCTGCTGCTCTCACATCTGATGTTATTTTTACCTCGGCCTTAACGGTGTTAAACATTTGATCAGGACAGAGGGTCTGGCTGTTGTTTTTACCCGTTAGTTTTTAAAGGTTTAACTTTACACTCTTATCCAAGATCAAAAAAGTAGAAAAAAAAGATTAAATGAAGGGAATCTCTAGTCAAAACCAGAAAAACATATGATGTTATAAATGTTTTTCTTCATAAAGTGAAAAGATTCAGATCTTTAGCCTTTATAGCAGCTGGTTACCGAAGAAATTTTTTTTTTTCTGTTTTTAATGTCTGTCTTTTTATATTAAATGTAGTTCTCTTCTAAAATTGGAAAAAAAAAAAAATTAACTTTTATTTTCTAAAACTGGAAACCTTTCTCCTGTTGTTCCTGCGGAAACTTTTATTCTACATCCAGTTGTTTGGACTCCTGGTTATTTTGTGTCCCAATGTCTCTGCATGTAGAGCTGCTGTAGTTTTCTCTCTAGGCTCTGGTTGTGTTTGTAGTCGGTTTGTAGTGAGGTGCTGTAAATTACCCGATCGCTGGCTTCCATCTTCTGTCCTCCAACAAACCACTCCACTTCGATTCCGTCGTATGACAGCTCACACTCGAAGGTGGCCGTCTCTCCCGCCGTCACCGTAACGTCCTTCAGAGGACGCATCAGTGTGATGGAGCGAGCTGAAAGAGAAGCAGGACAAAATTGGGAACCTGTTGGAGAGTCGGGAAGCTGCTCTCATGATGAAGCAGAAGGCTTCACTGAGCAGATAAACCAGTGGCTGAAAATAACCGCAGGCTCTGATTGGCTGAGGACTAACTGACAATAAGTTCCAAGCGGTTGATAACAAAGATCCTTCAGCATGTTTAACTCAAAGGAAGGAAGTAAAGGTTTGCAATCATTAGGTTCACTGAAGGAGCTGCTGTAGAGGAAGACTGTCTGACCTTTGACCCTGAGCTGAGCGTTGGATTTGGCATTGGCTGCAGAGAAGTCCACAGCTCCAGCCATGTCCATACGGACGTTATAGAGAATCAGCAGATGTTTGGTTCCTTCCTCTTTAATCTCCACATCCTGAAGGAAAACAATTCAGACAACAGAGTGAGATTTTTAACGGCCTTCATTCAGAAAAATAGTCTTTGTTCTGTGGAGACGTACAGCTGACTGGTGCAGAGCTTCTCCCTTCAGCTTCCAGTTTCCATGGACATCCTCCTCAGAGATCTCCGTCTCAAACCTGGCGGTCTCCGTCTCGGTGACCTCCACGCTGTACAGCGGACGGACAACCTTGATGTCACGCTCTGTGAAGAAAACATGAAGCTGTTAGCAGGTTTGAGCTAATGGGGAAACGCTGCAGTATGCTGATGATACTGTCGTTTATATGAGTTCATAAGCACCATTGATCCTTTAGACTTTGACCTTAATCTGTCCTTAAATATAGAAAATCTTAGCAGTCTGCACTGTCAGAGTTGTTGGAGTTCAACTTAGCATATGTAGCCGGGTAATAAAGATGATTGGTTGATAGTGATGAGCTTATTTGTTTTCGTGATTTATGGTCTGTTTTATGTTATGGCAACCTTTGGATGATGTTTTTCTGGAGGGATTTTTTTTAAATGTCAATAAAGAACAGAAAAGCATAATTCTGTAAAATAATCTGCTAAACTGTTTTCATACAAACTCTAATGCTGCGTTCACACCCTAGTCGGACCCTGGATGAAACTGTGGTCCAGTTGCTTTTCCACTTCAACACTCTGGTCGTTTATCTGCTCTGTTCTGTAGCTTCAAGCTGGAAAGCAACTTGGCTTTATTTACTTTATGAGTTAGAAAAATAGTTTTAACACATTTTTAAGCATGAAAGTCCACCTCCAAACATCCTCTGTTCATTGTTTCATCAGGATTATAATCCCACTATAATCTGCAGTTCTTGTTGGGAGCTCCAGACCTCCAGCATACCGCCAGGTGGCAGCGCTGGAAATCCCCGCTGAAAGCTCTGTGCTGCTGCAGCCTGAGGGGGATTTCCTGCTGCCGATCGTTGCGGCAGGATGTGAATAGAAAGTGTTTTTAAGGCTTGTGGTAAAAACTGTACCAGAATATATAATCCAATATTTTTCTTCTGCAGGTTTGAACATTTCTAGTTAATTTGGGTATTTATAAACTGTTTCTTCATTGTTCATAAAAAGGTTTTAGTGCAGCAATAATGATCAGAGCTGCTTTCTGTTCCTTCTACTACGGAAGCCCAGAGCGGTCGTGTCCCCCAGGTACTTTTTCACAATCTTGAGAAGAAAAGTTAATTTTCTCATTATCTAAAGATAACGAAAACCGTTTATGGTTGAACCGTGATAACGAGATAGTAACAGTATTTATTTCATTATCTTGAGAATAAGTTGAGTATGGCCGCTCTCGGCTTCAGTACTTCTACATAACAATCCATTCTTCCAGCTTTTTTTTAAACCATTTGAGTTTAACTCCTTGATATGTTTTCATTTTTCATATGCATAATGTCTGCAGAAGTGATGACAGCTTGCAGGTAGAGTGTGTTTCCTAAAGAAACTTTGGGATAAGAATCAGCTTTTCTGATTGGTTGATACTCTGGCATCCAGTGGCAAGGTTCATTTTACTGAACCTCAGCTCCCGACGCGCATCTGGACCTCTGGACGCCGCCCCCCCATAGACTTTGCATGTAAACAATACGCTTTGATGCAGGAAACGCGTCCGGTTTCTGTTAAACGGCTTCTGTTAAAGTAAATAAACTGGGTCGAACCTTCGATTTTCAGGTTGGCTGTGGTTTTGTCTGAACCGCAGTCGCAGGTGTATTCTCCGATGTTAGCCTTCTCCGCCTTACGGACCATCAGGATTCTCTTCTTCCCATCGGCGCTGATGGCGATGTTCTTGGACGGGGTGATCTCCTGCCCATCCTTGAACCATTTCACGTCGGCGGCGGCCTTGCTGAGTTCGCAGACCAGCTTCACCTCGTCCTTCTCCACGGCAGTGTAGTTCTGCAGCTTGGTGGTGAAGTAGATGTCGCCCTCTGGAACCACAGCAGATTTTCACGTGAGCCAGAAAGCCAACCGTAAACGGAGAACCGATTCGACGCAACACTCACCAATGACGGTGAGCATGGCCGTCATGCTCTTGTCCATGGCCTCCACCTTGATCAAAGACGTGTCGTCGATGGTCACCTCCTTGAAGGCCAGAGTGTGGACCTTTCCGTGATCCGACATGTGGATGACCTTACTGGGAAGCAGCCGGACGTCGTTTTTGTACCAAATCACCGAGATGTTTTCGTGAGAGAGCTCAATGCTGAACTCTGCGGTTTCCCGCTCTTTTACCGTCACATCTTTAATGGGTTTGACAAACTCCAGGCGAATACCTGCCAACGGAAAACAAGCCCATTGTTAGCAGGAGAACGTCAGAAGAAAACTAACAGAACTCTTATAAAGTCGTACAAAAACAAATTATTTTATGTATTTAATAACAGCAGAGAAGCGCGGCGCCTCAGATTGAAGCGCTCAGCGCGAATCTGTTACCCTGAATGATGAGTTTGCCGGTCGTCCTCTTGTCCTCTGCCTCAAACATGTACTTGGCCTCGTCGTCAAAGGCCGCCGATCGGATCAGCAGGACGTACATTTTCCCCTCTTGGATCATTTCATACTTGTCGTCGCTCGTCAGTTCCTGAGAGCCTTTGAGCCAGCGGAAGCTCTTGGGAGGTCTGGACACCTCCACCTCAAAGCGGGCTTCATCCTTCTCATAAACCTGGACGTCGCTCAGAGGCGTGAGGAAGTTCAGAGGAAGTTCTGCAGCAAAGGATAAGAAAATAAAACAACTTAGTCTGGAGCTTTAAGATGATGTGTTAAAATAAGAAAAGTGGAATAAAAAAACTGTTTAATGAGCTGCTAAATGACACTTCCTTTTGCTTTTTGGATGATGGCCAGGTTAGAAGTGACAAACATTCAATGGATGTTGCATTGATTTATATTTATTCAGCATATTTAGTTCTATTAGAGAGATAAAGTAAAAAGAACATTTTGTTTATTACTTATAACCTGATCCTTTTAGTCAAGGGCGTGTTGACCTGCGCTCCTCTTAACTCTGTGGTCTCCAACCCTGGTCCTCAAGCCCTCAAACCCTCTACCTTCCTGCAGGAATTAGATGCATCCCTGCTCCAAAACAGCTGAATCAAATGAATGGCTTTTTAGGGAAGCCTTTACCAAACTTGATGGCATGCTGAAAAAGGTAATCAGTCATTTTATTCAGCTGTGTTGAAGCATGGATGCATCTAAAACCTGCAGGACAGTAGATCTTAAGGACCAGTGGGGTAGGAGACCACTGCTCTAACTCTTTATTGCACCTTTATTAAGGCCGTCTGCTTTAAGGGCCTAAAGCTGATGGCGTTCACTTCCTACAGGAGGCTTCCTGTTTTATTCGGTCGTCAGGCCGCCATGAAAGGCAGCGCAGCATCGATCTCTGATTGGTTCCAGTTTAAAAGCAACAGAAGTGACTGATTCACAATATGTATCAGACATGCATGCCTGAACCGGAACAGATTTTTATTCATTGTCTGGTAAAGCAAACACGGTAAACACGTTAATTAAGAGGCGTTTATCATCGTGGCAATGGTAAAGATGCTGCAAACAGAACGCTAGATTCTACCTCACCGGCAGAGGTTATGGTTCCTGTCCTCCTGTTTGTAAAAACTTGATATGATATCAAAAGTGTTTGTTGGTGAAGGGAGCCTGTTTCACCTTTGACCTTCAGGTTGGCAGAACATTTGGCGTTGGCAGCAGAGTAGGCCACCTCCCCGGTCATGGACACCTTACAGTTGTAGAGAATCAGAGTGTGCTTTCCTCCCTCCTCGATGATGTCCACATCCTGTCAAATGAGAAGTTAAACCAAGGTCATGTCAAGGTCAGGACCAGATGGAGCCATGTGGAAGGGGGGGGGGGGGGTTACACACAGAGGATGGACTGAGCACTTCTCCGTTCAGCTTCCACTGGCCGTGGACGTCGTCCTCAGAGATCTCCACCTCGAACCGAGCCGTCTCTCCGTCAAACAGCTCCACGCCGTAAATCGGTCTGACTACCTTCACGTCGCGTGCTGGAGGACAGGAAGTGACAGTGAAATATTATAAGCATGTAAAACTAATATCTGATTCATAGAATCACTAATAAACAGTTATGTTGATGCAAACTTCAAAAAGAGCTAAAAATAAAAACAGAAAGAATAATTTTAGATGGTTTCCATCATTTATTCTCACTGGTCACATTTCTGCATCTCAGTGACTGTCTGCTGAACCATCAGGGACTATTTAGATGTTACTGGTTCTACTGGTTCTGGGTTCTCCTGAACATCCGATCAGGAACCTTCCCTGTCGGAATCCAGAGCAGATCCGCCCTCTTACCCTCTATCAGGATGCTGGCGGAGGTTTTGTCCGTCCCACAGTCACAGACGTATTTTCCTTGATCGTTCTGCGCGACCTTCTTCAGGACCAGAGACCTGCGCGTGCCCTCTGACCTCATCACCACCAGTTTGGAGGCTATGACCTCCTTCTCCTCATGATACCAGACCACGGGGACATCCTTGCTCAGCTCGCAGTCCAGCGTCACCTCGTCTTTCTCGGTGGCGGTGTAATCCTGCAGCTTCACCAGGAAGACGGCGTCTCCCTCTGAGGAGCAGATTGAACAATTCGTTTAATCTCTGATTTCCTCATTAATCCAGATTGTGCTATATCATCTGTAACTATGGTGGAGATACCAAACTGGTAAATAAACCCAGAGAAAGAGGACATGCTGTTACCTATAACTGTCAGCTTGGCTGAGGAGTAAATTCCTTTGGCTTCTGCCTTTATCTGGCAGGTATCCTCTAAACTCAGCGACCTCATTTCTAAGGTGTGCCGCCGTCCTTCCGTGTGCATGAGCACGGTTCGGCTCACGTGGAGCTTCACCTCGTTTCGGTACCAAACTACAGGCACGTTCTCGTGCGTCAGCTCCAGATCAAAGCGCACCGTGTTACCTTCTTTGATCGTTTGATCCTGCAGGTACTGCACAAATTTCAGCCTCATGCCTGGAACACAGCAGGTGAGCGCAAACAGACAGGAGCGTTTGATGCCGTCCGACACGTAGACACCACAGACACAATGAGCACGCAGAGGGGACGGGAAGCGGGACAGATCTTACCTTCCACCGTCAGCTGAGCGGTGGATCTTCGGTCCAACACCTCTACGGTGTACTGAGACTCATCGTCAAACTCACAGCTGTTTATAATCAGCATGTGTTTCTTCCCATCGTCAATTAGCTCATATTTGGGGCTTGGGGTGATGATCTCAACCCCTTTAAACCACATGACCTTAGGCACATCCTTGGTGATGGTGCATTCAAACTTAGCCTGTTTCTTTTCAGGCACAGACACATCCTTCAGCTCGTCAACAAAGCCCATTTCGATCTCTGGGAGATGCGAAGAATTTAGCAATTATTGACAAAAGCAGAAAAAAAACAGGCGGGTTTTTCAGGACGCCAACGTTCCACAGGACAGACGGATGCAGCAGCTAGAAACGGACGGAGGAGAGCGGTTGGGGTGAGACAGATGTATACCTTTAACGGTGAGCATGGCGCTGGTGTTGGCGTTCAGAGCCTGGAAGGAAACTTCTCCGGCCTGATCCAGCTGTACGTTCTTCAGCGTCAGGAAGCGCTTTGGACCCTCAGCTTTAATGTCGCACGTCTGAAAGACACAAAACATGACGTTCAACCAAATGCGTCAACTACCAGAGTATAAATACTTTGTTACTTCAGTAGAAATGTTGGCTGGCTATACAACAACTATTTACTTTCTGCTCCTTACATTTTAAAATAGACTTGTTAGTTTTGTTTCATTTAAGCTCATTTTCGTTAAATCAAAATAATTAGTTAGTTAATTTCTTTGTGTTTGGACTCGGTGCTGCACACAGCAATATAAATAGTTTTTCAAGATGATGCAAAGTTAGGGTTAATGTCTTTAATTTCTTTTCCTGCAAACTTTAACTTTTATACTTCAGTAAGTAGTTTTAAAAATGGTACCTCAATGCAGAAGGAAAGGAGAGCTCTTGGCGCTGCTCTGGGCGCCCTGAGATGACAGGAAGTGTTATTTGCTCACCACCTCCCGCCACAGTGCGGATATTTTGCGGGTGATTGGCAGGTTGAGTAGCGATAGAGAAATGGCGCAAGAAACGTCCGTTTCCAAGACCTGGTTTAGTAACAAGGCTAGGCTAACAGCATGCAGTGAGGCTAAGGCTTTATCCTGCTTTCTCTGCCTCCTTTTTCAAACCTCATGATCTCACCCAAGGACAGTAAACCTGTCCTTGAAATTATGTTTTGCTTTTATAAAGTCATTTTATAGTTTTTTTTTTGTTAGCATTCATATAAATATACGGCTGTGATGACTTAGCATACGTTTGATTGGTTTTTGCTATACGTCAATTTTGAATTTATTTAACCCCCCTGGAGAAAACTCCATCAGCCGCCACTGGCCCTAATACTCTGTTGTATTTTTACACTTTTACTTTAATAAAAAGCTTAAGTTGATCCTCTAACTTCTACAAAAGAGTTTTTAAACAGTAAGATTTATACTTCTAATGGAGGAATAAACATTAATAATCTTATTAGTGAGATAGGTGATCTTTTTTGTTGAACTTACCGGCGATCTGGTTAGAACCTGGCCTCTGAGTTTCCATTCGCCGGGAACGTCATCCTCAGATATCTCAGTGTCAAAGTGAGCCTCCTCCTTCTCAACCACCTCGACGCTGGCGAGAGGTTTCAGGATCTCAGCTTCACGCTCTAAAAAAAATCACAAGACGTTTTTATGCTTTGGCAGAAACCCCTGGACTTTAGGAGGCTTAAGGGTTGGTTTGCTCCATGAACGGACCTCCCAGTGTGAGCTTGGCCGTGTATCTCCGGTCCTCCACCTCGATGGTGTAGTCCGACACGTCGTCAGGTTGGCAGTTGTTGATTGTCAGGCTCACATCTTTTCCGTCTTTCTTAATTTCCACCTTGTCAGAAGGGGCGACTTCATTCTCCCCTTTGTACCATTTCCAGTTGGGTGTGTCTTTGAAGAGCTCGCATTTAAACGTTGCCTTGTTCTTTGGTTTCACATGCTGGTCCCTCAGAGGCTTTACCAGCCAGTCTTTGATGATTTCTACAGAAACAAGAAGAAGAATGCAGCAGATCAGGTCTGATCTCAAACATATCGAATGTTAAAGGGCTTGGATGGCATCAATTGCAGACATGAACATACAAGATGTCAGAAAACCAAGTAGAGAAGTTGGTTTGTCTTGTATAGACAGAACCGTCTTTTTTCTTGGTTTTCCTTTTTAAATCCTGAACTGTTTGTTGATGCCGACCACAGCAGGAAAATGCAGTCTTTCCATCTGGATGATGTCACCAGTGTCCATGGCGGCCTTGTTACTGGCTATTCTCCCTTAAATCGTTGCTTTTAAAATCATGCAAACTTTAGAGATAATGCACTGCAAAAAATCCAAGTGGTTTTCTCTTAAAATAAGTGCATGTTTTCTTGAATTTAGGAGGTACGTAAGTGAGACACTTTGCCAATGGAAGAAGAGAATTTACATATAAAACAAGAGAACACAACTGCATCATCTTATTTCAAGTGCATGTTATCAAATTATCTTATAAATACTAATCTAATTGAAAGATCATCATATTTACCGGCTTTAAGTAAGTTGTAAGTCGGAAAAAGAGGTGAACATATCAAGAAAAACAAGGTAAAAAGTTAATTGAAAAGTTAATAAGCCTAGTTAACAATTTTATTTAGGTTTTATAAACTAAAAAATGTAAGTGCCAGTATTAGCATTAATGCCTCTAAGGTTATGTTGGACCAAAAAAATGTGTTTCTTTCACTCTGAGTGATTTTTATGAAATTCTTATAGAAACACTTTTGGAAACGTCATGATGAAACGCTTTTTCTTTATATATTTGGGCAAGTTGGCGTTTCTTGTTATTACATTGATTTTAAGTTTTAGCATCAAAATATCAATATTCTTTGAATTGTACAAAGGTAATAAGGCCTTGGCCTTGATTCCAATAACACTACTGGCTTGAAAAAAATGTTTCTAAGTATTTCACTGAGTGCCCTATAAAGGGTTAATGCATGTAATTTAAGTAATGTTTACTTATTCCTAGATTGTTTTTGCAGCGTGTTTCTTGTTTTGTCTCTTTACAATCTGTCCTCAATGATAGAAACCTTTTTGATTTTTGCATTCTTTGTCATTTCTTTAACCAACGACTCTCTTTAATAAGTGATACATACTCTTTGACGGCTTTTATCGGACCTGCAGACAAAAACGTCTGGATAAGTTCTGTACCAAACCGTCTGCAGCTGCTCTTAGCTCACCAATCACTTTGACGTTGGTCGTCGTCTTAACATCCTCCTGACCGTCGACCTCGCAGGTGTAGACGCCAGAGTCCTCGTCGGTGGAGTTCTGGATGGTCACGGCGTGCTGCATCCCGATCACGTTGATGGCCACTTTCCCGGCCTTCTTCTTCAGCAGCTCTCCGTTACGCTTCCACACCACGTCTCTCTCTTTGTTCAGCTCACAGGTCAGGTACATGGGCTGACCTTTCATGCATGACGTCTCAGGCTCCAGCTCCTTCAGCCATTTCACAGGCAGCTCTGTTTGAGGATAGACGGTTTTAAAAAACAGTGAAGGCAGCTTGAAATACCAAACTCCCAAGGCCTCCTATTTTTTTCTTTACCTTCAACGATGAGCTTAGCAGTGCAGGAAATCTCCTTCCCAGCATTCTTGGCTACGCAGGTGTATTCTCCAGTGTCCGACAGCTGGACATCGATGATGTGCAGCTTCCGGTCTTTGCCGTCAGAGATGAACTTGTGCTTCGGACCTTCACGCAGGTTACCGCCATCTTTCATCCAGGAGGTGATGGCTGTGGAGGGCGTGACCTCACATTCGAACACGGCAGATGAACCGATGGACTCGGCCTCCTGCAGAACGATGTCCTGGATCTTCTTGACAAACTTCAGAGCCACTGGTTTGAGCTTGAAGCCTGCAAACGGTTCCTCTGGTGGCGATGGACCTTTGCCACCTGGCTTCAAGCCCCGACCCTTGCCGCCATCACCTGGAGACGGAGTCTGCCTCGCTGCAGAATCACAAACGAAAGCTTTCCACATTAGATCCAGATATTAGAGGTTAGAAGAAGAAAATGCATTGCACAAAGAGGGTTAAAGGTCGTAGTGTTAGAAGAACACAGAAACATCTCTGTTAAGACCAAAGATATAAGATATAGATAAGTTATTTCACACAAGAGACAGAATGACTAACAGAACAGAGAAAATAGACAGAAGACAAAGAAGTCACTAAATATAAAAGCATGTTCACTGGGCCGCTGATTTACCTCAAAATAAATGTGAAAAATGTCTTCTGAACTCTAATCAAAAACTTTAACTATCTGGCATATAAGAATCAGCTTTGCCAATGAAACAAGAAAATTTACTTTTAAAATAAGAAAAAAACAATTGCATTGTCTTATTTTAAGCGCATATTATCCAATTATCATATAAATATTCATTCCATTGCAAATCTTATCATATACCGTTTCAAATTAAGCATAAATGCACTTGAAAAAAAGTGAAAGACAAAAAGTGAAAGTAACGAGGTTGTTACTTATTTCTAGATTGTTTTTGCAGTGCTGTTGTCTCCCTATCTAACAAGTCTGTAACTATCAGTTGGTCAAAAAGATCCGATATGATGAGACGAGACGAGACACCATAAACAGGTAGACCAACATAGGAGGGTATTCTCATGCAGATTTGACAGTGATGGGGTTTTTCTTCCTCACCCCCAAATCCTCTGCCTCTGCCCTTCGATGGTTCCTCGCTTGGTTTCCCATCTGAACAAGAAACATCAGACCAGTTTTAGGCACAGCTCCTCCATCTTTGTTTGGAAAGTAAAGCTCCAGCAAGAAAAAAACGCAAGCATTTCAACATTTGTAAAAACATGGGATGATGAGGAGTCACAAATGAACAGAGACCGGAAAGACCTGGAAAATGGAATGGAGACAAAATGAAGTGATGAATGAGGACATTCGCTTTGACAACGAGGACGAAGAAGTTTACAGCAGCAAAGACAAACAGACAACTGAGGACATGGATGATGGATGAGAAGACGAGAACAGATGGGATGATGAAACAAACACAACGGACCGATGATGTCATCACAATGGGATTAAAAGATGGAGAGGATGGTGGAAGATGTTATGAGGATTAGATGGGAATTCTGGGATGGGATGAGGAGAGTCCAGGATCAGCTGGAAGGGGGGGCCGGCCTCACCTCGTCTGCCACCAGGCATACCCGGCGTTTGGACGGCTCCGTCTGTCTCTTCACCTTCCCAGTCTTTAGAGGGAACCAGGTCCCAGCCCCAGGACTCCTCTTCAACCTCTTCTTCAGGCTCCTGTTCATGAACCTCCTCCTCGGGGTGAGTCGTCACTCTTGTCATCTCGACGGCTCCAGGAGAGATGGCCTTCAGCAGGGGGACCCCGCCTTTATGTGGCTGCTCTGGTTCTGGGGCTTCATCTGTCGACGGCTTCATGGGGACCTTTTTGAGTGTGACGGCTCCGGTGGGGGAAACGGGTTTGGAGGCCTTTCCCTGAGCTGGAACTTTCTCTGCCTCCTTCTGCTCGTCCACCTTTGGTGACAGAGTCTTCAACTCAACCTTCTGCAGCTCCTCAACAGGCTTTTCTGCTTTATCTGCAATGACCCTGGGAGAAGGAGTCGTTTTGGGTCCAACGCCTTTCTTTAGGACATCGTCTGGTTTTTCTGGGAGCTTCTGCGCCTTAGTAGACGAGATCTTCTCTTTAAGAGGAGGAGGACTTGGCTTCTTGGCCGGAATGGCAGGTTCTTCCTTCTTCACAGGAGTCTCTTTCTCCACGTCCTTCATGTCTTTGACTGTTTGGTCCCTCGGACGTTGAGACAGCTCCTTTATCTGCTGCCCATCTTCTGGCTTGGGGACTTTAGTCTTCATTGTGATTTGCTTCTCCTTCCCCTCTGGTTGGGGACTTACTTTAGGCTTATCAGCTGTCTTGGAAACCTTAACATCTGGTGTTTGATCAACCGCTGCAGGTTTTTGAAAAGGCTTTAACGTCACAACCTCTTGTTCTTCGTCTTTCTTGGGTAATTTCTTAATCTTCTTCTTGGATAAATCTGGCTGAGGTTCTTCGCTTTTTGCCTTTGTGGTTCTGATCAGTAGGGTTTTGTCTTCCTCCTGTGGTGGTTTGGGTTCTGCTGTTGGAACGCCTTCAGACGGCTCTTCAGCAAGGGGAGCCACTCTATCAGGTCTTCCAGGTGGGTTTATCTCTCCATCTTCTCTCTCCTTAGGCCTCTGTACTCTGACTTCTGGGTCTTTTGTCATTTCGGTACCAGTAACCGGTTTCGATTTGACCGGCTCTTGTTCGAACTTCTCAGACCTTTCGACTGGTTTTAGTTTTACAGATTCCTTTGGCTCATCTGTCTTTGGCAATTTCTTGATTTTCTTCTTCTCTACATCTGGAACTTTGGCTTCTTCTTCTTTCTTGGGTTTTGCGGTTCTTGTCCAAACCTCTTTCTCCGCCGCTTTGATTATCTGAAGAGTTTCCATCTCCTCACTTTGGCTCAGCTGAATTGTTTCCTGTTGTGCTGTGAAGACTCGTTCGGTTCTTCCGAAGGTTATTATCTCTCGGTCTTCTCTGTCATGAAGTCCTCGCACTGATAGTTCCGAGGTTTGATGTTTCATCACTTCTGTCTGATGGGTTATGACCTCCTTCTCGGGCTCTGGAGGTTTTACTGGAACCTTCTTCAGCTGGACGGTCTCCCTCTCTGGCTCCTTTACTTTTGGTATTTTGGTGACTTTAGGTTTTGGTTTAGGAACCTCAGTGTTTTCCTCCTGAATAGGAATTTTATCCTTTTGTCTAAGAGTAGGGGCTGTGTTTGAGGGAGCAGAGACATATTCTGTAACATTCAGACATGTGAAAAACATCCATTGGGGGTGAGCACACAGGTCAGACATTACACCAACACTGAAACAAGTATTCTCAAAGGTTTGTGGGTAAACCCTTAAAAAAAACAAGAAAACAGTTCATCGGTTTTATACCTTTGGTTGGTCCAGGAGCTGAAACTGGTTCCTTGTCTGTAAAAATGTAAATAAGACCAATTATAAGCACAGACGATACAAACAGAGCCAGACTAAAGCAACATTCAACGCTAAAGACAAAACCGTCCCCTTTGCTCTGCTTGAACATCCATTTATTCCTGCAAAACATGTAGAAACTATTTCTAAGATCATTGGAGTCAGAAAATGGATGCAGCTAATGTGAAATACTGGATTAGTAGAAGGAAAACAACTGAGAAGTCAAACATGAAAGATTCATAGAGAAAAGATTGCAAAGGTAATTAAGAGAATAAAGTTTTGAGAATAAAAAGACGACAAATAGGCAAAGAAAGAAGGAAGAAACGTTACCTTCAGGAGGAGAGATTCTCTCAGAGACGCTGATAGGTTCAGCCTTTCCAGCTGGCTCTGGTTTCTTCTCCACTGGTGCAACTGGAGCTACAAGAATCAGTTCAGTTTAGATCAGTTCAAGAAACAAACCACAGCTAAATAAAACCAGACACTGAAAGATTGCACTGCTGCTGTGAACAACAGATTTGACAGAAGACCAACAGACATGGAGGGAAGGATAAGAGACAGAAGAAACTACCTGCTGGAAGAACAAGTTTCTCCGCTGCCGGTTCTTTGGATACTGGAGAAGGCTTCTTTTCTTCCGGAGGAGACGCTTGAGAGTACAAGATAAGAGGAAAGCATAATGAACAACGTAACGAAAGATGTCAATGTGACCAAGCGTTATGACAAATGACAGACAAATACATCAGAAGAAGGAAACCAGATCAGAGACACCAGACTGAAAAACTACCTGCAGGAGGAGCAACTTTGGGCGTAGGAGCTGGTGGTGCTGCTACTGATTGTTTCTTCTCCTCTGCAGGAAATAATAAATAAGATGCAAGATAAGGACGAGACAACGGGACGGTCTGCGGACTTTTACAGATGTGATGGACAGAACCACAGGAACAACAAACAGCTCACAGAATAACAACAAAGAGAAACTCTGGACTTTTCTCCAAATAAGAAGCAAAGCAAACATCGAAAGTTTGCAAGATAAGATATTAAAGAAAGCAAACTACCTGTGGGAGGAGCAACCCTCTGAGAAGGAGGAGGTGGTGAAGGTTTTTGTTCTGGCTTCTTCTCCTCTGGAGGAGATAATTTGTGATTACACAAGAGGAACATTAAAAAAACACTAAGGTAACCAAGAACATACCAACACAGCAAAAACCACCAAGAAAATAAAACAAAACCAAACATGGCTGACACGGAAGTTCGGAGAAGAAGGAAACCAGCAGAGTACCTGCAGGGGGGGTGACTTTCTGAGGAGGAGGAGGGGGTGAAGGCTTTGGTTCTGCTTTCTTCTCCTCTGGAGGAGATAATTTTGGGATTACACCCAGGTAGTAAAGAGCATAACGACACACCAGCAACAGTTGACATATGAAGAGGTGCCAATGTACACAGAGACAAACATGGCTGACCCTGAAGGCTTAAGAAGGAAACAGAAACCAGGGTACCTGCTGGAGGAGAAATCTTCTGAGGAGGAGGTGAAGGCTTTGGTTCTGGGGCTGGTTTCTTTTCCTCTGGAGGAGATAATTTGGGATCAAGATCAAGATAATACTACGCTTGGAAAACACACACTGGTACAGTTTATGACACAACAATCGGTGGACATGAGGACAAACATGGCTGACTGATGATGCCAGCAAGAGAACAAAAACATATGACCCCATTATGATACCTGCAGGTGGAGCAACCTTCTGAGGAGGAGGAGGCGGAGGTGAAGGCTTTGGTTCTGGTGCAGAAGATTTCTTCTCCTTAGGCGGAGACACTTTAGGAATAAAAGATACAAAGATCACAACAAGACAAAGCTAAGCTTCACAAAGGACTGAGAGAAAAAAACAGCGAGTGGACATTAAATCGTCCATCGAAGAAGGGCTGGAGGTGAATGGTCAGAGGATGATAAAAGGATGATAAAAAACTTGGAAATGAAAGAGCTAACCCTTTTTTTAAGAAGTAATTTGACAAAACAAAAGCAGGGAAGACTGGTACCCAACAGCATGTTGGGAGATGTTAGTGAGCCACATGTAAAAGATTAGCTTTAAGAGGTTGATCTGTAGCGATCAAGTTCATAAGAATACCTGTCTCCACAGTCTTCCGAGTTTTCTGAGTCTTCTGAGTCTCCAGAGTCTTCTGAGTCTCTAGAGTCTTCTTAGTCTCCAGAGTCTTTTCAGTCTCCAGAGTCTTCTGAGTGTCCGGAGTCTCCAGAGTCTTCTGCTTCTCCAGAGTCTTCCGAGTCTCCAGAGTCATCCGAGTCTCCAGAGTTTTCTGAGTTTCCAGAGACTTCTGAGTGTCCAGAGTCTCCATAGTATCCTTAGTCTCTGGAGTCTTCTGAGTTTCTGGGGTCTTCTGAGTTTCCACAGTCTTCTGAGTGTGCAGAATCTTTTCAGTGTCCTGAGTCTTCATAATCTTCTGGTTCTTCAGAGTCTCCAGAGTCTTCTGAGTGTCCAGAGTCTCCTGAGTCTCTGGAGTCTTTTGAGTTTCTGGGGTCTTCTGAGTCTCCAGAGTCTTCTGCTTCTCCAGAGTCTTCCGAGTCTCCAGAGTCATCTGAGTTTCCAGAGTCTTCTGAGTGTCCGGAGTCTCTTGAGTTTCTGGGGTCTTCCGAGTCTCCAGAGTCTTCTGAGTTTCCAGAGTCTTCTGAGTGTCCAGAGTCTCCAGAGTATCCTGAGTCTCTGGAGTCCTCAGAGTTTCTGGGGTCTTCTGAGTCTCCACAGTCTTCTGAGCGTGCAGAATCTTTTCAGTGTCCAGAGTCTTCATAATCTTCTGGGTCTTCAGAGTCTCCAGAGTCTTCTGAGTGTCTGGAGTCTCCTGAGTCTCCAGAGTCTTCTGAGTTTCCAGAGTCTTCTGAGTGTCCAGAGTCTTCCGAGTCTCCAGAGTCTTCTGAGTTTCCAGAGTCTTCTGAGTGTCCAGAGTCTCCTTAGTCTCCAGAGTCTTCTGAGCTTCTGGGGTCTTCTGAGTCTCCACAGTCTTCTGAGCGTGCAGAATCTTTTCAGTGTCCAGAGTCTTCATAATCTTCTGGGTCTTCAGAGTCTCCAGAGTCTTCTGAGCTTCTGGGGTCTTTTGAGTCTCCACAGTCTTCTGAGTACCCAGTTTCGTCTGAGTGTGCAGAATCTTTTCAGTGTCCAGAGTCTTCATAATCTTCTGGGTCTTCAGAGTCTTCTGAGACTCCAGAGTCTCCACAGTCATCTGAGCCATCTGACTCTCCAGAGTCTTCTGAGTTACGTTTCTCTCTTTCACATCTTCTTCTTTTTGTGGTTTTCTTTCCTTGGCTGTAAACTGTAAATCAGAGAGTGTTGTAGATGAAAGAGGTGGTCGAGGTGTTTCCACTGGTCCAGCTTCAGGTTTCTCAGGTTGGATCATAGTTTTTGTTTGTAGCTTCTCTGCAGATCCAGCAGATTCCTTGAAAGAAGAAAGTTCTGCACTCAGGCTGACTGTCTCCTCAAATGACGACACACTGCTAGGAGGAGCTTTCTTCAGGTCTGCTCCAATAATATCCGCAATGTGCAGATTGGTGGATCTTTGAAATGAGAAATGTTCACATTCAATAGATTTCTTTTCCGCTTCCCTCGTCTCCTCTCTGGTTTCCAGATGCTGTGCTGAAACAAAAGCATCTTCTTTAAGCTCCTCAGCTGAAAAAGTAAAAAACTTCTGTTCTTTTCTTCTCTCCAATAAAACAACATCTTTAACCGGAGTAACCTTTATGTTCTCTGGAGTTGTTTCAGTCAAACCTCTGGCATCTTTTGATGGAAGCTGAGTTACAGTTAGATGTGGAGGAGAGGTGACCACAGACTCTTTTTTGGTTTTTCCCAGAGATCCGTCCTCATTTGGTCGGATGATTTCCAGCTTTTCATGCTCTGGACACTCGAACTCTTCTTCTGTTTTCTCCCTACCTTCTTTCCACACATTTAAAGGCCTCTCATCTCTACCATCTAACTCTTTGGGTTTTAATCTTCTCTCAAATATCTGAACATCTTCATGCTTCTCTTCATTTGCTGCAGAGAAACTTTCTTCGAGCACCGACTTCCAAACATCTTCATCCTCATCTGTCTGTAGCTTCAGGTCTTTTGTTAGATGAACTGAGATTTTTTCTTTTTAAGATTTTACCAAGATGGAGGAAAGGCCCCATGAAGCGGTGGCCAAGAGGAACCCGACATAAAAGAGATAACAAAAACGCAGCAACGTTAGCATCAACATCAAACCCATCAAACAGGTCATTGCAGATTAAACAGATTCAGCTTTGGTTCAGACTTTTAGGCAACAAACAGGACAGCTGACAGATGCTACAGAAATTTAGACCAATGTGAGATAAGAGAGTCTGAAGATCAAACATTAGAAGATTGAGTTAAGTAAAGAGGATTCAAAAAGATCTCTGGGACCATCACATGGACGTGTCTACCTGGTTTGTCTTTGGGTGGAGGTCCTCTGGGACCTGGCAGAGCCTTCTCCAGGTCCAGCTTTGGAGCTTCTGTTTTACTCTGGAGCTCGGCTGCTGGTTCCATAACCTCTGCTTCTTCTGGAACCTTCTTTGGTGTTTCAGGAACCTTTATGGGAGGCTCTGGATCCCTATTTTTCTCTTTGGATTTTTCTGCAACCTTGGTTGGAGCTTCAGTTATCTTTTCTGGAAACCTTGTCTTGGTTTCTGGAACTTTCTTCTCAGTTTCTCTCGTTGTTTTGGAATCTTCAACTTTTTCAGGAAACCTGATAACCTTCGTTTTCTCTGCAAGCTCCGGTTCTTCTGCCTTCTTTGGAACCTCTGGTTCACGTTTAGGAACCAGTGGCAGTGATTTCCCAGGAACCTCAAGCTTCTTGGGCTCTGAGGAAGCTTAGAATAACAGTAGTTATAAGATTTATGCTAAAAAGGTGGAAGTCACACTCTCGTGTAGCTTGTTGAAAGACTTGAAAACGTCTTAACATGTCGGAGTGCAGACAACAGAATCCCATAGGATAACCTCTGCACTACCTGGAACTGGAGCATCCTCCGTCCGCATCTCTGGCTCAGATCTTTGGACCACAGCTTCCTCCCCTCTACGTACATCTTGCACTTAAAATAACATTTTGTTCTCATTTAGCCCAGAGGTAAAAAACAAAGCAATGAAAGAGTCCACTCTAAGCGAGTGAATTCAGCTGAAACCCAAAAGGAGAGGAAGAGACAGATACCTTCAGCTGTTGGACGCTCTGGCGCTGATGGGGCTGCCGCTGCCGCAGCCTTTTCTGGTGCTTTAAAGAACATTTAAACATTTTTTAAGAACATTTACTGCATTGAGCAGAGACACAAACAGGACAGGCAGCTCATAACAACAGGATTCACATCACAGCACATGTATAAGAAGATGAGAGCAAAGAAAAGACTGGGTACCTCTTGGTAGGATCACCTCAGTCTTTGGAGGAGGGACCCTCTCAGCCACCAGGTGGACTTTCGTTTCCACGGCTACAGCTGGGACTTCAGAGGACATGGAGAAGATGCTGGTTTTTACACAGATCTCATCAGAAAGAGTTTTATTATTTTATTGGAGGTAAATGGAGGAGTTAGGCGTAGAAGAGAGTTTACCATTGGGAAGGAGGTTAATAGTGACATATTTACATCAAGAGGTTAGTAGCAAAGAACGTCTGTCACTAAAGGAGCTTTTCATGTTGGTCAGAACAACATGATGGAGGAAAGGAACCGATTATCGAGTCTTTCTGCTCCAACTTTCAGTACTTTACCTCTGGGTTGTGGAACTGCAGCGGCTTTTGGTTTAACTTCTGGTACTTCAGTCACTTTGGGCTCTTCTGCTTTCTGAGGCAGTGGTTCTGGTTCTGGAGGAACCGTTTCAACTTCTCTCGGCTCAGGTTTGGGTTTGGGTTTGGGTTCAGTTCGAACTTCAGATTTAAAGGAAAATAAAAACACTTAAGTCACAAAAAAGGGTTTGATTTCAAGAGTTTAAGGAGCGCAGGAGGTAAAAGACGACAATCACAGACATGAAAACCAGACAATGATTTAAGTGAAGAACACAACGTTTCTCAAACACATTTCAAGTAAAAAAATCACTAAAAATATTTCAATCCTGATGCTTTTGGTACTTAAGATCCTGAACTATGTTTACCAGAAAGATGAAGAAGTAAAGCTGATAAAGACTCGTTCTGACAGCAAAGAAACGTCAGTCAAACTCTGTCATGAACGTTACCTTGTGGAGCTGCAGGCTCTTCTCGCCGAGGAGGAGTCACTTCAGGTTCCCGCTTCTTTTTCTCCGGTTCTTGAAAACATTATCATGAAGTTCAGTTTTTAGACCACAGCTAACACCATGATGAGGTGTTTTTCATTTACACACAACAAGTACGATAAAACAGCATCGGGACAACACAACAGGGGTCAGACACGAAGATACCTGGGGCTGCAGGTGGGGGAGGAGCTTCATGCTTAGAGGGTTTCTCCTCTGCTTTCCTGTAAACCTCAGGAACTTTAAAAGATCAAGAAGGTTTGCATTAAGATTCACACAGTTAAGCAATAAGGTCTACATTTCAGTCTGCGTTAAAAGGAGCGTAAGAGAAGAAGAGCAAAAGATTAAGAAGAGGAGACAAAAACAGACAAAAGATCTACCAAGTGTTAAATCTACTGGAGGAGGAGAGACTCTAACAAGCAGAAGCTGAGTTTAATGCAGAGGTGAAGAGGCAAACATGGGAGCTGAGCGGGTTGGTGGGTCTGTTCAGCCAAAGCTCTGAGAGCAGCATGAAGCCTCGGTACCAAATAGCTTTGTACCTGCAGGGATCTCCTCTCTGACTTGAGTCCGCTCTACAATTTCTTCCACAGCTTTTTTCTCTTCTGGTGGAGGAGAAAAGGGAACTTAGACACAAACAAAGGAATGGCGTCAGGAGATATTAATGATCAGGAATCAGTTTGATCAACACAACCAGGAGACATTAAGACCAGAACGGAGTTAAAAGACACAGACTGACAAAAGATCTGAGGAGAAAGGAGGGAAGAACGCTGATACCTGAGACGGAGGAGAACTGAACCAGAAGCGCTTCTTCTTCAACCGTCACACTCTTAAATTCTAAAGGAAACGATTAAGGGATAAGAGGCGGGTTCAAATCATCTTTATTCACCGAGAGGTTGAATCATGGTAAAGTTCTAAGGGATCATCTCAATATTCTCACAGCCAAGGATCTGAATGTCTCTGCTTCTGTCTCCTTGAACCCCAGTGGGCCTCAGCAGATGGCCGCTCACACTGAGCCTGGTTCTGCTGGAGGTTTCTTCCTGTTCAAAGGGAGTTTTTCCTCTCCACTGTCGCTACAAGCATGCTTAGTGTGAGGGATTGCTGAAGAGTCAATGAGTTGATGCAATTTACTGGTTTTCTGATTTGATGTTTAAAGAGGGATCTTAGGGGACCAGCCAGGGGCCCGCCAAGGAACCATCAAGGAAAGTGGGAAAATTTTGAAAGGCTACCACTGTAAGTTGTAAGGACTTTGTTTTAATGAGACTGAATTGAAAATCAATCATCTCTGTGGAAATATTGAGATTTTTTGGATCAATCATAATTCTCCTCTGACGAATCTGATTTACTCTAAGGCACGTCAGACATGAAGGTGTTGGAGTTACAGAGTTAATGATCTGTGGGTTTATCGGGGTCACACTGTTATTTTGGTTGAAGGATGGTGATGATGGTTAAAGGTAAAGATGATTAAGATGTTTGATTAAAAACGGGCTCATTCGCAGCTCCGTGACGACCGTACCTTTGGCATCACTTTGTTCCTGGTACCGATAAAACTCGGAGGATTCTTTCGACATAAAAAAGAAAAGTTAAATGAAGGAAACGCAGCGGAGTGAAAATGAAACATCTTCCCATCTGTCCCAGACTCACCTGCGCTAATGACCATGTAAGCTGTGTCTGGGAGCTGAACAGAACAGTCTGGGATGTCTGAGGATTCATCCACAAAACATTTAATCACTTTTCAATTTAACCAGGATATAAAATTATACAGTAGCAAGAGTTTTTTCTAATGATCCTAGATCCGCAGCTTCGTGTATAATTATCGTTAGCAGCTGAGTTTGGTTTCTCTGGTTTGTCGTTACTCACCCTGAGGAACCTTTCCTAACCCAACATCTGTGAAAGGAACAGGTGTGGTTAGACCTGGACGGACTCTAAAGTCTCTGACAGCTGCTGTGGCTCTAAGGTACCGACCTTTGCCTGAGAGGTAGAGCTCGGCGGTGCTTCGAGCTTCTCCCATGGGCTCCAGGCGAGCAATAACGGAGTAAACGCCTGGCAGGTGGAGACACCATTCTGTTTTACTCCACATTTAAGGCTCAACAACTGATTCCAACGCTAATATAACGCTGCTCACAGACTGGGGAGCGTTAATAAGAACGTACTATTTCTGTGGGAAATGTTCCCATAGAGGTAAACTTGCTCTAACCAACCTTCATCCTCTGCCATCACGTTCCGGATCGTCATAAAGTGCCGCCGGCCCTCGCTCCGGAAGCTATATTTGGGGCTTTCTCTGAGCTCCCATGAGTCTTTGTACCATATGACTGTGGCATTGTCGAAGGACAACTCGCACTCGAAGGTGGCAGAGTGGCGCTCGCTGACCTCTATGTTTCGGATGCATTTTGTAAACTGAATTTGGTCGGCTAAAATCAGACAATCACAGATTACACTTCTTTTAGTGTTCCGCTTTATCCAAAGTTAGAAAAGAGTCCAAAATGACTCAAACCAAATCAAGACAAAACACATAAAGAGGATCTGCAGGAGTCTTGGCAGATTTAAAGACGTTAGTCCGGTTGTGTTTGACTTACCTGTCAGCTCCTGGTTAGGAGGAAAAGGATTGATGAAGCATTAAAAGGAGTAAGAGTAGCAGGGAAACGGTCTTACCCGATACGGTGAGTTTGGCGTTGGAGATGTGCGGACCGCACACCACGCGGTAGTTGCCCTGATCTTTGACCTGGCAGTTCTTGATCATTAGACGGTGGCGGTTGCCCTCGCTGCTGATCTCGTATTTGTCGCTGTTTTCCAGTTTCTGCGTGCCCTTGTACCACGTCAGAGAGATCTCCGGGTAGTTGATCTGAATCTGGCACTCAAATGTCGCCGATTGGTTCTCCGTGATAGTCTGGTCAGAGATATCTTCCATCACAGAGACCGGCTGGGGACAAAAACAGCCATGAAGGTCGTCCAGGTTTATGTAGACAGCAGTCTGCTCTGGGGGGAGCTTAGTTACCTGCGTGTCGACACGTCCCTCCAGCTGCTGGATGAGGATGGCCATGTCCTCCTCCTCAACCTGACCGCCATGCTCCACCTCCTGCCACCAAAAAGACGGCTCTGAACATGTAGCAACATCTTTACCATTGTTTATTTAATAATATCAACCCAAACTGATCGACTCTGCTGCTGTATGTGATGCCTGACCAGCATGGACACCCTGAACGGTGCAGACATAACGTCCCACCCTCCTACCACTGCCACAAGAAACAGATAACCCATGACATCATATTCTGCCTGAATAGTCTAAAGGTAGTTAATAGGCCTCAGAGACGAGGAAAACTGAACCTTAGACGAAGCAGCTTCCCTTAAATCTACCCAAATCCGAGCTAGAACCAACTGATCTAATCGGCCTCCCCTCGTACCGCCTTTCCAGTCTCCATCTCCTTCTCCCTCTTCAGGATCTCCACCGCCTGCAGGATGGCTCTGTAGTCATAGATTTCATGCTCCCGCAGGATCCTCTCATAGTCTTTAGGGTCATGACCTCTGAGCAGGTCAACGATGCTGAGGTTCTCCAGCTTCTTTGGGCTTTTTTGCTTGGAAGGAGTCCTGGGAAATGGCAGACATATAAGAATTGAGTAGGTAGAAGCTTTGGGTCTTTTGACTAACAGACTTCAGCCAGATTTAGAAATTAAGCAGTTACTTCTTCAGTCTTGTTCTGATATCTCCAAGTCCTTCCCCTTCTTCCTTTTTGGTGACCTCCATTTCGGCGCCGCACTCAATCTCTCCGTGTTTGTTAGTGGCCACGCACCTATAGAGGCCAGAGTCTGACTTGGTCACCTCCCTGATCTCCAGTTTGGCATCCTGGCCCTTGTGTTCAACGGAGATACGACCCCCAGGGGTGATTTGTCTCCACTTCCCCTTCATCCACTTCACGCTGGGGATAGGATCCCCACCGATCTTTGCGATAAACGTAGCGGTTCCCTCTGGAAGTGATGAGAGGAAGTAAAAAATTACAAAATGTATCTCTTCCTGTGGAACATTATTAGAGGATTGCTCTCCTTACTCTCTGTGACTGAAATGTTTTTGGGTTCTTCGATGAAGAAGAGGCTGTCAAGCCTCTTGACCGGAGCAGCTGGAGCAGGTGCTGGTGCCTCGGTGGGGGCAGCTTTGGTTCCTTTGTCTACGTAAAAAAAACATTGGCATGTGATTAAGTAATGCCTTAGAAAAACAGTTAATAATACTGCAGCTATAAAAAAAAAACTGAACCAGATTTTGACCTTTAGGATTTGACCCCTTTTAGTTAATTTTCCATAAAGCCCCAAATCCCCTTAGCTGCTTACCCTTCACAGTGACCTTGGACTTGCAGAAGTCACTACCGGTGGCATTGCTGGCCTTGCAGAGGTAATCCCCTGCATCGGCCTTCAATGCAGAGCTGATCTCTAAGCAGGCTGTTCCGCCAACAAAGCTGATCTTGGTTGAATCGCTGGCCTTTATCTCCCTCCTGTCCTTCATCCACTGGACGGTGAGTGGAGAAGAGCCTCTAACGTGACATTTTAGGCTCAGCTTCTCCCCCTCGTTCACCACAACTGGCTCCAGAGGGACGTCAAATTTAGGGGGCTGGCCAGTTTCTGAAGGAAATGTGGAAAAAACTTTTCAGATCACTTCTAGAAATAAATGCTTGACATTAAACCAGGGTTGAGTTTTTTTCAAGAAGAAATCCGTTTCTTCCAGACAAGTGGAAGAAACTGGAAGAAAGTCCTGGTTATACATCATATTTTGGAGACCTGGAATAGCTCAATGGAAAAGTCAACTCACTAAGTCCTCCTGGGTAGATAAGGAGAAATCTACATGAGAATACACATAGTGACACAAATTAAGAATGTATATAATTCATTAAGTCTATGTAATACAAATCTAGATGAATGAATAACTTTTTGTCACAAAACTTGCCAAGGGAAACGCCCTTGGTTGAAAAACTACTATAGAAAACTCATCAGGTTTGATTAGCTGTGATAGTTTACTAATAGCCTTTAAATGTAGGAAAACAACTTCTTGTATACTCAGATTAAACCAGCTGGCTTTCTTTTTCTTAAATATCATCTGCCCCCAAACCACCCTGGTTTATAGATATTGAACCCCACCTCAGGGTTATTGGGGCGCGCATACACTGTACAAGTTTTTGCCCTTGTCAGGAAGATTCTCCAGTCATGCAAGAACTTTTTCGATCGACAAAATCAGACCGACCGAACACAGCACAATTTTCAACAATGATTTTTGGACTAAATCAAGACGGACCAAACAGATTTAGCCCCCAAAAAATTTCTAAATGACGTCTGGCATTTGGGGGAACAAAAACTTCTAGTAAATTTGACCTTTCAAGTGTTTTTCAGAAGAAACTGGATGAAAGGGCTTCCGCCGGACAGAAAACAAAACATGGAAAAATCCTGGAAAAAAAATGCTATCAAGAAGAAACTTCCAACACTGAAATGTATGACTTTATAGCTTTCACATAGATTATGAACTCTTCAGAGACATTCTGAATAGTTAAGAACAATCTCTGGGAAGTTACTAAAGATTAAAGCCTAAATTTTAGTAAACCTCCAATGAACAAATGGATTCCCTACCTGACACTGTGAGGGACACCTGACATGAAGCTTTGCCTGCTTCATTGGAGGCCTCACAGGTGTAGACGCCACCATCAGAGACAGCGGAGTCTCTGATACACAGCACGGCCATGTTGTTCTTGAAGCTGATGTCGTATTTCTCAGAGGGATGGATCTCCTGGTCGGCCTTGTACCAGACGATGGCCAGAGGCTGAGAGCCAGACACCCGGCCCTCCATCTTTATGACCTTTCCCTCTGAATCAACCATGGACTCAGATGGCCTCTTGGTGAAGTTAGGAGGGACTTTACGCTCTGTGGGGCAGAGAGTGAGAACAACAGGTAAATTTGTGACAATGCGGAGGTGGTTTAATGTTTACTCTCCGTAAGGCCAGTGGGCCTTCACCACAGAACCACCAGATAAAAACCCAGTGATCAGGACAACCGAGTCACAAACCGAGACACAAAGGTAACAGAACATGATCCCGCCCTCCCGTGATCAAAAACCGAACCTTTATTTTTCCACAGGAAGTGATATGTCTCTGTGAGACCATGTCTGAAACGGACCCTCCAATCATGGAACATAACCGGCCCACACTCCAACCAAATCCAGGACCTCTGTGTGAACCAAAGTTCAACTAGACTGTCGGGTAGATGCAAAATCAAGCCTGTTGGTTAGTGGGGCTATTTTAGATGTTTCCCTGCAGTAGTAACTATTGATACAGAGGACTTCCAGAATGGTTAGAGGTCCAGATAAGCACGTCTCCTCCTCTGGTTTCCAGGGTAGAAGCCCTTCAGCCCAGCAGATGAGGAGACCATCTGATTTCTTGGTCACTTATAGAGGTTATTAGAGAAGCAATATTACAATCATTCAAACGCACCGTAAAGACTATAGCGTGTCCACATCTGGATGTTTGGATTGGTGAAACCTACTGTACCTTTAAATGTACCTCAGCATTAGCATCATTATTCACTACCAGGAGCTGTTTAGTTCATGCAATTATAAAATGAAGGATCCATTGATGGTTATGTTTGTCTAGTCGGATAGATCTGAACCCGTTAGAACACGTGTTTCTCCTTCTCTCTGGAAGTAGAGCTGCAGTCTGTGGTTCTGACATTAATCAGATAAGAGGCCAAGACAAGCTGGCATCTTTTCTCAATCCTCACTCACTGAGTACCAGTGGAGGCAGGTCTTAGTGTCAATGGTCGGCCCAGTTTGAATGTGGTGTTATCCAACTTTTCCAGCAGCTTCTATGAAAGGTGGTGATGATGGCGACCAAGCTGTAGAGCTAGATATAAGCATTTAATCTGAATTATTGAGCCCTAGATTAAATTAATTGCTGATTGAAGGCAAACCACCACTCTAGACAAGCTGCAGCCCAGTCACTTCCTGTCAAGCAACCTGAAAACGTATTACCTGGATTTGTTTCAGGATAGAGATTCAATCATTTTGGTTTGATCCTCATTTCTCCAAATGAAACAAAAAATCCAATCCAGACTATCATAAAAAAAGAAACGTCTTTAAACATCTGAGGACACAAATCTTAATGTGAGCAGATCAAACTTTGGTTAAATCCCTAATATAATTTGAAACAGTAGCTTTTGACACTTAACACCATGTTACCGACAGTATTTAAGTTCCTAAAATCCTTTAATACAGATTTTCCTGTCATAACCATAGTGAAGGTGGGGCCGCTATCATCAGCCTCAGTCATATACATATTAGGTATAATATAAACATGAAAAAGGTTTGGGTCAAAATTAGCTGAGCTATGAAGTGGACGTCCAGTGTCCTGTAATCTCAGCATACCATGTCAGGCCAGCATACCATAAATCAGTCCCATTGAATGGCTTCAGATTGTACCAGTAGCTCGGTATGCTTTTATCACTGAGTGAATCTTAATCCTAACACTAAAGTAATCCCACCCATGAAATCTGAAAATAATTTCAGTAGTTCTTAATGTGCTGTAAAAATAAAAATGATCCGTATGTTGATCTCGATAAACAAACCAAATAAATCTCATATCCTGTCACCTGAGTTGTAGAACCCTCTCCCTATAAAGATTTAATTATCTGTGAAAAAATCCAGAACTTCGTCAAACGGACTTGCAAACTTTTTTTTTTTTTAAGTTAATGTGTGAAGTGCACCCCATTAAGGACTTTTTTTATTGTTTTATGCACAAAACAGCATCAAAAACCTGACTAAATCTGGAAATTAAACAGCCTGATTGGCTGTATGGAGAGCGGAGACAGAGGACACTTTCTGTCATGCGTATTACTGAGGGTATACTGCCCTGACGCGGTATGCTGAGCTGACAGGACACCAAACTAAAGCGCAGAGTGAGGTCATTACTTTCCTGCCTCTAAATGCTGCTGACTGTTAAACAATCCAAACTAGACTTCAGGCCATTTCTGGATTATCAGCGATTCTTTTGTTCAGGTTCAAATTTCCAGACCTTCAAATATTTTCCTGAGGGAGATGAAGACTGACTGGAATAATGAGAAACTGATGGGTGCAAAGCATGATGGTTGATATATCAATAAGGTTAACAGAAAACAGAATGAGCCCCAGGCACATCCACCATTAAAACCAGTCATTAAAACCAGTATGCAATTAAACCAACTATTCACACCTCTTAAAACATTGTAGTTCAAAAACTGCTTATCTGTGGGTTTTACTAAGTCCCTCATCTGGGAAATAAATCCTCTGGTTTGCAGTAAATTTTAGTCCAGTGTCAGATGTTATAGATTTTATGTCCCTCAGCTTTTTCTCAAACCAAACAGTTCCTGATAAATGAGTTAGCAATAGCAGCATTAAAGCAAGCATGGCGAATCATGGAAATGATTTGATGTTTTTCCTGTAATGAAATGAATGCATATGAGTGAGTTAGTGCTTTTACCTAGTTTTACATTAGCTTGGCTAATGTCACTTCCTGCAGAGTTAGAAATTTCACAGCTGTATGTTCCTGCAGCTTGTTTTCGGTCCCTGCAGAGGACTTCCAGGATGCAGGTATCGCCTGTGGTCTTCATGTCGTACTGATCTGAGGGTCGGATTACTTCCCCGTCTTTTTTCCAGGCCACAGTTATTCTTGGGCCCCCAGTGTAGGTACACTTCAGGGTCAAAGACTCCTGGAGTCTGATATATGCGTCTTCAAGCTTGTTGACAAAGCGAGGCGGTTCTGAGAGGGGCAATGTTCCAGTTAGTTGTGTGGAGCATGTAAGCAAGAAGGTTTAATTAGATGCATTAAATGAGCATGAAGAGCTGCTGCGCTCCTGCAGGTGACAGTTAGTGTGATTAAGTAAAAGCAGATGTGTTAAGGCTTTACCCGGGCTGACAAGAGCGTGGCAAACATCCTTTCCTACGGCATTAGAAATCTCACAGGTGTAATTTCCTGCTGCATCAGGCCTGCTAGTGTTCAGGACCACCAGGATGCAGGAAGAGTCTGTGGTTTTCACATCGTACTGGTCAGAGGACATGATCGGCTCATCGTCCTTTCTCCATGCCACAAACACCGTCTGGCTCCCGGTGTATGTGCAGACTAGTTTCAGAGGCTGACCGACCACAATAGCTGTGTTTTCCAACTTCTTGATAAAGCGCACAGGCTCTAAGAGAGGCAACCATCATGTAAGACATTTAGTGTTAGCATGCATTATGTCTGAATGTCAGGATTTAGTAAGATGTATTTTTTCCCAAAAGGTCTTGGTCACATTGTCAATAAAGAAGAAGAACAGAAGATGAGTGTCACCTCTGACTGTCACGGTGCAGCTGGCGGACGCGGATCCGGCACGGTTCTCAGCCTGGCAGCTGTATTCGCCTTCGTCAGACTTAGCTGCCTTCAACAGTTTCAAAGTGGCAATGCCGTCTGAGAAATCCATGGAGCAAGTGGGCGACTTTCGCAGCTTTTCACCTGCCTTGAACCAAGCTACTGAGATATCAGGAGTTCCGGTAATGCTGCATTTCAGGGTGACTGCGTCACCCACAGTCACGTCCACCGGCTCCAGCGGATCGACAAAGCACGGTCGCTCTGAGGTGGAACATCAGGGTGGAGGTTCAGTACAAAGAGAAACTTTTTCTTTTGAAAAAGAAGCATAAACATGCAATTTCTTTTTTCACCTAGAATCGAAATCAGCGCTTGACACCTGTCGCTTCCTACTCCATTGTCTACTTCACAAGAGTATTTCCCTGCTGCCGCCATTCTGTGGGAGTTAAGAACCTCGAGGACAGAGGAGGTGTCTGTGGTGATGATGTTGTAATCCTCTGCGCTCACGACGGCGCTCCCATCCTTCTTCCAGGTCACGTCTACGGTGGGCGTTCCGGAGAACGTCACCTCAAGCTTCAGAGGCTTTCCCTTCTCAGAGGAAATATCCCTCAGCTTTTTGACGAAGTGGACCGGTTCTAATGGGGAAAGTCATTTGAACCATCAGTAGATCTGTCACCTTTAGGAACAAAGAGTTTCATGCACACAAACCTTTAACAAAGAGATGAAGGGAACGGCTTTCCTTCCCCGCATTGTTAGACACTTGGCAGGTGTACTCTCCTGCATGAGTCTTATCGACTCTGTGGAGAACCAGAGAGGCCACATCTGCCTTCATTAAGATCTCACAGCCTCTTCCGTGCTGCATTTCTTTGGCTCCCCTGAACCATTTGACCTGCAGCGGCAAGCTGCCTGTCACTCTCGCTGAGATCGTTACGTTTTTCCCAGGCACGGTTTCTTCGGCTTCGGAGGTCTCCACAAATGAGGGAGGTTCTGATTGCAGAAAGAAAAGATTGGTTTTGGGACGGGTGGCTTGTTTCCATGGTGATCTGATCCCAGACCAGAGAGCGCTGGTCCATACTAACCTGTCACATCAGCCGAGGCGCTGGTCTCACAGGCTCCTGCAGCATTGGCTGCTTTACAGGAGTATTTCCCAGAATCAGACTGACTGACAGTTAAAACCAGCAGCCTGCAATTATGATCCGTGGAGCTGATGTCATAATAGGGACCGCTTTGGATCTCCTGGCCATTATGGAACCAGGAAATGGTTAAAGGAGAAGATCCAGTAGCTTTGCACTCCAGCTCAGCAGGCTTACCCACAACAATGTGGGCGTCCTTCAGCTTCTTTATGAAACTCGGAGGAATCAACTTATCTGCAGTCAAAGAGGATGTTGTGAGACAACTTTGTTAGCTGCCTGATAAAAAAATATAAACGACATTAAGAGTAGCCTCAAAGTACCCCGACCTGAGACTGAGAGCTTGGTTACACAAGAGTCAGCACCAATATGATTAGTAAGCTCTAGTTTATATTCTCCAGCATCTGCTTTGTCAGCAGAACGGATCTTCAGAATAGCAACCTTCTTGGCAAAGGACATCTGATATTTTGCACCAGAATTCAGGGCTTGGTTGTCCTTCAACCATTTGGTTTTCAGTTCTGGTGAACCAGACACTGTAACTTCGATGGAAGCGTTTTCTCCTGCGGTGACGCTCATGGATTCTGGGCTCTCTACGATGGCAGCAGGTTCTGAAGTTGTTGGAAAAAAACACTGAGCTCAGAGAAGAGTTCTGGGTTCTTCTACACCAGGTGTCCTGCATCTTTTAGATGTGTCTATGCTTCATCTGGTCATTAGCAGGACTCTGGAGAACCTGACTGCAGACTGAGGTATATCATTCGAGGAATGTTTGATGAAGCACATAAACATCTAAGAGGTGTAGGACACTCAGTAGCAGCATTATGCCTGATGCTCCACAGACCTAAAACTGTAACCTGGGAGACTGACTCCACCACTCCCGCGTCGTTCCTCAGGTGGCAGGTGTATCTGCCCGCCGTCGCCGAGTCAGCCTTGGAAACCACCAGAGTGGCCTGGTTGTTCTCAAAGCTGATCTTCCTGTTATCACTGTCTCTGAGGACGTGATCTTTGTCCCGGATCCAAGACACGATCAGAGGCTCTGAGCCTTTTACCGCAGCTGTCAGCGTCAGCTGCTGGCCGAGTCTTACAGACTGGTCCAGCAGGTGGTTGACAAAGGTTGGTGGTTCTGAACGGTCGGGGAGAAATGAAGTGAGAAAAAAAAAAAGATCCGGCTCTTGAAGGAAGAGTCCACTGATTCAGAACTTACCCTTCAGTGTGATGGAAGTCTGGCAGATCTCACTGCCTACACTGTTGGAGACCTGGCACTCATAGAGGCCAACATCATTCTGCTCCAGTTTCATGACATGGAGAGCAGCCGAGTTGCCCAAAATAACCATCTTATACTTCCTACTCTCTTTTAGGGCTCTTCTGTCTTTGAACCACATAACTTTGAAAGGTTGAGTTCCTTCCATCTCACAGTGAAGACTGGTATCTTTGCCTTGAATGCCTTCCACTGGGAGTGGAGTTTTAAGAAAAGATGGGGACTCTGGAAAATATGTTTGGATATATGAAGAGAGTTCAAACCACTGACAGAAAGTTAATCTGACGTTGAAGTTTATATCAAAGTTCACTTCATAGTAAAGCTCATTTTACTGAAAGATGACAGAAATAAATAATGTCGATGTCGTTGCACCAACACTTAGAGACGTCTTAGACTCATGCTATTATAGAGGGTCAGACAAGGTGCCAATCGCCCCAATAACACACTAGAGCAGGGACCGGCAAGCTGCGGCTCTTTTTTTTTTTATTTATCCTCTTACACCCTCAGGGGGTTTAAATACATTTCTGCCTGACAAAAACACACAAAAGTAAATCACTTATAGCCTCACAGCTATTAGATTTAAGAAGAAACTTTTGGTACGTCTGTAAAGGTAAGATGTCATAGAATGGTTTTCTGGTGTCAGCACCATTGTAGCTTTGACCCTGCCTGAAATATTAGGGACAAAATACAAAATATTTTTGCATTTTTTGAACCTCGCCAAAATTTTCTTTGAAATAAACATTGCGAAACACTACCAAAATATTATTTATAGCACAAAAAAGTAGTACAGACTTTTAAATCTAAATGTTGTGTAAAAATATACCAAATTTGGACTCAATCAGATGAATCATATTTATTTTAGAATGGTATTAGTGAGAAATTTCTTAGGCGGAGAGGCCATTTTGGCACATTTATCCAAAAATGTCACCAAACTGTGCCAAATGTGTTTTTTACATCAATACTGGGGGTTTGTTAAAATTACGAGGTCACGTGGCAGCTGGACCCACCGGTGGGTCCGTAGGGTTCTAGGGGTTAAAGATTAGCGTTGAGTTCCAGGCTTTATACAGTAGCCTAAATAGCCCAACAAAGCCTTGTTTTGGCTTAAAAAACATTCAAAATAAAACGGATGAACAGGTCCACCCCTTTGGGAGTTGATTCCTTGCCGCTATCATGGCAATCCCCACCCCCTTAAAGGGGAACAGAAGACCTCGCCTTTCAGCCAGGGCAACATTTCCCTTTAACATCCCCTTTCAGAGACATAGACAGGTACGGCATATTACAGACTAACAGGGTTCCAAACGACGCCCATTCCAAAGGTGTGGACCCGTTCGTCCGTTTCATTTTGCATGTTTTCTAAACTAAAACAACGCTTTGTTGGGCTACTATATAAAACCTCAAACTCAACGCTATTTCTGACATTTTGAAATGAAAAGGTTTCCTGGATGGGAAGAGAAATTTCTTCAAACTTGGAAACAGTCCAGTGGAATGTTTTTTACTTTTTTAGATTGACTCCACATTTGCTTTGGAATGAGAAGCTGTCAAATAATAAAAAGAGTAAATTGATAGAGCTAAACATGCAGCCGACCACAAAGTGATTGCAGAACTTCTGGATGAATTAGAGGAGAGCAAAGATAGATTTAAGAAATGGATTGCATCTCCAGACTCCACTACTGCTGCTAGTCTGGTTACAAGCATAGAATCCAACAGGTAGCGCTCTGATGCAGGGATGGGAATTTTCTTCCATTTTTTATCCCAAATCCTCAAAATAAAAAATCACACCAAAAATATGATTTCTTCATTGTGTTTCTATAATTACAACAATGCAAAACCAAATAGATTAATATTGTAATGGAATTCAACCTTAAAGCACCAAATATCGTACAGCAGAGTCACATGATGTGACATTTGCTTCAGGATAAACATTTAATCATCAATGTTTATTATATATTTCAGCCCTCATAGTCCTTTTTTATGGTGTGCTAATAGACTTGCCATATCAGGCTTATAGAAGACTTTACAGTTTGGGTTGCCGACCCCTGGACTAGAGTTAATATGCATGAGAAGGAGAAATCTACCTGCTAACATGTGATCAGTATATCTGCCTAGTATCTGACCTTGGACGGTAAGAGTGGTGCTGCAGCTCGCACTGCCCGCATCATTGTGAACCTCACAGGTGTAGACCCCATCATCCTCAAAGCTCGCAGAGCTGAGCTGCAGGGATGCAGCCGACTCCAAGAGCGTGGCTCTATAGTTTCCACCGTCGCTTATCTTCTGGTCATTTTTATACCAGCACATTTTTAAAGAGCGTGCACTGTTGGTCGTGCACTCCAAGATGATTCCCTCACCGTGCTTCACAAAGGTGGTGGGAGGAAGTTTCAGCGTAAACTGAGGAGGCTCTGCAAAGTCAAAAAAAAGAGATTAGGTTATAAAACGAAGCAACACTGGGTGGGATGAGCGGTGGAGAATGTGATGCTGTGATGGGAGGAAGCAGAATTTCAAAGAAAATGAAGACAGAGAAGCTGTAAAAATGAAGAAAAAAGATGGCGTTAAATGAGCGCGTGATGGCGCTGGACAGAAAAAGAAAGTCCAACCTTTCACCATCAGCTCTGCTCTCTCTGCCGCCTCGCCGGCTTCGTTTGTAACGCGGGCAGCAATAAACCCCGCCGTGCCGGGCTTCGACAGAGCTCAGCTCTAGCGTGGAGGAATATTTCTCCAACCTGATCATGCACCCTGCTCCAGCAACCAGTCTGGTGTTATCCTTAAACCATTCAACCTCAAACGGGTCGGTGCCTTCAAAGACTCCTCTGAAGGTCACCTTTGACTTTGGAAGAACTGACAGAGACTCGAGCTCCGCCAGAAATCTGGGCGGCACTGCAACCCACAGGGAGAAGAGATTATGACCCCGAATAAAGATTTCCTGCCTAATAAGTCTGGAATAAATCAGAAGAGCAACCTTTGGCCGTCAGGATGGCGCTGCAGAGACAGCTGCCTGCTTCGTTGGTGACTTTGCAGGAGTACGCTCCTGTGTCACTGCTCCCGCTCAGCCTTAACTCCAAAGAAACCGTGCTTCCAGAATGGAAGAGTTTATACTTTGAACCCTGCCTTAATCTTTGCTTCCCTTTGAACCATTCAACAGAAAGTGGCAAAGAGCCGACCAGTCTGCACTCCATGGTAACCACTGAACCCATCACCGCTTGGAGGTTGGATAATTCCTTCAGAAATGTGGGAGGAGCCACCGCATCTGTTTCAAACAACATCAAGCTTTTATTAGTCATTTGTTCCTGGAAATTTGGGAGATTTTTTCCAATCCCAAAACTTGTATGAACTTTGCTGGAGAGTTTATTTATGGGTGGTGGGAGGAGTGATGCTAATCCTAACCCTAACAATGCTTTTCAATGGTGTTTATGCTAAAACTAAAGCACTTGTGCAACGTTAGTGTGAAAGCAGGTTTATATCTAAGAACCAATAATTATATCTGTAACATAGAGTTACTCATAGTGTGGTAGATGTTGTTTTCCAGATGATAAAACAGCTTCCAAACTCATCAACCATCATCATAATGGACTCCTTTATGAGACATCAGTTAACTATAAAACTAGGCTACAAAAGTCAAATATCAGTTATTTTTCTGGTAAAAGCGTTAAAACATCAAAACAAGCTGTTATATCTGAGACTGATAAACCAGCTAAAAACCTTCTACCCAACCAGAGGTGTAAGATAAAGCACAAATACTTTAAAAATAGACTCAGTTTAGTTTCATTTAAGCTCATTTTCATTATGGCCTGTTGTTATTCAAGAAGAACCATCAAAAATAATTAGTTTTATCCAGACAATTAATGTCTTTGTGGTTGGACTCGGTGCTGCCCCAACCTGTTGCTCACCACAAACCAAAATAAATAGTTTTTCAAGATGATGCAAAGTTAAATGTGACGCTGTTAGCATTAGTTATAAAACTAAGGAAATAAAGTCTAAGGAAGTTATCATCCAGAATTGTAGAAAAATGTTCCTTTAATTGGGTAGAGCAGTAAAGCTTCTGGCCTTAACAGTTTTTCTTGCATTACTTTTATACTTTAAGTAGTTTTAAAAAGGGTAGGTTTATACTTTTACTTGAGTAAAAAGCTGAAGTTGATCCTCTAACTTCTACAAAAGTGTTTCTAAACAGTAAGAGTTAAACTACTGGAGCTATAAAAATTAATTCTTTGGACACCTCTGCTGACAACTATACGTATTTGAGTTAAACTAATGATGTATATCAAACCAATAGAAACAGAGTGAAAACCCAGGAAAAATAGTCATATTTTCCACAAAAAGCAAAACGATTCTACATTTCAGTTCTGCAGTAAAACATAAAACATCCAGCTTCATAGTAAAGCCATAAATATATCTAAAACATTAAATGAAAACCATTAAAAACAGGGAAACAATTTCAGCTTGAATGTATAAAATCTACAAAGAATCAAAAGCATTGAGGAAGATTTCTTATCTGGTTTAGACGTTAAAACCTGAACTACTTTGAATAATCTTCACTTCTGATAAGTGGTGACGTCCATCCAAGCCTGACCTCCCTACCAGCGGGCACTGAGTTAATGAAGCTTTCAGACGGACATGAGAACCACAGAGTTCAGATTTCCCAACAGACATGACGAAGCCGTCACCGTGATCTTTGAGCTCCACCTGTATTCTGCACCTCCCACTGTGGGACACCTGAGCGTTTTTCAAAGTCAACTCAGCATGGTCGGCTTCTCAGGACATCTGAACATGCTCGTCTTCCCTTAGGTCCTGACTGTCCCACTCCATTGGAACACCATAGGGAAGGCGGGCCGGAATGCATGCACTTCATAGATACTTAGAGGCCAACATGCAGCACTCCTGCAGCATCTGAATAAATGATGGTGGTTCTAGTGGAAAAAAAGAAAACTACATGATCTGAACTCAGGCTAAACCTGCAAATCCCTGATCCAAACATTGACAAAGCATGAAGAAAAATTATTTCTGGAAACCTGGAAAATGAGGAATAAATCAGCCGACATTAAATTATTAACAGGTGCAATGACCGGCATGCAGCAGCAAACGAGAGATAACAGCAGTACTAACCTTTCAAAGAAACCTGGCAAGAACAAGATGTCTCCCCAACATCATTTGCAACCGTGCAGCGGTAAGTCCCATCATCCCTGCTGTCACAGTCAGATATCTGAAGAGTCACTGTGTCTCTTTCAACATGGATCTGATGCTTATTATTGCCTCTTATCAGCTTATCGTTCAGGAAGCAGCTTATTTCAAATGGAGGGGAACCTGAGACGGTTCCTTTCAGAATAATATCAGATCCCTTCACAAACTCAGCCGATTCAAAAGGCTTTACAAACTCTGGAGGCTCTATGAGAGAGATGATAGAGGTCACATTTAACCAGGAGGCCTGAAAGGAAAGTTTAGTCTAAAGAGGCAGATCTGCTCCACATTTACTTACAGAACTTACCGTTAACCTACTGTCTATATAATAATTCAGACAAATATCCCTAAGTTAAGAAAGATGGAAGGGTGTGGAGCAGAAAACAGGAACAGATTGTCTTCAGACAGCACTGACCTTTGACATTTACCGAGCAGCTGCACTGCTCTCTGCCGGCGTCGCTAGAAGCGACACACATATACTCTCCGCTATCTTCCACACTGCAGGACTCCACCTCCAGAGAGGCTACCGAGCTCTCAAAAGACACAGAGTATCTTTGGCCAGAAATGATTTCTGAGCCATTTTTCATCCATGTGATAGAGATCACAGGAGTTCCTGAGACTTTGCAAGACAGTCTGAGAGGCTGTCCGGCTTTTAGGAGCCGAGAAGGCTCAAGCTTCATCGTGAACGTGGGAGCCTCTGTAAATTCACAAGAGCAATGACAGTGAGCATGGGGAAGGGGTTAGTGGAAGGTTGGCTGAGACAGGATGGAAGCAGAACCTTTGACGAAGAGGATGGCGCTGCAGTCCACTTTGCCCGCATCGTTAGACACCTGGCAGGTGTACTTAGCCGATTCACTGGCTTTTATAGAATGAAGCTCCAAGGAACTGGAGGAGTTATCCTTCTTAATGATACATTTCCCAGCGGAGAAGATCTCTTTCTCCTCTTTGAACCATTTAACCACAAGTGGAGCAGACCCAGTGAATTCTGCTCTCATGACAACATTGCTTCCTGGTGCAACATCTCGGGACTCTGGTTTTACTGTGAAGGCTGGAGGTTCTGGAAAACAACACGCATGTTCAAAGCCTGTCAACACGCTTTGCCTGGCTCTATGTTTTGGTTTAGATCTCAGGCATTGAGTCTTCTCTGACCTTTGATTGCCAGCGTTCCGCTGGTTTCTGTATCTCCGGCCTCGTTTGAGGCGCGGCATGTATAAACTCCTCTGTCACTCTGCTCTGAATGCATTATCGCCAACGTGGCGGCGCCATCGCTGAAATCAAGCTTGTATTTATCGTTGCTGTGAATTTTTTTGTCGTCTTTGAGCCAAGAAACAGTCATGGGCTGCGATCCAGCAACTCTGCATTCCAACGTTATGTTACTACCAATACTTCCATCTAAGTTCTTTAGAGTTTTTGTAAAAGATGGTGGAACGGCACGATCTGTATGGGGAACAAGCCAAAGACATTACGGTGACTGAAAGAACGCAAGATTTTTTTAAGGCATCGTGATTCGGTCATGTCAGCCAACACCAACCTATAACGGTGACCGAGCACATGCACTCGTCTCTGCCGACTTTATTGGAAACCTCCACCTTGTACTCTGAGGTGTCTCCTTTGTCTGCTGAAAGGATCTTTAGAGCGGCGGTGCTCTCCTTCACCGTTGTCTTATATTTACGACCACTTATTATCTCCTTTCCGTCTTTGAACCATCGGACTTTAAGCTCCGGGCTTCCGGAGATGCTGCACTGGAGCGTGGCCGAGTCTCCGGCCGTAACACTGATGGATGCCGCTTTCTCTACGATCTTTGCTGGTTCTAAAACACAACACAAGCTTCAAGCTTCGTAGACCAACCCAGGTTACCTTTAGGAAGAGCTAGCTGGATGGAGGTGGGTCCTGACCTTGGATGGTGAGTATAGCCTCACACTTCTGCTGACCCGCCTCATTCTCTGCGATGCAGGTATACTTGCCGCCGTGCTTTATATCCACAGAGGCAAAGGAAATGCTGGGAATATTGTTCTCGAATGTTGTGGTGACGCTGGAATCGTCATCTATTAGTGACTTTGAGTCTTTCATCCATTTGATGGAGATAGGAGCTGAGCCTTTCACTACTCCTTGGAGCTTTGCCACATTTCCCAGCACCACCGTAGAACTCTCAATCCTCTTTGAGAAGATAGGAGGCTCTGAAACAATATCGGTTTTAGTAAATGTTAGCGGCTATCAGGGAAGCTAGCTCCATAGTCACACTGAGTTCTCTCTTTGACTGACCTTTCTGTTTAACCACTGATTTAGAGGTCACCGAGCCAACCGCGTTAGAAACAACGCATTCATATTCACCGATGTCGGCCGACTCGAATGCATGGATCTCCAAAGAGGTCAGAGACTCCTGTGACACTACTCTGTACTTTTTATCTGAGGACAAACGTTTCTTGTTCTTTTTCCAGGTCACTTCAAAAGGTGCAGAGCCTGCAATCTCACACTCCAACGCCGCTACAGATCCCCTGACTGCCTCTAAGTAGGGCACATCCTTAAGGAATGACGGCGGTTCTAATGGGGAACCAACAGCTCGGTTAGGACAGATTTTAAATGCCAAACTTTGTTTTTCTAGTACTTGTGACTCTTCACACCTTTAACAGTCACTTTGGTGCTACAGCTCTCACAGCCTGACTCGTTCAGAACCTCACAGCTGTAGTTTCCGCTGTCGCTCGACGCAACATTGCTTATCTCAACGGCAGAAACGCCATCCTTAAAACTGGTGGCATACCTGCCGCCGACCGGCAGCTCGCTGTTATTGAAGAACCAGGTGGTGTGGAGCTCAGGGGATCCTTTGACAGAGCACTGGAGCCGAGCCGTGCTGCCCTGCTTCCAGACTGTGGTGGCCTCCAGCCTCTTTACAAAGACTGGGGGCTCTGCAGGCAGGAGGTTAGTCAGAACCATTGCAAGGGAAGAAGATGTTATTTAAAAACATAGCAGCATTGGTGAAAAAAAGAGCAACTGAGTATAGATCAGAAAAAAAACACAAAAATATTGATTGTTGAGTTTTTGAAGGGTAAAACACTAAAACACTGGAGTATAGTCAGACCTTACCTTGTACTTTCACAGAGGTGGAGCAAGAGCTACTTCCAGCTTCATTTGCCACCGTACACACATAATTTCCACAATCTTTCAATGTGGTTTTTAGGATGTCAAGATTTACCGTCTTGTTCTCAAAAGACAGTTTACAGTCTGGAGACTGGTGGACTTTTCTACCATCTCTGGTCCAGGTGACAGTCACGCCTGTGTCCTCGTCCACCTGACACTCCAGGTGAAGAGGAGCTCCAACCACTGCTGCGACTGGACCCAGTGGCTTTACAAAGCTGGGCTTATCGACAACCAGCAGCTCTGTGCTGCACTCAGCCACTCCGGCATCATTAGATGCCCTGCACACATACAGCCCTCCGTCTGCCGCTTCAAGCATGGCAATCTCAAGAGTGTGCTTATTCTTTTCACAAGAGGTACGGTAGTGTTCAGGCACTGAGGACACAGCCTGGTGGTCTTTAAACCACTCAACATTCAGAGGAGCGGATCCCGCTATAACACACTGTATCAGTGCCTTCTTTCCAACAAACACTGTTTGGTTTTCAGGCTTATTTTGAAAAAATGGAGGAAATTTCTCTATAAAGATTAGGAAAGACAAAATGTTAGTGGTAAAATGTTATACTGGGTAGAAGCACCGGCATAAAGAAGAGTGATTCAAAAGCATCGAATCAAACTATGAAGCTGTTCACAGATACTTAAAACTCCCTAAACATACCCAAAGTCAAGCAGCTATGAAGGAGTAAAAATGCATTGCTCCTACCTGTCACACTGAGAAGGGCGGAGCATTCATCACCGCCATGGTGATTGGATGCTTTGCAGCTGTACTCTCCACTGTCCTCCTTGGCTGCGCTCAGAACCTCCAGTGAGGAGGAGGTGAAGCGGCTGATTATCCGGTACTTATCACCCTCTTTCAGTGGGTGTCCATCTTTAAACCACTTGAAGTTCACATTCGGAGCATCCTCTGTGTCACATTCAAATCTGGCATTGTTGCCCACGTTGACCTCCAGTGGTACGACTCTGTGCTTGAACACGGGTTTCACTGCATTTGGGGAGGAGAAGGAGAAAGAAAATAAAGTGAGCAGAAAGATATATATTTTAAATAGATTCAAAGCAGACTCTATTGTTTAGCCCTGAAATGAAAGAAATGAATCCAGGGATGACTGTGGAGGAAGAAGCTTGTGGTTAGGTAGAGGAAAGAAGCTATGCATGCAAGAAATGGACCAAGGATGAGGAAAGACAGGCGCTGAGAGATATGACTCCAAAGAGGACAGTGATGGACGTGAGGATGGTTCGTTTAAAGAAAGTGCAAATGTGAGGGAAGAAAAGTGAGGATGGCTCTGCTGCATTTAACTGTAAAAGCTTTCTCTGAGGACTAGAGGCAAAACATGACATGAACTCCTGAGTGACGTTAGTTGATGATGATATCAAAGAACCGCCCATCATCAAACCTTTTGAGACCACAGTGAGCCTCGAAGACGTCGTGGTCCTGCCAGCTGCGTTCTCAGCCTCACAGACATATTCTCCTTGATGCCTCTCCTTCAACACTTTGTGGATAACTAATGTGTATGTGTCATGGTCCTCAGAACACCTGAACTCTTCACCAGATTCCACCAGCTGACCATTGAAGAACCAGTTCACCTCGGTTGCATTGTTGATAGTCGTAGTAAGTACCCCGCGTCGCCGTTTATTTCTGCACAGGTTTCCTCCAGAGGCTGAACAACAACAGGGCGATCCATCGGGCGGTCAGAGAACTCGCTGATCAGGAAAGCCTCTGAGAGGTACTCCTCTCTGGTGTCCATCTGCACCATAGCAACCTGCTCTACGTCTTTCAATGTGGTTTCTGTGTTAATGCCACTCGCTTGCTGAAAGCCGTAGCTCTGAATTGTTGCACTTTGGAAAGAACCCATTGACTCCATTCTTAAATCTGCATTAAAGGATGCATCTGGAGGGAACAAAGCAACGCTCTCTGCCACCATCACTGTATCAGTCACGGTGGACATCATCTCTTTGGAGGTTGCTGAGCTGTTGTGGACTATCTGAGGTCTGTCGATCTGCAGGGTGCCGTGCTGCTCTGAAGTAAGACTCTGCTGTTCTTGGAACAACATGGCTCGTAGCGCCACCTCCAGTTCTGTCTTGAGATCTGCCACCTGAGGATATTCCCCTTCAAAGGACAGCGTGATCTCCAATGGGACACCGGGCGATGTGATCAGATATGTAAATGTTTTCCTTCTGGGTTCTCGTTGAACTTTGACTTCCTGTATCTCAACCGCTTCTAACTGTCCCACAGCCTCTGCCAGTAGGACTGCCTGATTGGTGGCCACAGCCGACTGAAGAGCGTCTTTCAGCTGATGTCTAATGGTCATACTGGTTGGTTTGGGGATGTTTAGAACAAAGCTGAGCTCTTTGGGTAGAGGAACAGAGTCCTGAGACTCATGGAGAAAAACGACTCCTTTAGGTTGGGTCTGAACCGTGACAGTGGAAGCCTGGGTTTGATGTATCTCACTAGACTGTTCCTTCAAGATGACCTGCCTCTCTTCCAGCTGCACAGACTGTTGGACTGACTGCCCCTCCTTAATCGCAACTGCCGAATCTCGTTCTGCAGCCTCTAAGATTGTGCATCTCTCCGTTGCCGCCGCCTTTTCTTCTATGAACACGGGCCTCTTTGGGATCTTTGGTTCGACTCTAACTACAGGCTTGAATTCCTCATCCGTGTGCAGGCTGGTGGTGTGGCCCTCCTCTAAAGTGGGGGTGTCTGTGATGTTCAAGGACTTCAGGATGTCCCACTGCTCCTCTCTCTGAATTAGTACTCGCTGCTCTCTAACGGTGTCAGTGAAAGGGGTCTCCTTCGGGAGTAGTAGTGACTGGGAAGACACACCAAGAATGTTCGGAGGTCTGGATTCAGTTTTATGCTTGGCCTTCATTCCATCCACAGACACACTAAGATCTTTGTGGCTATCTGCTATGATCTCTCTGTGCATTTCTGAGGACGCGGCATGGCTTCGAGCTCTTTCCTGCTTGGCTGTGGCTGCCTGCTGTTCAGGTTTGGTAAAGACAATGATCCCTTCCTTTGGTAGTTGTGGAACAGACTGGATAGACTGGAGGTACTTCTGCTGTTGCTGCTCTTTTCTTGGCTGAGCTGAGGCATAGTCAGTCTGCACTCTGACCTCTGAGGTCGACTCACACACCAAGGCCCTCTGCTCTTCGTGAATTTCAGAGTGCAGCAAAGTTGGACTCTTCCTTACATCTGCCTGCTCTGTGGGAGGCTGTTCACTGCTGAACCGCCCCTCGGACTCTAAACCACACTGATCACTGATGACCTGCAGATTTAAAACTTGTTTCTCCTCCCCCATCACCTGCAGACACATCGGACTCTCTAGTGGGGCCACTTGTACCGTCTGTTCAGCCTGAATCGGATATTTTTCTTCATTAGTCATGGCTGATTTATAAAGCTTTTCTTTGCTTGTCTGGATGGTTTGCTGCTCTGGATTATGTATTTCAAACCTGCGCTCTTTAGTGAGAGTCCCTCTGGTTTCACTCATCGGTGCATGCACTGGATTAGGTTGTTCTTTTTTAACCTGTGGCATTAAGGGTGGGTTCAGAGCTAGCAGAGGCTCAGAATGGGTTTCTGTGAGCAGCAGCTGCTCAGCAGATTGAGCAGAGTAAGAAACCTTCATCCCCTCTTGGACTCTAAAACTTCTCTCCTCATCTGGTCGCTCCAAAGCACCAGACACATCAGCAAGGATGGGGAGAGCGGATTCTACTTGGTAGCTGCTGAGCGGCTGCCTGGGTTCAGCCGTGGTCTCCATGTGTTCCTGAGTCTGGTCTGCCAGAGGCTCAGCTCTAACTGTGCTCAGGGACAGGACCTCCTCACAGGTAGCCGACATAATCTCAGACGGCTTCTCCTCTGAGGATTTAAGGTCAACAAGCTCAGGGCTCAGAATCCTCTCTGAATGCTGCTCTGTGATCCTCTGGCTCTCCTGGACTGAAGACAGGAATGAAGCCATGTGAAGCTGCTTTGTAGATACAGCTAAGACCTCAGCGGGGTGTTCTAGAGCTAAAGAAACGCTCTCATGAACTTCATGTGACTGTAGAAGAGCGGCCTGCTGGGTCATCTGCTCTCTATGCAGAGTAGCAGCAGAGACGTTGATCTCCTGGAGGGTTTCCACCTCCTCACTGGGGATAATCTGCCGGTCTTCGGTGCTGATGGTGTAAATCAACTGATCTGACCGGCTTCTTTCCTGGCTCAGCCGGGACTCTGTGCTTTGCTCAGTCAGGGAAATCTTCAAGCCTTTTGTTTTCTGAATCAACTGCCTCTCCTGCTGTGCTTTTTGGCCAATGACCACCAGTTCAGCACTGCAGGCGGCCTCACCAAACAGATTGCAAGCTTTGCATGTGTAGGTACCACTGTTCTCTTCTTTGACACTCTCAATGCTGAAAAAGCCGGATCCGTCCGGACTGTTCGCCATGACGACGAACCCGGCCGGCTGGATAATGGTGCTTCCTTTGAACCACTGAACATCAGGGAGCGGATCTCCACTCAGCGTATATCTGAAGAAACACTGGCCACCCTCCGATAACTGAACCGACTCTATCGCTTTCAGAAACTTTGGAGGATGGCCAACGGACTTCGGCATTTCCTCGCCAACCCTTCTCTCCTCTTCGGGTTCTTTCACCTGAACGTGAAGAAACGAGGAGCATGTCGACTGCCCGAACCTGTTGCTGACCGTGCAAGAGTACTCCCCATCATATTCTCTACGAACTTCGTTAATAACTAAACTGTACTTGTCTTGTCTGTGAATGAACGTATAGACCGATGAACTGGTTATGGTCTGCCCGTTGTGAAACCAGTGGACAGTGGGTGCTGGGAAACCCAACACTTTGACCGTAAAGGCAAAGCTTTCCCCGACAGCTGCTACTGCTGCTGGGGGAAGCTCGCTGAGGAAAACTGGTTTTTCTTTTTTCCTCTCCAAAGAGCTGGAGAAGCGTTTGGTCTCTGGTTTGAGTTCAAGTGTTCTGGTTTTATCAGGTAATTTTAAGCCAGTGCTGAATGACTCCTGGATCTCCTCTTCCACTGTGATGGTTGAGCTAGAAAAGGCTGAGTGGAACAATGAGAATTGAAAGTAAATCACACATCCCAGTAGGGCTGAAACAATCAGATTAATTGATTATTGAAATAATCATCAACTAATTTAGTAATCGATTAATCATAAATTAGTGTTGAAACTCTAAAACAGGCATCTCCAAAGTCGGTCCTGCAGGTTTTTGAGGTTTTCCTGCTCCAGCGCAGCTGATTTACATTGATAGTTGATGAACAGGCTTTTGCTGAACTGCAATTATCAGAATCAGCTGTGTTAAAGCAGAGAAACCTTTAAAACCTGCAGGACAGCAGCCCTCCAGGACCCACTTTGCTCTAAAACATGCCTGTAGCTGAGAGGGACCCACTTAGAGCATTAATTATATCAAAATTGTAAAACATTCTCTACAGTTTTTGCCTTTTCATCTGTCAGTATGCTCTATACAGATCTTTATTTAGCGGAAAAGTTTTAGTTTCACCTGGTTTATTTCATAAAACCTCTTCTTTAAGCAACCTTTGGTTAACTAATTATTAATTTGCAAAAAAATGGTTAGGTGCATCCCTACATCCCAGCATCATCCAGCTCAAGTGAAAACAGGAAGTATATGACTAACATTTGATTGTACACTGGAAATAAATCTAAATAAGAGCATTTTTGTCTTGAACTGAGGAGGTAAATGACACTTTTTGAATAAGACAATTTACACTTAAAATAAGAAAAAACAATTCATTGTCTAATTTCAAATGCATATTATATAAGAGTAAAAATACTCATTCATACTCATTGGCAAATTAAGGGTAAATACACTTAATTTAAGAAATGTTTACTTATTTCTAGATTGTTTTTCCAGTGTGAAACCTTGAACATGTTTTACCATCAACTCAAGATTTAGTCAAACACTCACAAACATTGGAATGTCGGAATCTAAACACATTTTATGCAAGAAGGAAACTCATAAACGGATGAAAGACATTAAGAATAAATTAAGATTCAGCATTGGTTTCATTTAAAAACACAAAACTAAACTGATTCAAAGCTGAATTTTATTTCATGACACTTATGACACAACACATTTCAGATATAACGAAGTTAATTCAGCCCCTCCCCTCCCTGTTGGATCAGTATCTACCTTTTACGTCTTCCTTAACCTGTGGCTCCTTCTCCGCCTCCGTCACTGTAAGACACAGAATGGCTCCAATTAAAAAAAACATTTCTATAACTGTCTTCAAAGCACACGGCGGTTAGAATCTGAGAAGTGGTGCAGCCGTTTGATCCACAGGGGCGTGTCTTTGAGCTCATCCTCTCTTCATGCCTCCATTCGCTCTTTTACTGAGCAGCAGATATGTCTTCTCCTTAAAGTTTTGTGATATAAATGACTCTCCCTTCATAGCTCTAATGTTTTTAGTCAAGAGTGCAAGACACAACGAGTTGGAGACGCTGCCTGGTGCTAAAAGTGGTGGTGGAGGAAACAAAGTGCATGGGTGTGGGGCACAGAAAGGACCAAAAGCATGCAAATGCCAACCTTTCATCCCTGTGCTGCACTCAGCATCTCCAGCTGAGCTCAGAGTTTTCAAACAGTAAGAGCCCCCCCGTCCGGCTCCCTCATTATTAGCATCTACACAGCACAGAGCGCTGTCCTGTTTCAGAGAGTACCAAACAGAGTCCTTCACATTCAAACGGCTGTAAAGCCAAATGACAAATGAAGCAGGAAGCCCCTTCATGATGCAGAGCGGAGACTTCCTGTCTTTGCTTCTGAGCAGCAGTTCAGGGGGGAGTTTTATCAGGAGCTCCGGGCGGTCAAAGAGCCGGCGACTCCGCTCGTCATGAGGCATCACGTCCGGGAAATATAACTGGAAAGGTCTTTGGGAAGATTCAGGCAAAGATCGAAGCTTCTTCTTTGACTCCTGCTTCTCCTGCTCAGAGAGATCTCTAGAACTCTCTCTGTCTGCTTGAGACGCTTTACGGACAGAACCGGTAGGGATGGGGGTCTCTGCTTTGAGGTTCGCTTCTTTAGCTGAGTGAGAATAAAGTTAGGGAGAGTAATTAGGGGTCAGAGTCAAAAGCTACGGCTATAACCATGAAAGGGTTAGTAGGATGGAGATGAGATTAGCGAGGGGAAGCTGGCGTCAGGGAGGGAGCAAAGCTACGCTAACAGAGGCTGTTATTCCATTATTCTAACAGATTATCAACTAGGAGGAGATATTAAGTCATGATGAGGGGGTCCGAAGCAGGAGGAGCGGATGGAGAAGTGAAATGGACCAGTTGGAAATGAAAAAGAAGAAAGATTAACCACCTTCAACAGTAAGCCTGGCAGAGGAACTGTTCTGACCGTGCGGGTTGGTGGCTGTGCAGCGGTAGGTTCCCTGATCGTCCGTGTCCACGCTCTGGATGAGCAGGGACAACAGGCCCCCGCCCTCAGAGCGCCTTACCCGCTCCGTGTCCACCAAGTTCTGACCGTTATGATCCCACACCACTGAGGTGAAAGGCTGCCCGTCGAAAGAGCAGCTGAACTCGGCCACCTCGCCGCTTCTCACTCTGATGTCGCTCATTTCCGTCAGCAGCTGGGGGCTGGCTGAGAGGCTGAAAGCAACGCTGCTGTGAGAGCTCGTCTCCACTGAGGTCACGCTCTCCATCTGAACCTCCACCGTCCTCCACGACACGGAGGACGCTTCAGAGACGAGCTCAGAAAACTCAACAGTGTGGGCGGTTTGACCCGCCGACAGAGAGCTGAAGCTCTCCGTCTGAGCTTCCCGTCTCTGAGTCACTTTAGTCTCAGACACACTAGCTAAGGCTTTACCATCTGGGCAGTAAGAAAGGATAGAAGAATAAGGTCAGAACAGCAACACAGCGGCCATTTTCCAGGTTATTTGTTTTCCAAAGTGCAGTCAGGTTGGAGTGTGTGCAGTGAGGGCCGGACGGCAGCTCGTTTCCACAGATCAACCATGCAAACTCCATGAAAGGCAGAAGTCATGAAAAAAGATGTGGGTTATGACCATGAGTGGAAGGGATCCACAAAGCTGTACGTCCACAGCGACCATGCTGATTCACTCTGAAACAAAGAAGGTCTCAACCAACCAGGTTAGACGCTGCAGGTGAAGCAGGAGAGGAAATCATGCAGCACAGCAGGGAAGTTATAGCTTCAAGCGAAGGCGTCTGATTCCTCTACATGCAGCGGAAACATCAAATAAAAACTGATTTTCAGATGAAAACATGCGATGAGGTGAAATGTTTCCTTTCCAGTTCCCTGTGAAACCAGTTCCCTTATTTTTTAACATGCAACTGAAGGCTGGAAGAGTAAAACACTGCAAAAAATTGAAAACTAAATAAGTCTTTTTTTTCTTAAAATAGGTGCATTAAGTGAGACACTTTGCCAATGGAACACTATTTACATCTCTTATTTCAAGTGCATATCATCTAATAATCTTATTTTAAGAGTGAAAAAAAAACTTTTTATTGGCAAATCATCTTATTTACCTACTCAAGTTAAAGTTGAATACACTTAATTTAAGATATTTTTTACTTATTTTTTAAAAGAGAAACAACTGTAGTCTCTTATTTCAAGTAAATATTTTATTTTAAAGGTAAAACCAGTCATTCCAATCATTCCAGGGTAAATACACCTATTTTAAAAAAAATTGTTACTTGTTCTTAGATCGTTTTTGCAGTGTTCGGTCTTTTCTAGCAAGATCTGAAGCAAAACCGTGTTTTCATCTTATAGGAAGGAAAGAAGAAGCTGAAACTTTAACATCCCAGAAGCTGGACTCAGTGTCGCCAGGCAGAAATACTTTTCCGTTCTGGATCTAAAGGCTGATGCTTGATGGAAACTAGAGCTGAGAAATATAACAATACTCAATATATTAGGATCATCAATATTTTTTCATCCTGTTTAAATCTAATGAATTTGCTATTGGCTCTATTTCCTGCACTATCAATGTTTTCTGCAAAACAAAATCTAGAAATAAGTAAAAATTTCTTAAATTTGGCATATTTACCTATAATTTCAGTATTTTTGGAATGATTATTTTTTCATTAAATAATAATATGCATTTAAAATACAGTAGTAGCCATTAAAAATTTTCATTTCGATGGCTGAAAAGATTCCTTTTTTAAACATCAATCTTTGTACTAGTTAAAAGTGAAACTGTCAAAGAGCGACTGGCTTTCAATGTGCAAAACACAACATTCCTCCACAAGCTCTAGAGGCTGGAGGGAATTTGGATGGAAAAACTTAATATGCTACTTCATAACACCTCAATTCAACAACAATGTTGTAAAGAAATATGCAAGAGGGGGGTCACTGCAGTGGCTGCCATTTGGCTGCCATTCTATTGGGAAGGGCTTTTCTGAATGGCTGCTACTGTAAGACAATACAATAGTTTTTTTCTTACTATAAATGTAAATTGTCTTGTTCCACTGGCAAAGTGTCTCACTTACCTCCTCAATTCAAGAACAAATGCAATTATTTAGATTTCCATTTCTTGCTGCGGGGGCATTGGTTTGTTCACAACTCAAACCAAAAAAGGCATCATGCTTCCTGGGATTTAACGTCTGAGTGCCATGCAGTGGTTCTGGACTCGTCCAACCAAACCCTTTAATGAGAAGAAGCATCTGCATGCAGGAACTCACCATCCAGGTTCAGAGTGGCAGAACATGTGACCATCCCTGCTGAGTTAGTGGCAATGCAGGAATACTCTCCCTCATGAGAGGGGAGGACTCTGGAAATCTCCAGCAGGCAGGTTTCATCCATATGAGACATCCTGAAGATGTCGGACTGTTGGATCTCCTTGTCTTTACGGAACCAAGAAACCTGCAGATCTGGAGACACATTGTTCACGGAAGTCAGCGTCACCCGAGCGGCGGCAAGCAACAGGTTCGCTAATGAAAGGAAAGTTAAGCAGCAACACAAAAGCCGAGCAGAAGGGAATACCTTCCCCTGAGATGGTACACTTCAGCTGAGCGGGGCTTCCCTGTGGGACCAGAACATCCCGCATGGGGCTGATCAGAACCGGAGGGGAGATCGGAGCGGCGGTCTCAACCACCTCAGGAACTGAAAGATAACATGTTTGCTGTTAAAGACGAGTCCTTCCAGCTCCTTCTCAGATATTTAAACGCAATTCACCTGAATAGTTTCAAAAATATTCACTGGAAAACCAAATGATTCATTTGAAAGTGCTAGTGCTAGCTAGTAAGTTAGCTAAAGAATCAAGGTAGTAAGCTAGCTGCTAAAAGTTAAAGAGCAGGAAATAAAATGTTACGCAAGAAGAAGGAAAAACATAATTCCAGGACTTTGACGCTCCAAAATAAAAGATGTCGAACCTTCTACGGTCAGGGGGGCGGAGCTTGTGGCTGCTCCAAAGTCATTCTTGGCCTCACAGCTGTAGACGGCGGCGTCCTCAGGGAAGACCTCTAGCAGGAGCAGCGTGTGCTCGTCTCCGTCATGGAGGAACTTGCATTTGTAGCTGCTGGTCAGCAGCTGGGAGTCTTTGTACCAGAGCATCTGAGGCGCAGGGAGGCCGCTGACATGAGCCGAGAAACGCACCATCCGACCCGACATCACTGTCTGGGGCTGCATGTGGCGCACGATCTGTGGCGGCTCTGGCACTGAGCAGAGAAGCAGACAGTCAGTGAAAACTAGCAGAGATGCAGAAGAAGGTCCATCCTGGATAATAGCTGCTGCTGGCTAGAGGAGCTTACGTCTAACGTGGAGGTTCATGCTGCTGCGGTTCTTGCCGGCGACGAAGGTGTATTCTCCAGCGTCACTCCTAAAGGTCTCAGAGATGGTGAGGCGGTGCAGCCTCCTGATGGCGGCGTAGTTGAAGCGCTCTTCCTCAGAGAAATGGATTTCCGCTCCGTTCCTCAACCAGTGTCCCTCCACTTCGTCCTCATTCACCTCAAACTCAAAGGTCGCCCTTTGCTTCTCCACCACCTGTGCAGAAAGATGGTTATTTTGATCCGAAGAACTGGACCAGCTCAGATCTGGTCGAAGCTCCACAGAGCAGGAACTCACCGTGACATCTCTGCTTTCAGGCTCTGAGATTTTCACATCTCGTCCTTCGACTGCCAGGTGTCCCACAGACATGCTGGAGCCAGCGACAGCCGTGTACTCGCCAGCATCGGACAAGCGGACTGACGGCAGAACCAGCCGGTGGAGGAAGTTGTCTGAGGACATTTTGAACCTTTGCAGAAGGAAAGGCAGACTCGTTAATGATGTCGGGAAAAGACTTAAAAGGTCGCAGCATCTGAAGAAGAGCGTCTCCTCACCTGTCGGACATCTCCAGCTCCTGTCCGTCCTTCATCCACATCACCTGCACGTTGGGCTCAGAAACCTCACACTCAAAGGTGGCCCGCTTCTTCTCTGTGATCTTCAGGTCTTTTAGGTGTTTAGTGAATTCGATAACGCGAGCTGCAGAGACATAAACGTTTCATTTGATCCAAGTTCTTTGGTTTTTTATTTTGGTGGTTGTGATAGTAGGACGAATATGAAGCCGGATCTTACCCTCCACGTAGAGCTTAGCTGTAGTGGCAGCAGAGCCCGCCATGAAGGTGTAATCGGCGCTGTCTCCAAAGTGGACGTTCCTGATGCTCAGAGTGTGAGTGAGCTGCTTGCAGCGAGCCTGGCACCTGTCCGTGGATTTGATCTCCACGCCGTTTTTCAGCCACTTGTAGGTGATTCCCTCGTAGTTGATGTTCACCTCAAATGTGACAGTGTCTTTCTCCTGAGCGTTCAGGTCCTCCAACATCGTTGTGATCAGAATCGCTGGGAGGAAACAGACCAGACCAGAGGTTAATTTGAGGTGTTCTTTCACCTTCAGGGGAGGAATTGTTAATTAATTTTAAAGTAAGCGGCTGTTCCAACTGTTGCAAATCCGAATTCTCCAGAGTGGTGCCCGACTTTACACGAGTGAATAAAGTGAATGTGATTGGTCGATTAGCAAAGGGGCGGGATTGTTGTGGCGGAAGGTTCGCAAGCAAGTTTGGTTGTTGCCGGTTTGTCGGAAGCATCTTGCTAACCAGTTAGCAACTTAATACTAGTAGGTTCCCAATGTGAAATTCCATTGGGACCAAGTAGCACTAAATTGGTGACTTAGAAACGACGCTGTCAAGGAACGCTATGGACAGCGGAACCATGCAAGAGGAGGAGAGTTTTGCCTCGCAACGCTGCCAGTTCTGTTAGCTCTACGCCTGCCGAAGACACAGACGTCCATCCCCATGAACACTGGGACGGAACTCAATGGGAAAGGAAAGGATTCTGATTTCAATGGTTGCCTAAATTAGCTGCGACATATGAATCAAGATGCTAAGACCGAAAAAATTTACATAGATAGATGACCGTTGATATATGATTGGCCGAATTTAAGTTGTTCAGGCTGACGTATAACTAACTGGCCTGCAGAAGATAACGAAAAAGAAAAAAACAGACTTTAAGACAAGATTTTTTTTTTTTTTAATAGAAATTTTCTAAATTTTGGGACAATATAGTCTGATAAAGAGTACATGTTTAAGCCACAACGATTTCACATTTAAATATGAATTGCCTACACTTTTAAAGAAGCTCTAATTCAGAAAATTCAAGTTTTTTTTCTTTAAATAATGCTTCAGAAATGGTTGTTCGATTTCTTACGGTTGACGGTGAGTGTCGCAGACACACGGTCGTTCCCGCAGACGAAGGTGTACTCCGCGGAGTCTTCCCTGCTGGTGTTCATGATCTTCAGCTGGTGGAGTCTCCCCTGAACCACGATGCGGAACTTCTCGCTCATTTCGATCTCCACACCGTCCTTCAGCCAGGTGGAAGGCACGTTGAAGTGGGATACTTCGCACTCAAATGTGGCCACCTGGGTCTCTGGGACCTCCACGTTCTTTATGGGTTTGGTTACCCGCAGAGCTGCAGAAAAATGTTCAGATGGTTTGGTTCCCCTTCGATTTTACGACTAGCAGAGGAAAACACTGAATTCACGGCTTACATTCCACAGTCAGGTGAGCGCTGCACTGCAGATGGCCGACCAGCACGGTGTACTCTCCCTCCTTGCTGCTGTCGACGTCCTGGATGATGAGTTTATGACTCCTTTTCTCAGACAGCAGGGTGTAGTGCTCGTTTGGCTTCAGCTCCGCGTTCTTGAACATCCATTTCACTGGGATGTTGTCTTCAGAGATTCCCACCTCAAATGTAGCTGTTGCTCCCAGCAGTGATGTCACATCCTTTGGCTTCTTAAGAATCTTAATGGCTGGGGGAACAAAAATAAAAATGATTTTGACATTTTTCTCAAACCAAAGACGGCGAGGCGAATGTCCTTCTTACTTTCAACGTTAAGTCTGGCGCTTGCAGACAGCTTTCCCAGTTTGAAGGAGTAAACAGACTCGTCGTGGGTGGAGCAGTTGTTGATCTTTAAGGTGTGAACCATGCCCTCCATGCTGATCTCAAACTTCTCACTGGGCTGGATCTCAACACCGTTCTTGATCCACTGCACCCCCCTGACGTTCTCATGGGTCAGTTCCAGGCTAAACACGGCCTCCTGAGTCTCAACGACGTTCAGGTTCTTCAGCGTCTTCTTGATCTTTACAGCTGAGGGGGACAAACATCAGCATCAGTTAAAGATTTATGGATTCAATATTTATATACATACTAAGGCAGCACTTGCTACTAAAGTTAACTTCTTCAATTCTAAAGGTTCCTTTCAGATGTTTCAACTGAGGTCTCCAAAGTATTAATGTTTATTACTCCATTACAAATATGAATTCTGCTGTTTAAAAACACTTTTATAGAAGTTAAAGGATCAAATTCAGCTTTTTACTCCAGTAAAAGTCTAAAAGTAAATTTTTTAAAACTACTTAAAGTATAAAAGTAAAAGTAATGCAGGTAAAACTGTTAAGGCCAGAAGCTTTACTGCACTACCCTGTCAAAGGAACATCTTTCTACAATTCTGGATGATAACTTCCTTAGATTTCATTTTCTACATTAGCTTGCTAGCTCGCAGCGGTAAGAGCTTCTACTGAAAGATGGGGCTTCATCAGCTCTTTATTTCAGCTCTGCAGGAATAGAGCTCATTGGTTCAGCAGCTTCAATGTAGCAAATAAATGTCAAAATGTGTGAATTCAGGACATTAGTTCTCCGTCATTCCTGCTGCTAGCATGTTTTGGACTAAATGAAAATTAGCACCTCATTCTTTCATTTCCATCTTTGACTTCCCCCTCTGGAGGTTAGGACAAATAGGCAGAATAGCCGCATATTCTTATTAGCCATATAGTTCAAGGCATAGGAATATACAGTATTTATACTTTGTTACTTGAAGCCTCTGGTCATCGGATAGATTTGATAAACCAACACAAGTTTTTAAATTCTGTCCGTTTACCTTCGACCTTTAGATTGGCCGTGGTCTTGGAGGTGGCCACCTGGTACGTGTACTCTCCAATGTCGGTGGCTTTCGTGATAACAATAACCAGACGTCTGACGGCGCCGTCCACCTCGCTCAGCACGTTGTCGCTAAAGTCCACGGGCTGTCCGTCCTTCAGCCACTTTCCCTCTGCAGATGGGTTTGCTACTTGACACTCCAGCACTGCAGTCTGGGAGTCCGCTACTACCAGGTCGCGCAAAGGCTTCTTGATAGCGCCGCCTGGTGACACAGGGCGGTCATATCGTCATTGTAAAGAGCATTACGGATGATATCAGGTTGACAGAAGTCTTATCCTGCTTACCTGTCACGGTGAGCAAAGCTCTGCACGTCTTCTCACCCGCAGCGAACATGTACTCGCCTTCCTCATCCTTCATGGCGTTGATGACTGTCAGGGTGTGGTGCTTATTCTTGGTCTCCATCTTGTGCTTGGCGCTGGCTTTCAGCGGCTGGTCCTTGAAGGTCCAATAAGGGTCGATACCGGGGTGGGAAACCTCGACTTCGAAGGTGACATTCTCAGACTCGGAGCACTCCGTGTCGTTCATCGGCTTCAGGATCTGCACAGCTGTTCAAGCAGGATGCAGGAAAGGAACCCGTTAGTGAGCAAGAAGATATTCAGATTAAATAAGAACTTTAGCAATTTATTTTGTGATTTTAGGAGCTTCTCATCATGTCTGAGCTAAAATTCCCATTCTTTCTTATCTAACCCATCTTTTCTTGATAAATATTGAGCAAATTTATTCTGTGGTGAATATTTTTCTTTTATTGTTCCAATCAAAAGATGCTGAGGTTCTTAATCACTGCTAATACCTTTTCAGATTTATTTTTCTGAACCTAAATAACTTTTCAGCTTTGACCTGTTAGATGTTTAGCCAATGAAAAGAGACTTGGAAAGTCCAGGTGGGTAACTTACGCTCTACAGAGAACTTGCAGCTGGTGTCCACTCTGCCAACAACCATTTTGTAGCGGCCCTCGTCAGACGCGTAGGTCCTGCTGAAAACCAGACGCTGCTTGGCTCCCTTTGCCACCACACTGACTCGGTCGCTGGGAACCAACAGTTTGTCATCGTGGTACCATTTGACCGAGCTAATGTCCTGAGCAGAGATCTTGGCCTCTAGGACAGCCTTGGTGCCTTCAATGGCAGAGATGTCCTTCAAAGGAACGAGGATGCCGATGCCTGCAACAAAAAGAGGTTTGGTTTTCAGAGATTTTTTTTTCAGAAACAGAATGTAGTTTTATTTCAATAAATGAGTTTAGGGCACGTACTCCGAACATTCAGCTTTGCAGAGGTTTTAATATCGTGGTCAGGAACCTCGAAAGAATATGATCCAAAGTCGTCCTTGGTGGCGTCTTCAATCAGGAGTTTGTAGACTAGTTTGTCGATCACAATGTGCACACGGTCAGACGCCGTGACCGGCTGTCCGTTCTTTTTCCAGCTGCCTTCAACGTTTTCCTGCGAGAACTTAACCTCAAGCTGAGCGATGTCACCTTCACAAACAGTTAGGTCCGTCAGAGGCTGAACCAGGGTCACTGGACGCACTGAAAATAAAGATAAAAGTGTTCAGGAATGGACCTTCAGCGCATCTACAGAGCATTTATTATTAGGAATGGACAAGATATATTCCTGAATCAAAACAGATTCTTAGACTTACGCTTCATCTTCAGCGAGGCGGATGTGGTGAATTCTCCCACTTTGAAGGTGTATTTGCCCTGGTCTTCCTTCTTGACGTCTCTCACAGACAGACTGTGTCTTCCACGACGAGACATCATGACGTATTTACTACTGGGAGAGAGCAGCTTGCCTTCAAAGAACCAGCTGCCTTCAGCGTCTTCACGCGTCACAACGCATTCAAACTCTCCAGAGTATGTTTCTGGCACCTCAGCGTCCTCCAGCTGCTTCACCATCTCCAGAGGGGCTCCTGTTCACATCAGGATGCAGAAAGAAATTCAGACACGACGGCTTTCATGACTAATTTACAACTAAATATAAGAAGAGTTCAATGATCAAACAACATTAATAAAGTTCTCATTTTTACCCACCTTCAACGTTAAGGTTGGCGCTGGTTCGGACGCTCTCGTCATCTATAACCACGCAGGAGTATTCTGCATTGTCCTTCACCTCGAGCATCAGCACAGACAGGAAGTGGACCTTTCTGTCAGAGTGCATCCTGTATTTGTCTCCTGAGAAGATCTCCATGTTGTTCTTGAGCCATTTGACCTTAACGAATGGCTCATTGGTCTCACACTCAAAGGTGGCCATAGTGTCCTTCTCCTTGGCATTGATCTCCTCCAGCTTCTGGGTAAAAGTGATGACTTGTTTGGCTGCAAAAATGTGAGATTTTATTAGAAACATGATTTCAAAGGAGTTATGTGTTGTAGGGTTCAGGGTTCTGGTTGTGTACCTTGAACCAGCAGGAAAGCGTGGCTTGATGTCTCTCCAGCAGTGCTGCTTGCTTTAACCATGATGCTAGCCGAGTCCTCGGCAGTGACATTCCTGATTACCAGTTCACACACATGGTCTTCAGGCCAGAACCAGTAGATCCGTTCGGACTTCTCCAGCTGGACGCCGTTCTTGAACCACTGGCACTCCGGGTCTGGTCTACCCACCACTCTGACTCTGAATTTCACTTCATCTCCCAGAGCGACGGTCTGGCTGCTGATCCGCTCCAGGATCTTCGGAGCCTCCATGCTGGCCGAGAGTTTGATCCTTTCTGGTTTCAGAGGTTTAGCTGTAACTTTCAGCCGCTCTTCCTCCTTCCTCCTCTCAGCCTCCTCCTTCTGTTTTGCGTGGTGTAGTAGCTCCTCTTTCGTCTTTCTTAGCAGATCTTCATAAGAATCATCTCTCTTGCGAGACTTGAGCTCCACAGCGGTGATGGACTCATAGTAGCCTTCCTCTGTCCTACGCTTGAATTTGCTCCTCAGCTCCTCAGACTCCTCCACAGCTTTTTCATGGACAATTCTGTGGGCCTTCTTAAGCTTAACCACCTCCTTTTGTTGGGAGTCCTCGGATGATAGCTCGGTCTTCACCACCTCAAATGAGACTCGTCCTGCCTCGGACGGAGCTTCACCCGCTTTAGCCTCAGCAGCGTGGCGCAGATGGGTTCTGAAGTCCTCCTTCTGCTGGATCTCCAGCTTCACAGTGTGTTCAGCTGAACCCAGGTTGTTATCCGCTATAACCTTCACCTCTCCTGAATCATAGGATTTGATTTCTGTGATCTCCAGGTAGTAGATACCGTCATAACGAAGACGGTATCTTTTGCTTTTGCGGATGAGTTGTCCATTGAGGTACCAGTTGACCTTCGGAGCTGGATATCCAGTGACTCGGCAGCGGAATCGGGCTATGTCGCCCTCCATGACCCTTACAGGTTCAGGGAGAAGGACGATCTCTGGTTTCATTTTCTCTGTTTCCTCCTCAGCAGTTACTCCATAAGGGCCACCTTCATGAGCTTGCCTTTCCATTTCATCCATGCGCTGAATTCCCCTCCTGCCCTCAGGGAGCTGGGATTCCTCCACGAGGCCCTTCTCGTCCTTGACAATCAGGGTAGCCGAGGTCTGGTCGACTCCAAACTTGTTGGTGGCTCTACAGGTGATCACGCCGCTGTCTCTGGCGTAAGCGACCTCGTAGTCCAGGCTGCAGTAGCCAAACTCGTTGACCATCCGCAGCCTGTTAGCAGCAGCCAGAGGCTTCCCGTCATGCAGCCACTCCACCACCATGTTGGGGTCTCCGATAGGAGTGAGCCTGCACTCAAAATGCGCCGGACCAAAACGCTTCATGCGGACTGATGTGAGCTTCTTCTTGAATGCCGGTTTCTGTTGCTTCTCCTTGTCGTAGAGGTCGCCTTCCTCCCACTGCTCTTGACCATACCGCAGGTGAAGAGGCTCCAGCTCTGGAGGTGTGATCTCTTTGGCTTTGTAGGTCCCTTTGGGAATTATGAGCTTCCTCTCTGGCTCAGGCTCCACGTATTCCACCTCCACATTGACTCTGCAGCGGGTGGTGTCTCTTCCAGCCTTGTTGATGGCTGTGGCAGTGTACCAGGCACTGTCTGACCCGGCAGCTGATGGGATCTGGAATTTGGCTTCTCCTTTGGTTCCTTCAATCCTAAAACATGACAGTTTTGCAGTTAAAGATTTCCGGCAGCTAAAAGTCCCAATTCTATACATAATACAGAACAAAATGCACTATTAATAATAATAATACATTTTATTTAAAGTGCCTTTCAAAAACACTTAAGGACACTGTACAGGTAAAAGCAACATTGTCATAGTTAAAGGAAACAACACAAACTGCACACAGGACAGTAACAAAAAAAATCATGTGAAAATGCAATCTTGAAAAGGTGGGTTTTTAGTTTTGATTTGAACAAGGATAAAGACTTGGTATTGCAGATGTCAGAGAAAAAGCTCTGATCCCCATGGTGCTGGACAGTTGGAAGGAACAACAAGGCAAGAGTTATGAGAGAGGGAGTAGAAATTTGAAGTAAATCAGAAGGATAGGGAGGGGACAGATTGTGAATAACTTTAAAAGTAAGTAAGAGGATTTTGAATTGAATTCTGAAATTGACAGGGAGCCAGTGGATGTGCTGTAGGACAGGGGTGCTGTGATAGAAAAAAAGGGTTCTAGAGATAATGCGATATGCTGAGTTTTGGACGCCGTGAAGCTTGTTTAGTGATTTTTGCTGTAGACCACAAAGAAGAGAGTTACAGTAATCGATGCAGGAAGTGACAAGACTATGGACAAGAGTAATTTCTATCAAGGATGACATCTTGACTTGTGGTGAGGGGTGGATTATGGAGTTATCAAGTGAAAGGGAGAAACTGTCAGCTTTGGATAGTGTAGGTTTGGTTTCCACTAGGAGGTTTTCTGTCTTCTCAGTATTTAAGAAAGTGGAGGTGAGCCAGGATTTTATTTCCTCTAATCAGGAGGTTAATGAAGGCTATGCTTAGATAAAGAAGAATGAGGATGAAAATTAGACCAGAGTCTGGTGCTATTAGAAGATCATTGCTTATTTTTAAGGGGGCGGTTTCAGTACTATGACAGGGACAAAAAAACAGACAGGAACTGTTCATAAAGGTGTATTAATACAACAATATCCACATACCGCTGTGGATTTCCGAGAACCTCGTGTGATTTACTTTTTAAAGGGACTTACTTAACGTTTGGATGCTTGTGTGGGGTGATGATGTCACTGTTTTTCAGCCAGACAATGTCAGGCAGTGGGTTTCCAATGGCTTTAACAGCCAGTTCAACCAGAGTTCCTTCCTTCACACTGATGTTCCTCAGTTTCTCTGTAAACTGTGGACGCTCCAGGGTTTCCTTAGCTGAACAGGACAGAAAGCTTAGATCAGCATGTTTCCTAAAGCATGGTGACATAGGAGGCATCTAGCAGAGATACACAGGAGTTAAACCCTACCATCCACAGTGAGATTGACAGAGATCGATGAGCGCCCGGCTCTGTTCTGAGCCACCACTGTCCATTCTCCAGAGTCGTGAGGCATGGCCGGGACAATGATCAGCGACAGAGTCCCATCCTCTTTAACCACGATCTTATGGGTGTGGTCACTGATGATCTGTTGTCCTGAGAAGTAAAAAAAACAGAATCTGTTTAGCAGCAGAGAAAGTTTGTTCGATAACGCCTTTCATGGAGATTCGATGTGAGACTTACCATTGTGGAACCAGTAGGTGTCGGGCATAGGTCGCCCAACAACTTTGAGGTCGAATCTGGCAGTTTGACCCTCTGAACATTTACAAGCAGAAGGTTTCATGACAAATACTGGTTTGTAAAGTCTTTCCAGCTGTGCCTCGTCGGTCTCATCGAGTCGACGAGCAGGAGAGCGTCCGGGTGAACGGCTGGGCGAACGCCCAGGAGAGCGGCTCAGAGAGCGAGGAGATGTGGATCTGAGGAACAGGTTTGGAATGATTAGCATTAGTAATCTTTTAGACGTAGACTTAGACAACATTTGAATCACATCCTTTAAGTGAATCCGTACCTGATTCTCTGTACTGCAGGCTGCGGCGTGTATCTCTGAGGAGCAGCCGCGGATGACTCCACATAAAGTTTCCCTGAGCAGACAGCGTTTCCTTTCATGTTGGTGGCGAAGGCAGTATACACGCCTTCGTCTTCTGGTCGCACCATCGACAGGCGCAGGCTAGCTCGCCCATCCTGGAGAACCTCCATCTGGTAGTGATCCCCAGGTCTGATGCGCTGGCCGTTTTTAAACCAGGCAATCTGCCAGGAGGTTCAGAAGTCAGTGACTTATCATTGGAAGTGTACATTATACCTTTATTTTTCATTGCTAACACCAAAATACGACGCATCACCTTGGGGAGCGGCATTCCAGACATCTTGCAGTGGAAGGTGACGCTCATTCCCTCCATGATTCTGTAGTTTTTGACGGGCGTGTCGAAGGCTGGCTGTGCCGCCTCAGTGGCAGCAGCGGTCACCATCAGCTCCCCGTCCTCGGTTACAATCTCTCTATAGGTGATCTTCATGATGGTGAGCTCGATCTCCTGAATTATTCTCAGCTCCATGGCTGACAAATGGAATTCCTGCAAGATTATCAGAAAATATAGGATAACTTTAGCTTGAGTGCGATCATTAGCTGTAGCTAACGTTTATCCTAGCTGCTGAAAGGTGTGGCTTCTACCTGTCCAGAGATAACAGTGGTCATTGTGTCCACTGTGATAGAGGGAATGTCTCCAGGTTTGGGCTCCGGCACCGGAGCGGCCACTTCCTGGGTCTTCATGTAGGCTTCATATTCCTCTGCAAGCAAAAACATCATAACATTAAAACCCAAGCCCAGCGTCCTTTTCTCAGTCCGTCTGCTTGTCTCACTCTTTAGACGTGATGATGGACATACCTTCCTCCAGGAGGCTGGTGGAGGCCGAGACTTCTCCAAGCTGATTCTTAGCAAACACTGAATACTCTCCAGCATCGTCTGCAAAGGTCATGGAGATCTCCAGCCTGCACTCCCCGGTCTCCTTCTTGTATGCAACTTTGTACCTATAATGAACACAAACATGGACAGTGGCTCCAAATAACTTTACATCATTAAAGGAGGTTTCAAAATTATAAATATTTATTACTCAAGTAATCCTACTGTTTAAAAACACTTTTATAGAATTTAGAGGATCAACTTAAGCTTTGTACTCCAGAAAAAGTGCAAAAGTGCATTTTTAAAACCACTTAAAGTATAAAAGTAAAAAGGTGTGAAGATTCTCAGTCATCCAAGTCATACTCATTCCAAAAAAAGAATATTAATAACAATCGACTGAGCTTTTTCAATACAATGGATTTCCATTCCAAAGGGGTGGACCTGTTAGTTTCAATTTGCATGTTTTCTAAGCAAAAACAAGGCTTTGTTGTGCTACTGTATAAAATGTATAGTTTAAATTTATAATGAAAAACTGCAGTTAGAGTGTAATCTCATTTATTTATATCTTTTATCTTGTAATTGTTTGACAAAGTTGGTTCTAGTCATATTTTAGAGTAACAGCTTACTTTTGGTCTTGGGTTATATCCCAAAAAACATAGAAATGGTGGAAAAAGTTCTTAAATTCTTATTTAAAACTCTCAGTTCCTACCTTCTTTTAAAAAAAAATATAAATCAGATCATTTTAAAATGTTTTTCGAGTCATTTAAGCTCCTTAAATTGGAAATAAGATTTTCTCTTTGCTTCTTTTTGTCTTTGCTTTTGAAGGAAAATAAAACAGAAATATAAATAAAGTATTTTCTGCTCCTGCTTCTGGGTTAATTTGAGGGTAAAGGTTTTTATCCTGTAGTTAGGGCAATTCTAGCTATAATCAGGGGCGGAGCTAGATGGGGGGCCAGGTGTGGCCATGGCCACCCTTAGCCAATCATTGGCCCCCCCTACCGTTTTTTTCCCTCTAATACAGACGGTGGCAGCAGTAATACTCTCAAGTGAAATATTCAAAACATTAAAATTTTTTCATATAATAACAATTACTTAACAAAAACAACGTGGTTAAGGTATCTAGGAGTCTTCAATTAAATTATAGATAACAATTTTAATAAAAACGTATTAAATAATCAATTTATGTAGATATTAGTACTGTAAATATCAATTTTATGCAGAATAATTATTGATAAAAGTAGGTTAGTAATGACAATGGAAAAGATGTTCGCCCAAAACTGAAATAATTTTATCCATTATAGCTTTTATCTAGACAGCAATGATGTTTAAATATATGTGTCTATTTGTTAACAAAGGCTGTAGGAAAGTATAGTTTGTTTTATGTTTTGCTTGTTAATTTTCCTGTTGGAACAGTGTAGATTGACTGTGAGGTTCTGGTGTCTATCTACTTTCCGCCCCCCCTCAGTCTACATTGGTTATTGCCTGGACACCCTTATAAAAAGGTTCAGACTCCGCCTCTGGTTATAATGTCGGCGGTTCAGGCCTGTCATACCTGAGGGTTTAACTAGATCTTAGCCTCAGTGGTTGAAGGTTGGCTTTTTTTCAGTACCTGTATCCGGTGGTGAGCGGCACGCCATTCTTCTTCCACACGATTTGAGGTTTGGGGTTTCCGCCCACCTGACAAATAAACACGATGCTTCCTCCTTCCACCAGCTTTTGAACACCTGGTGTCTTAATGAAGAAGGGAGCAGCAGCAGGAGCGTCTGGCTCTGCCTCCATCATGGTCTCTTCTTTAACTTCTTCTGTGACTCTGTGGATCACAATCAGAATGACTTCAGCCTAAAGAACCACCGCTTCATTCCCTGAAACTCTAGAAAATATCCCCTACTTACTGTGTCTGGGAAATGTCAACGGAAACCGTCTCCTGCCTGCTCTCGATGTCCTCAGACACTGCAGGAAGAACAGAAGAGCAGCTTTCAACCCACAAAATGAGAAACATTTTTCTCAAATGCAGCTTTATTGATATTTTACTTGCTTAAAAGTTGTGATTTATTCCAATAATCGCTGACTAAACAGGTTTAGCAGCTTTCTGCTGCTGTTCGGACAAAGTTGGAGGGCCTCTATTCATCACCCTAATCCCTAACTCCCCAAAGAGACTCTTGTAGTTTGGAGACTTGGTAACCCATTTAAAACCCTGACATCCCCACCAGTAAGCACACTTATGTCCTCCTAAGGTGCCACAGCGTGAACTGACCCTGGACCAGCAGGTAGCAGGAGGTGCTGACGGTTCCAGCCTCGTTGGTGGCGGTGCACGTGAAGCGCCCGCTGTCTTCTGCAAAGGCTTCACGGATCACCAGCCGAGCCAATCCGCCGGTGTAGCTGATCTGGAAGTCAATGGAGCTCTCAATCTTGTAGTCCTCCCTGAACCACATGATGACGGGGGCGGGCTGACCGCTGATCTGGCATTCCAGGGTCACCGACTCGCCCTCTGTCACGTTCGTGTTCTTCAAGCCCTGCAGGAAAAAACACAGCACCTTTAGGAGACGCCCCGTTCACTGGCAAGCTGCTCATACGGGGAACGATCTGAACGGAGGCACTCACAGAGACCAGCGTGGGCGGGACGACAGCGTCACCTGCAGGTACAGCTGCTGCCTCTTGCACCTGTCACAGAGTCAGATCTATTAGACCTCAGCGGCTCTCATTCCTATTTCTAAAACATAAACAAGACAAAGCAGCACGCAGGACACGAAGTGGGATGTTCCCACCCAAGAGGTGATGAAGAGAAGAAGAAAGATGAGGAAGCTGCTGGATGGGCTGGAGCTGTGAGGATGAGGTTGTCAATAGAGCTGAGAAAGACGCTTGTTAAGGTTTTTATTAGAAGAACATTTATTGTTGGATTTTTCACAGAAATCAAGAAAACCAGACTGCTAAGAGGAGGACCGGCTCCGTTGGCTGTGGTGGCTCCTTCCCTCCCCGCTAACTGGAAACCAAACCACTTTGTCTCCGGAGGAGTGACAGAACGGGACAGATTACAGCAAAGATCTAAAGCTTCCTTTAAAGCTGCTGTCTGGTACCAAACTGCTGATTCTTTCTTTTACACATCAGGTTTTCTTGATCTGCTCAGATCCATCTCACTGAGCGGCAGGACCAACCTTGGCTCTCCAGTCCTCATACTCCCTCTCCATGCCCAACATGTATGCCACCCCCGTCTGTATGAGGCTGCCGGAGAGGGATTTCTCAGTGGAGTCTTTGAACGGAGGTGGGATGGACCCCAGCGTCTCGCTGGTCTTAACCGCTTTAAGAGACGGACTGGGAGACTTGACTGGTTTGATGATCTTTCTAGAAGAGGAGGAGGAGAACTCTTTCTGCAGAGACGCGATAGCCGAGCCGGCGATGGACACCTGACCAATCCAGAGAGGAGGAAAGGCCACACCGTCATCAGACTAGACTGCATCAAGAAGCTGATGAAGAATCTCAGTCATCCAGGTCACAGTCATTCCAAAAAAGTTAAAAAACAATCCACTAGACTTTGTTTCCAAGTTTGAAGACTTTTCTCTTCCATCCAGGAAGCTTTTTCAATTCAAAATGTCGTAAATAGCGTTTAGTTCCAGGTTTTATCCAGCAGCTCAACAAAGCCTGGTTTTTGTTTAGAAAACATGCAAATAGAAACAGATGAACGGGTCTGCCCCTTTGGAATGGGGGTCATTCGGCTTCTTTTGTTAGACTGCAATGCCCATACCTGTCTATGTCTCTGAAAGGAAAGTCGTTAAAGGGAATTCTTGGCCTGGCTGACTAGGTAAGACTGGAGTCTCTGGAAAAACTGTAGAGGATTTTCTCCAAACACAAAATCCCAGAACATTTCAAACCAAACAGACCCTTAAACAGAGACTAGTTCATCCTAAGGATAAAACCTCCAGATCCAATCTGAGCAGAGTGGTGTCTGCAGGTCAATGCAGTGAGGAATGCTCTGATGTTTATATTGGAGAAACCAAACAACCTCTACACAGACGCATGGCAGAATGTTCACATTTTGGACAAAGAAGACAGGAGGTTTAAGAGGGGAGTGAAGGAAGCCATCTATGTTAAGAAAGAAAAACCAACCTTAAACATGGGGGGGGGACTCAGATTTCAGCTTCCAAAAACTTACAATGCCTGTTCAGCCAGACCAACAATTCCCTCTAACGACCCCCTTTTCAGAGACACAGTCAGGTATGGGGCATTGCAGGCTAACAAAGAAGCCAAACGACCCCCATTCCAAAGGGGGGGACCCGTTCATCTGTTTCTATTTGCATGTTTTCTAAAGGCTTTGTTGGTCTTCTCTATAAAGCCTGAAACTAAACGCTATTTCTGATTTTTGGAATTGAAAAATCTTCCTGGATGGAAGAGAAACGTCTTCAAACTTGGAAACAAAGTGGATTGTTTTTTAACTTCATTGAAATTACTGCATAAAGACCTGTTCACACAGCACAGTTTGGGACGTTAGTTTGATTAGAGCAACAACCGAATAAAATCAGGGGAGTTTTAGGTAAAGCAGAATTAATTATGGGTAAAAAGGAAATCTGGTCTCCGATTAATGAATTAGGTGAGGAGCAGAATGAAGGAGAAGGTTAACGGAGGTTTCGTTGGTTAAAGACACCTCTAGAACCAGCTTAAAAACAGCTTTGCATCTCAGGCAAGCAGTAAAAACTAAACGCCTGTCAACATGGTTTCAGGGCACTAAGTCTGCTTGGTCTATTTTAGTCTGCCTCACCATACAGGGATGGGGGGAGAAAAGCAGGGGTGGGCAATTCCAGTTCCTGCAACTTTTAGATTTGCCTTTGTGTCGATACACATGAATCAAGTAATTAGATGATGGAGAGGACTCTGGAGGAACTGACTGCATGCTGAGGAGGTAACTCAGCCATTTGATTCAGATATGTTGGACCAAGGATGGATCTAAACGTTGCAGAATACCGGCCCTCAGGATATGGAACTGCCCACCCCCCCTGCTTTAGAGGGAAACCAACACCTGTTTGCTAAAACGTTGACTGAAGCATAAAGTGTTCAGGTCGAAAATAACTGGATCCTCCCCAAAGAACCAGGATAAGAATTCAAATCTGAACCCACTAACTCTTCTGAATTTGAATGATCCACCTTTCAGTTATGGTTGTGACCAATGTGTTTAAGTGTCCTACTGCTTGCCTGATGCTGCCTCTCTTACCTCCCCAACAGACTCTGGTTTGGGGACAGAAACTTTAGAAACCATGAACTGTGGAACTGGAGATGGAGCGAGTCCAGTGTCCACCCCAGAGACCATTTCTGTTCCTCTCTGAATCTGAAGCGATCAACACATCAGCGTTAACGTCTGTCGTAGCTCAGCTTATTGTTCCGTATCACATTGTTTACGAATTCATTTATTTTGGTGAATCTCTGGCTGATCTTTTCCTTACGAGCAGGTGGGACTCCTGAGCAGCAGTGAGCATTTGACCAGCCTGCGCTCTGGTTGACATCCACCCCATCTGATAGTGTTGATCTGCAGTCACAGCGCCCGCCTGCTGCCTCATTTCTGCCTCTACAGCCTCCGACTCTTCAGCTCGGCCGCCCTCCACATGCACGGGGCGACGGATACGAGCCAGGTCGACGGCGGCCACCACCTTGGCCACCGCCCCAGCTTTTACCCCTCCCTCTGCCTGGAGAGGGAACCAGCAGAACTCAGAAAATGGCAGAAACGGACTGACATGAAGTCCAACTCCTATCACTAGGTAACTATAGTTAACTAGTTAACTACTACTACTACTTAACCATCACATTAACCATTACATTAACCATCACTACTACTAGTGATGGTTAATGAGGCATCTTGTAGCCAAACTTTATGATTCTGCGTTGATACTGTCTCACAGAATACTGACACCTGCTGGACATTTAAAGGCACTACAGGCAACTTATTCGACAGACTGAACTGAATTTATTTGACGACCTAATACAATGATATCATTATTATTATTATAGGTTATATTGCATTATTTCATATCTGTGTTTAAATTGAAAATATTTTTGTTTTTTTAGATGCAACCAATAACAAATATAAACAAATATCATAACATGAAACTTTAGGGGAAAATGTGAATGAGGATGCTGCTGGATTAGGATTTTAAATCATATAAAAAAAAATAAAGAGTACATTTGATATTAACTTTAAAGATAAAATGAGTGTGCTGATGAAGGTTCTCAGTCATCCAGGTCATAGCCAGACATTTGAATTGAGAAAGCTTCCTGGAGAGGTGGCGAAACGTCTTCAAATCTTGAAAACCAAGTCCAGTGGATATTTTTTGAATTTTTACGGAAGGATAAAATGAGTGATAACTGAGAGGAAAAGGATGACACAACGAGAAAATTAAAATAAAAAGACAACGGCTGAAACGGTCCTTTTCCTTTTAGGCTCCAAAATCAAAATTCTGGATCCTTTTAATGATAAACTGCAAAAGATGAGACATTTTTTTTAGCAGATGCATTATGTTGACAGATACGATTTTAAACACAGTTTAATGCATCAGTAAGTTTTAAATAACTCCTGTATTGGTCACATGACTTTCTAGAAACGACACGCGCACCGATGCAGCGTTTGGCTCTATAGGCTCAATGCATGCTCCCACGCTGCAAGGAATACATTTGAAAGCTGCTAATTAATAGTGAGGCTTGTTTCTTTAGCTATGCTAATTATAAAAAAAAATCCCAAAGTTTTCTTCTTTCATCTCCAGTTTGATCTTGAGTAAGTCTGCAAACACTACTAAATAACAAATGGTCCAAACTAAACGAGAGTTAGGGTTTCCAGAAACACAAAGATCGACTAACCATCATGACGTGAAAGCAGACGTTCAGAAACTGATAAAAAAAATATAAAGTAAAAAAGCCGACGAACCAGAGAAAAAAGAAAGCACAGATGAGATAAACAAAATAAAGCCGTTTTGACAGAAGCTTCATGGGACAGATGTAGGTCAGAAAATACAAAACAAAGAATTATAGAATATTAGGCATAAGATATAAAAAAATAGCTGCCTTCAAAATAAATTAGAAACGACAAAACAGGACACAATAAAGATATACTAAAAACGGCTTAAATCACCAAGCCAATACTAGGCAGTTGCCTAGGGCCCCAAATTTCCTAAATCCGCCCCTGCAGGAGGTTCATTTTTAGTTCAGCTTGTTTCACAGCAGCTGCAGTTTAACATCAGACAAGCTGGTCGTCATAAATTAGAAAGTAGGTGCTCTTCAGCAGTAAGAACCAACGTTTCATCATCTCATGGCTCTAAATTTCTGCTTCTAATTTTTTAGCATTTTCTCTTATTGTTATATAAACTGTGTCCCACTTTCATCAAAACCTTAAAAACCTGTTATTCCAGAAAACACATTAGCCTTTTCTATAGACGTACAGATACAGAATCTCAGACGAGAAACATCAGGAATTAAACCACTCCCAGGTTTGGATATTATGTGGATAGAAACCAAAATATGGAAAAAGTTTCAAAGAGGGAGGTTTTTATGTAACAATAGGAGGTTTCTTCCTGTTCAAAGGGAGTTTTTCCTCTCCACTGTCGCTACAAGCATGCTTAGTGTGAGGGATTGCTGAAGAGTCAATGAGTCGATGCAATCAGCTGGTTTTCCTTAGATAGAAAACTTTGAATCAATCTGACTGGATGATCTGGTGAACTGGAAAGTGACCTGAGATGACATGATGTGAATTGGAGCTATAGAAATAAACTGAATAGAATTGTAGTGTTGTTGGTTTAATGGCTGCGTTCTGATATGAAGGAATCCAGGCAGCAGGAGAGGAATCCTGGCATAAATTCAGCTAAAAAAGGTTTCATACTTTAACCATCTGGTTGAAACACCAATAAACACGTAATTCTCACCTCTTTAATCTCTGTGAATGTCTGATACACTGCTTTCCCATCGTCTCCCCTCTTCCATGGCGGGGGGACCTCAGCGATGGTGGCAGGCTGTTTCCTCGTGGTGACGGGAGATTTTACCGGCCTGGAGAGGAAGACCAAGAGGGGAGGAGCTTCACTAATGGAGCTCCATGGTTGTTCCTAACAGTTAGCAGAGCTACTTCAGGTAGACATCACAGACTGGAGGCTCCACCCACCTGACGGGTGAGGGCGTTGGCGCCTTCACGTGTCTGACTGGCGACGGCGACTGTTGGCGCCCTGCGGTCACCTTGGAGACCAACGAGGGCTGGGTGGGAGACTTTGACGAAGGTTTGGGTGGAACTCTGGGTGGGGTCTTGTGACCAAGAGTCTGAGTCAGTTCAAATTCCATCTTCTGAGGAGAAACACACCAAACCCAGGGCAGATTAGACCAGAATAACAGAGATTAGATGTGGATTAATTAAGGAGGAATGAGATGAAACCCCCGGTTCAGACCACATAACCTTATTGCCGTAGACTGACTTACCTTTTCAACTCTTGTGATTCTTGTCTGGGAAATCTGAGAGGCTGAAATCACTGTCTTAGTTTTCTTAGCTGGAACCGGTTCTTCACCTGAACACAAACATTCGGTTTAGGTTCTGATCACATCAGCAGCAGTTGGAACCCGTAGAAGCGAACAGAGCTCACCTTGGACCAGCAGTTCACAGGTGGACGTGGCCCGTCCACTGCTGTTGGTGGCTGTCGCAGAGTACGTCCCAGAATCCTCTGGGAAGGCCTCGGCGATCAGCAGACTGTAAAGGTCTCCGTCCTGCAGGATCTGGAAGTCTGCAGAGCTCTGGATTTCGGCTCCCTCCCTGTAGAACTTCACTACAGGAGTGGGGATCCCTGTGACTCTGACGTTCAGTCTCACCTGGCTGCCCTGCCTCACGGTGGAGGTCTGCAGCCTTTGAAGGAAGGTGGGAGGTGCTGTCTCCGCTGCAGCAAAACAAAAAAAAACACTGTGAAAACACTGAGAGAGGCCAGCTTTACACTTCACTTACAGCAGCATCCATTCAAAATGACCCTTCCCAGTCAAATGCCAGCCAAACGGCAGCCCCCTCCCCTGCAACTCCAAGCAAAATCCCCTCAAACTTCCAGCCACTGGCCTTCTCCTGGGCGTGCATATTTCTTTACTCTGACTCCACCCTTTCACTGAATTACAAGGTCTGACCAGGAGATGGCGCTTCTCTTTCTTAATGTCCACAAATCATGACAGAATATTTTTTAGTGCAAAGATTGATGTTTAAAAAGGAATTGTAGGGGGCCAGTCAAGGACCGGCCAAGGACTAGTCAAGGGCCAACCAAGGACCAACCAGGGAACCAGCCAAGGGCCAGCCAGGTACTAGTCAAGGGCCAGCCAATTTGCAGCCAAGGCTCAGCCAGTGAACCCGCCAAGGACCAATCAAGGATTAGTCAGGGAACCAGCCAAGGACCAGTCAAGGATTAGTCAGGGAACCAGCCAAGGACCAGTCAAAGGCCAGCCAAGGACTAATCAAGGGCCAACCAAGGACCAGTCAAGGACCAACCAGGGAACCAGCCAAGGACCAACAATGGACCAGTAATGGACCAGCCAAGGACCCATTAGGGAAAGTGGGGAATTTTGGAATGGCTAAACTGTTCAAATGTAAAATGCGTTCCTTAGATTTTGCTGAAAATTAACAAGCTTTATTTTGCTGCAGATCATTCTGAAGATGCTAAATGGTGGATTTATAAGAAATAGTGCTGGAGCAGATTTTCCTTCCAGTCCCACCTGTAACCAGTAGCTCAGCGGTGCTGGTTGCTTGCCCGGCGCCATTGGTAGCTCTGACAGAGAAGCGTCCGCTGTGTGCGGCGGTCACCGCGGGGATCCTCAGAACAGCGCGGCCATCGCTGAACGAGATCTGGACGCCGGGTAGAGCTGCGGCGGAAAGAACCTGGCCATCACGGAACCAGCTCACCTCAGGAACTGGAGAACCTGCAGAGGAGAAGGACCAAGAGTCAGCAGCAGAAACTTTACTGAATAAATTCTCATGTTTTATTAGAGATCAAACTGGAATGAACTTTCAAAAATTTGGAAATTTTATCTTTATTTAGTTGAACTTAAATAAAAGTAAAGTCTAAGTAGCAGGTATATCGATGATGAATTTGAATCAGTAGCTAAACTGGCTTATTTTTTAGAAAGTAAAAACATTTCCAAATATTTCAGATTTTATTAACTATTGATGAGAAAATATTCACACTTTAAGACATTATCACTTTATTGTTTTTGATCACTCTGTTAGCTTTATTTTTCAACATATTTAGCTTGTAGCTTTTAAGAATGACCAGTGGAACCTGGGGCCCATCAGTCTGGGACCTGCGCCATGATGATGCTTCTTACCACTGATCTGAGCCTCGAACGTGGCGGCACTACCCTCCAGTGCCACGACGCTCTTTAGCGGCTGTGTGAACGTTGGTGCTTGTGTTGACATGTTGGTCGGCACCCTGGAACAGAGAGGAAGACATTTAGAGAGCGTCATCAGGAGAAAAACATCCAGAGAAAACAGGAAATAATAATAACACCTTTAACATCTTTAGTTATCGTTACCATAGGCAACCAGCAGATGCCGCCAGATCTCCCTCATACTTTAGCAAATGGAAAGAAGCTGATTTTAAAGTGAAATCCTTAAAGGGATAGTTCGGGATTTTTGACATGAATCTGTATGGCATCCCCATCACCAGTGTCATGCAATCACACTGACTTACCCCTGGCAGCATCCTGTGAGCAGAGTTCTCGTCCAGCTTTGGTCAAGCCGAAAGTAGTCCGGCAGGTTTGCTAGACCCAGCGAAATAAAACGTTTCTCTTCCCAAAACATTATGTGTTCAAAAGAGCGATATTTTTGCATCCCAAAAACATTGTAGTGGAAAAAGTCGCACGTCGTTATCACTTGGTCCTATTTTCTCTCTGTTCGTATCAGTGCGCGCGACACCATGACCTGACAGCTAGGGCCTACTAACCTGACAACAGCCAGATGCATGTCTCGCTCCGCCTAGCTCCTAGCTAGGAGCTAGGCGGAGCGAGACATGCATCTGGCTGTTGTTGAGCTCGCTGTCAGAATGACGGCGCGCACTGATACGAACAGAGAGAAAATAGGACCAAGTGATAACGACGTGTGACTTTTTCCACTACAATGTTTTTGGGATGCAAAAATATCGCTCTTTTGAACACATAATGTTTTGGGAAGAGAAACGTTTTATTTCGCTGGGTCTAGCAAACCTGCCGGACTACTTTCGGCTTGACCAAAGCTGGACGATAACTCTGCTCACAGGATGCTGCCAGGGGTAAGTCAGTGTGATTGCATGACACTGGTGATGGGGATGCCATACAGATTCATGTCAAAAATCCCGAACTATCCCTTTAAGGAGGCCAAATGTTGTTGTGTATATATTTAATTTTTTTGCATCTGGAGCGTGTAACAAAAGTTATTTACCTCTGGGATTATTAAAGTATTTCTGAATCTGATGTTTCTGTTCTTTAGATGCAGAAATATCAGATTCTCCTGTTAATGTAGATCATCCTCTATAGAATATCTTATTTTTCACAGTTTGCTACATTTGATTATTAAACTATGATTGGAAAATATTTCCCTCCTTTGTTTCCTAAATTCCCTTCAGTTGTTGGTCATGTTTGCTGTTGATTTAAATACTAATGGGGGAATATGTGCAGCAATAGGAAGGATTCACTTTAAATTTCCATTCTCTGCGTTTTCCTTTGAATACACACAAGCTTTAGCTTCAGAAACAGATGAGATAAACTGAAGAAATCCATGTGTCACATCAGCTCAATAGTCAAAAAGAAGGTGCCAAAAGGAGCAAAAAGTGGTTGGGGTGTAAACAGTGTGTTACCATATATATATATATATATATATATATATATATAAACAATAGAAACACAATACGAATCCACATTGTGGATTGGAACCAATCTATCTTCAAGCATCACATGGCAACCATCACCTAGACTTCTAGAATGCAGTCGGTTCCCAGATGTCGCTGACTCATGTTTTCCTGCCCACAAAATGTTCATAAACCGCCTGAATATACGAAATCTCACCACATTTGAACCAAAGTCTATTGATCTCTTAGGCTACAAATCTAAAGAAAAACATTTTTTACCCATAGACGGACATCCTAAACTGCCAGATTGGGAAACATCCCAACCTGGCAACAATGGACGTAAGATGGGAAACGTTAGCCTTTAAATGAAAAACCCCATCATGCACCGCAACATATTTTGGAAAAATGTTTTTATCTGAATTTGAAAATAAAATCCGTACTGATTTATATCCTCAGTAATCAGTAGCCTGACAGCCATCAAATCCTAATATTTGCTGACTGGCTTGCTGCCTGTTTTCACTGAGTTTCTGCTGAATTGTTAAAGCTTCAAAAGTCTTTGAGCCTCCATGCCATCACCCTAATCCTCATCCTGTTCTTAATCTGCGTCACAACAACCATATTCCTTCCAGTCAGAAGAAACAACTTCATCAAATCATAAGATCAACTAAAACCTAAAATAGGTGGAAAGATTCAATGAAATATCTACTTTTCTTAGAAACAATGATGAGTCCTCAGACTCTGCAGGGGAAAATATTAGATTTATTGCATAGAAATAGAATTAATAGCTGCTGATTAACTTGCTGGTTTGATCTGATCCTGTTTGAATGATGTAGAGTCAACTAAATATTCAAAAAATATCCACTGGACTTGGTTTTCAAGATTTGAAGAATGACATTTCTCAATTCAAATGACATTTGAATTGAGAAAGCTTCCTGGAGAGGTGGCGAAACGTCTTCAAATCTTGAAAACCAAGTCCAGTGGATATTTTTTGAATTTTTACGGAATGACTATGACCTGGATGACTGAGAACCTTCATCAGCAATCAACTAAATAACAACAAAAGTTCCTTAAACTGAAGGCAGCTTCCAGTCCTGTAACGTCCAAATCCATGAGATGAAGGTAAGAGCATAGATCTAGAAAAACTAGATGGTTAAACTTATAGGATACATTTTCATTCATAAAACAGCAAAAACAGAGATGATGAAGCTGCAGCTGCTGCTCATGATATGTGAGCATCAGGTGCTTCACGTACCACAGCTCAATTACTGCCTAAGTACTACAGCTACTGCCTCAGTACTACAGCTACTGCCTCAGTACTACAACTACTCCCTCAGTACTACAGCTACTGCCTCAGTACTACAGTTACTGCCTCAGTACTACAGCTACTGCCTCAGTACTACAGCTACTGCCTCAGTACTACAATCACTGCCTCATTACTACAGTTACTGCCTCAGTACTACAATTACTGCCTCAGTACTACAGCTACTGCCTCAGTACTACAATTACTGCCTCAGTACTACAGTTACTGCCTCAGTACTACAGCTACTGCCTCAGTACTACAGCTACTGCCTCAGTACTACAGTTACTGCCTCATTACTACAGTTACTGCCTCAGTACTACAGTTACTGCCTCAGTACTACAGTTACTGCCTCAGTACTACAGCTACTGCCTCAGTACTACAGCTACTGCCTCAGTACTACAATTACTGCCTCAGTACTACAGCTACTGCCTCAGTACTACAGTTACTGCCTCAGTACTACAGTTACTGCCTCAGTACTACAGCTACTGCCTCAGTACTACAGCTACTGCCTCAGTACTACAATCACTGCCTCATTACTACAGTTACTGCCTCAGTACTACAGCTACTGCCTCAGTACTACAGCTACTGCCTCAGTACTACAATCACTGCCTCATTACTACAGTTACTGCCTCAGTACTACAATCACTGCCTCATTACTACAGTTACTGCCTCAGTACTACAATCACTGCCTCATTACTACAGTTACTGCCTCAGTACTACAGCTACTGCCTCAGTACTACAGTTACTGCCTCAGTACTACAGTTACTGCCTCAGTACTACAGCTACTGCCTCAGTACTACAGTTACTGCCTCAGTACTACAGCTACTGCCTCAGTACTACAGTTACTGCCTCAGTACTACAGTTACTGCCTCAGTACTACAGTTACTGCCTCAGTACTACAGCTACTGCCTCAGTACTACAGTTACTGCCTCATTACTACAGTTACTGCCTCAGTACTACAGCTACTGCCTCAGTACTACAGCTACTGCCTCAGTACTACAGTTACTGCCTCATTACTACAGTTACTGCCTCAGTACTACAGCTACTGCCTCAGTACTACAGCTACTGCCTCAGTACTACAATTACTGCCTCAATACTACAGTTACTGCCTCAGTACTACAGCTACTGCCTCAGTACTACAATTACTGCCTCAGTACCACAGTTACTGCTTCAGTACTACGGCTACTGCCTCAGTACTACAATCACTGCCTCAGAGTAGCTTTGCCTCGTCTGTTCCTGTTTGGCTGTGACTCCATCCTGGAAAGAAACATCAGATGTGCTGCTGCCATCAACACCTTTGTTTCTAGATGTTGGAGATCGGCCTGTTTTCCAGTGTAGTCCTGTTTCTCTGACTGTGACTAACTGGATGTGCTCTCTTCGTCCTCTGGCATGGGAGCTGGCTCGGAGCTCGTCTGCCTGGCTGTGTGTTTCCTGGACGGGGCCGCCTTTTACTGCTGCTTTTTGTGTCTCTGCGTCCGTCTCCTTGAACGCCAGTCGGCCTCAGCAGATGGCCGCTCACACTGAGCCTGGTTCTGCTGGAGGTGTCTTCCTGTTCAAAGGGAGTTTTTCCTCTCCACTGTCGCTACAAGGATGCTTAGTGTGAGGGATTGTATTTGAGTCAATGAGTCGATGCAATCAACTGGTTTTCCTTAGATAGAAAACTGTATCAATTTGACTGTATGATCTGGTGAACTGGAAAGTGCCTTGAGATGACATGTGTTGTGAATTTGGCGCTATATAAATAAACTGAATTGAATTGAATTGAATTATTACAGTTACTGCCTCAGTACTACAGCTACTGCCTCAGTACTACAACTACTGCCTCAGTACTAAAATTACTGCCTCAGTACTACAATCACTGCCTCATTATTACAGCTACTGCCTCATTATTACAACTACTGCCTCATTACTACAATCACAGCCTCAGTACTACAATCACTGCCTCATTATTATGGTTACTGCCTCATTACTACAGCTACTGCCTCAGTACTACAATTACTGCCTCATTACTACAATCACTGCCTCATTATTACGGTTACTGCCTCATTACTACAGCTACTGCCTCAGTACTACAGTTACTGCCTCATTACTACAGCTACTGCCTCATTACTACAGCTACTGCCTCATTACTACAACTACTGCCTCATTACTAAAATTACTGCCTCATTACTACAATTTCTGCCTCATTATTACAGTTACTGCCTCAGTACTACAATTACTGCCTCAGTACTACAACTACTGCCTCATTACTAAAATTACTGCCTCAGTACTACAATCACTGCCTCATTATTACAGCTACTGCCTCATTATTACAACTACTGCCTCATTACTACAATCACAGCCTCAGTACTACAATCACTGCCTCATTATTACGGTTACTGCCTCATTACTACAGCTACTGCCTCAGTACTACAATTACTGCCTCATTACTACAATCACTGCCTCATTATTACGGTTACTGCCTCATTACTACAGCTACTGCCTCAGTACTACAGTTACTGCCTCATTACTACAGCTACTGCCTCATTACTACAGCTACTGCCTCATTATTACAACTACTGCCTCATTACTACAACTACTGCCTCATTACTAAAATTACTGCCTCATTACTACAATTTCTGCCTCATTATTACAGTTACTGCCTCAGTACTACAATTACTGCCTCAGTACTACAACTACTGCCTCATTACTAAAATTACTGCCTCAGTACTACAATCACTGCCTCATTATTACAGCTACTGCCTCATTATTACAACTACTGCCTCATTACTATAATCACAGCCTCAGTACTACAATCACTGCCTCATTATTACGGTTACTGCCTCATTACTACAGCTACAGCCTCAGTACTACAGTTACTGCCTCATTACTACAGCTACTGCCTTAGTACTACAGTTACTGCCTCAGTACTACAATTTCTGCCTCATTATTACAGTTACTGCCTCATTACTACAGCTACTGCCTCAGTACTACAACTACTGCCTCATTACTACAATTTCTGCCTCATTATTACAGTTACTGCCTCATTACTACAGCTACTGCCTCAGTACTACAGCTACTGCCTTAGTACTACAACTACTGCCTCAGTACTACAGCTACTGCCTCAGTACTACAATTACTGCCTCATTACTACAGCTACTGCCTCATTACTACAATTACTGCCTCAGTACTACAGTTACTGCCTCAGTACTACAGCTACTGCCTCAGTACTACAGCTACTGCCTTAGTACTACAACTACTGCCTCAGTACTACAGCTACTGCCTCAGTACTACAATTACTGCCTCATTATTACAGCTACTGCCTCATTATTACAGCTACTGCCTCAGTACTACAACTACTGCCTCATTACTACAGCTACTGCCTCATTACTACAATTACTGCCTCAGTACTACAGTTACTGCCTCAGTACTACAGCTACTGCCTCAGTACTACAACTACTGCCTCATTACTACAATTACTGCCTCATTATTACAGTTACTGCCTCAGTAGTTTAAAATATAAAAAAAATTTTCCCTTTAATCTCTATTTATTTCAATTAGAATAAAAAAACAACTATTGTAGTTAAACTTAAAAAATAAAATAAAAACAGAAATAAACCGACAGCAGTATTTTATTACAGTTACGATAAATGAAAGTCCAGGATCTTCTGACTTTCTGTTCCTCTAGAAATAAAACCTCAAAGTTTCCTTTAATATGAAACTTTAAACAATTAACCCTTTAATGCCAAATGTATCATATTTGATACATACGGTTTCTGAAATGTTTTGCGTCTGACACCTTTTGCATAATTTAATGGTAAAAACTTTGCTCTAAATCCTATTGTACACAATCAGATATACCTGATAACAGAGGGCAGAAGACTACACAAAAAATAATCTTGACTCATCACATAGTAATAAAATATTAATATCAAAAATTTATTTCTGTTTTTTCTTTTTACATATTTTGTTAAAAGGCCAAATAAGGACTTCAAACCAAAAAAAGTAATTTTTTGTTTTGGTTTATTCTTGGATCGGGCTTTAAAGGGTTAAACAGAAATACATAGAAAAACAGTTTTTATCAAATTCATATCTTAAAAAAGTTTCCTCATTAATAAAAGCGAGATGCAGCCTGTCGGCATCAGGACCAAAGCTCTGTTTACTAAAATAACCTCATGCGGCTCTGGGTGACATATTTCTATCTTTGTGTGGGACCGAAATCCCAGAAGGTTCCTCTTCATCTGATCTCCAAACATTAGAGGCACAGAATCAGTATCTCCTATAAACCTGCAGAAAGTTCAGGTTCAGTTCTGGACCTGCTGCTGATACCAGAACCAGTCTGAGTTCTTCCAGGTCTCCAGGTGAGGTTAACCATCAGAACCTGGATCAGAGGAGCAGTTGACTTATTCATTTTTAATTATGAAAAATTAAATCCCTTTATTTTCTCCCAGTGGAGAAATGAACCCTCCGTGTTTAATCCTTTAAAGCCCAGGGCAGCACATTGGATCCATGAGTTTTTGAGACTTTGCCTCATCAGTGTGATGCTTTTGTTGTTGAAACACTGACTTAAATATTTACACAGTGAACAGAAAATGTATAAAAGATTATACAGAATTGTGTAATGTCTCCAATTTGATGCAAATAAATGATCTAATTAAACTCAATGACATTCTCCTATTGAAAAATGTGAATGTTCTGTCAATCATTTCATGGTTCAGACTTTAAAGGGTTAAGGGTCTTGCTCAGGGACTGTCTAATCACTAAGGCCAACGATCCCCATGAGGACTATCAGACTAAAAGTTGTGACTCAGCTCCTCCACCTTCATCAGGACGCCTGCTGCTTCGCTGATCTGGGCTCAGATCGATCGCAGCCTCGGTTCTGATCCAATAACAACATGGATCAATGAGGGGAACCCTGCTTCAGAACCGGACCTGCCCTGCTGGTATTTACAGACCAACATCTGAGCGACAGATATGGCAGTGACCAAAAATACTCCTGCACCCCCGCCCTGACCCGCCGCGCTTTGATTGACAGCCACCATGTGGCACATTGCTGGAGCTGCAACTGATACGCCTGCTGCTGATTCCCTTAAAAAGCCATGGCCCCAGCTGACAGGCCTCTCTGATGCTCTCAGCAGCTATTCTTGGCTTTCCTCAGATCGCTTCACACTCTGCTGCAGGAGGCCCTTCTTCTGCAGCCAAAAATACATCAAAACCTCAGCAAACCTCTGAAAATCAGGAGTCCGACCCCCGAACTGATCCCAACTTCCCCCAAAAACCCAGAGTCCGTCTTCCTGATCAAACCACACAGTCACATCTACTTACTTGTTTCCACAAGAGTGCCTGGAAGAGAAGGGACGAAGCCCGAGTGACTAACGAGAGAACCCCCCTTTATCCAGAACGGTTTGTGTAGAAAGATCCAAGATGAACGGGATGAGCCTCGAAATATTCCCCGACAAAAACAAAACTACACAGAGAGAGGCGTGTATTGTAGTTTGCTTTCCCTCGCAATCCCTCCACCCGAGGCGAGGCTGGGAATGCTCCAACTGCTCAGGAGGGCCCAGATGGAGCTGGAGGGTTTTATACCAGGGGGGCAACCTGCATCACCACCCCACGGAGCCTCCCCATTGCTGGCGGGGGACCGGGCTGTATGGAGATGGCAGCCATTTCATAAACCCCCTACTGCCAGTCTGTGTTGATAGCTTCGATCGGGAATGTTAAATCATCGACTCAGTTAACTATGATATGTCAGTTTCCTCGTGAGAAGACTGCCAGAGCATTAGCCAGTTTAACAACCGTCTGCCAGTCTTTAAGTTGACGAGCTACATATGCAATGAATCAGACTTAGCGTCTGTCATACTGTACTCGTCAGGACCGCGACCCAGCACCAATGCTCGACCAGTTATGCCCAACTACCTTACTGCCATACTAAAATTCTGCTAAAATTATGCTTAACCCTCTTCTCATAATACAAGTTACTGCCTCAGTATACGTTACTGCCTCGTACTAAGTATGCCTCATACTACTACTCTTTCTCCCAGACTACAGTTAAGCCTCAGTATACAGTTACGCCTCATTTCTACCTTACATCCTCCCCTACTACAGCTACTGCCCCATATCAGTTACTTTCCTATACTACAGACTGCCTCAGACTACATTTACCCGGCCCCCCAAACCCCCAGTACTCACAGCACTGCTCAGTACTAATAAACTACTACAGCCTCTTTAAAAGTTAAGCCTCATACTACGTTACTGCTCATACTACAGCTACTGCCTCAGTACTACAGTATGGGCCCCATACTACATCTACTGCTCAGTACTACAGTTCTGCCAGTACTACAGCAACTGGGCCCCACACTAAAAGCTACTGCCTCAGTACTACAAGCTTCCATCTTTCAACGCTCAACCTCAACACAGCTACTAATTTAACCCGTTTAAAGGGACGCTTTAAGGAAAATTTTGAAATCCAAATTTTTAAAACTTTAAAGTTTAAAAATAAAAAGGGGGGAATATAAAATATTTTTAATTTCATTTTTTAATAAAAACCAACAGTAAAACCCAAAAATAAAAAAAAACAGATAAACCGCAGCAGTTTATTACGTTAGGTAAAATCATATTTCTGAATTTCCCCTTTCTCTGGAATAACCTCAAGTTCCTTATTGCCCAAAAAAATTTTTTTAACAATTAAATTACATGAAAAACGGTTTAACAATATATCTTAAAATATTTTCCCCTAAAAAACTGCGCAGACATCAACGAAAAAGCGTTACTTTAATCCTAGCGTCCGGAACAATTTTATGTTGGGGGGGCAAAACCCGAAGGTCCCTTCTCACTCAAACATAGAGGCAATGTAATACCCTTAAACTGCGAAATTAGACATTTCTGGGCCTGCTGCTAACAGAACCAGCAGTCTTAGTTCTGAGGTAGGTTACGAACCGGAGTAGAGGAAAAACATTTTAAATTATAATTGATTAAAAACTTAATCTCCCCTGGGGGAAATAACCCTCGTTTTAAACCCTTTTTAAACCACTAGCACATTGGACCAAATTTAACTTTTCCCCATCACCAACTTTTTTAGTTGAAACACTTACTTTAAATATTAACACGTTAACTAAAAATTTTTTTTATACAATTGCCTAATCTCCATTTTGATTTCATAAAATTTTAATTTAAAATTAATACTTCTCCTATGAAAATGAAATTTCTTCCCAAGTATTTTTGTTCCTTTAATAAATTTCTCACTTCCCAATCCTAGCACATTCCCTAGACTTCCTAAAATTTGACTACCCCCTCACCCTTTACAGCACGCCTGCTGCTCGTATCTGCTCAATACCCTTCTAATAACAACCAGTCAATTGGGGGAACCCGCTCAGAACCAAACCCCCCTCTGAAATTTTCAGACCAAACGCAGTAATGCGAACCAAAAATTTCTTGCACCGCCTTGAACCCGCGGCTTATTAAAACTTCACATGCTGGAGCTCAATCTACGCCTGCCTAATCCTTAAAGCCATGGCCCCGTACGGCCTGAGTTTTGCATATTACTTGCTTTCCAAAGGATGCTTTAACCCCGCTGCAGGGGCCTTTTCGCAGCCAAAATTTTAAAATCGCAAATTTTTAAATGGGGTCCGGGACCCCGAACCATTCCTGGTTTTCAAACCGGGCTTCTGATCATAACACACGTCATCTACTTACTTTCAAAAAGTAAATGCCTAAAAAGGGAAACCCCCGATTTACTAACGAGAGAACCCCCCTTTATCCAGAACGGTTTGTGTAGAAAGATCCAAGATGAACGGGATGAGCCTCGAAATATTCCCCGACAAAAACAAAACTACACAGAGAGAGGCCTTGTAGTTTTGCTTTCCCTCGCAATCCCTCCACCCGAGGCGAGGCTGGGAATGCTCCAACTGCTCAGGAGGGCCCAGATGGAGCTGGAGGGTTTTATACCAGGGGGGCAACCTGCATCACCACCCCACGGAGCCTCCCCATTGGCTGGCAGGGGCACCCAGGGGGGCATGATGGGAGATGGCAGCCATTTATGAAACCCCCCAGTCTGCCAGTCATGGTGTTGATCGAGCTTCGATGGGAATCGATCTGAAATCATCCGACTGCAGAACTTTAACGTTTTGATGAAAGCGTCTCTTCCTGATGGAGACGCAGAGGATTTAAACAGTTTGAAAACCTCTGCAGGCCGTTAAATAACTGCTGACAAAAAAAAGGAAGCAGAGTCAGAGGCTGTCCCTGTCAATCAACCCCCCCGCCCCCGCCTCCATCCACCATGGCTGCTGCTTACAACACACCACCACACTCTTCCTCTTCATCCTCAGCTCCACTGATGCTGCTTCACATCCAGCTTTAAAGGCTCTGCATCCAAAAACTACAAACCGGACCCAGAACCGGGCCGGCGACCCAGAACCGTCCTGCAGGTCCTGGACCTTCTGGCCCAGCATGGAGGTTTGGTAACGCTGTTTGGTAACTCATCTGTCAATCATCCATCTGTGTCGCTCCATGGAACCTGAGAAGCTCCAGCAGGAGCGGCGAACATGTGGCTCAGCAGCTGAAACCGGCGCTGACCCACATCCATCAGAACCTCGGATGAGCTCCTGTTCATCCAGGGGAGAAGATGGAACTTCTACATGTTCTAGTTCTACAGCAGAGACCAATCCAATCAATGGGAACCCTATTTAGAATAACTGGAGACAGGTCATAGTTGATATTTTCCTGATTGAACCTGGAAAGTTTAAGAAGCACTAAAAAAACAATATTTTTTTTATAGAGGGTTTGACTTATTTTACATGATGTTAATAAAAAAGTGACCTTACTTTTAGATGTTACTGAGGAGATTTTAATATATTTGGGTCAGAAGATGAAGGTTAAAAAGACCCCTTAAAGTCACAGAGAAATCATATTTAAATGTCAAATCATTCTGGCTGAAACATGTATATAAATGTTCTCTTTATCAGACCATATTGTCCCAAAAGTTAGAAAATTGATATTTAAAACCCTGTCTTTTAAATTTTTTTTTTCCGTTATCTTCTGCAGGCCAGTTAGTTCTACGTCAGCCTGAACACCTAAACTCATCCAATCATATATCAACGGTCATCTGTGGGTCAAATTTCTTTCGGTCATAGCATCTTGATTCATATGTCGCAGCTAATATACGCAACGGTTGAAATCAGGATCTTCGCAGAGTAGTGGTGACCATTACAGGTGTATAGCTGGGGAGCAAATTGTTGGCCGTTTCTCTATTCACACAGCCTGAAAAAACAGACTATAAATATGAGATTAAATGTGTAATCTAGTCTGGCCTTGATAAATGAGACATTGGAAGATTGTTGATGAGAGCAACCCGTTGTTTTTCAAATCATGTCTGTGACAATTGGCCACGCTCTGACCAATGAGAGCCACTGTAGCTGGTGGGGGAGTGTAAACAAACAGCCTGTCGGTAAAACGGCAAATTAATGAGCGTAGAGCCTCTTCCTGCTCACGTTTCAACGAAAACCCCAAAGTCTGATCCTTCCAGAACTGATTCCAAAGCTGAGTCAAACCAGAACCTCAAAGCCCCGCCCGCTTTGCATCTAAAAATTCAAAACACATCTCTGCGTTGTGATTGGCCCGCCAGTTCTAGAGCCTGGGGCATTGATGGAGGCTAGACCATGCGCAGGCAAAAATGTGAAATTTTGGCCACTGGTGGGTGGAACTAGTTTACTAGGCTACAATTCACTAGAACACGAGTACGGACTTGTTTCCTCGCCAAGTATGTTCTTGAGAACCCAGGAAAGTCTGGACTCTGGGAGAACGGGAGCATGCAGAATAAATCTGGATCAACTGGAACAGACGCGTACTGATGACATCACCACATTCAAAGCTAGTCTGGAGCTGCATTTCACCTCCTGATATTAATAGTCTCTAGACCGGAGGTCTTCAACAGGGGTCTGCAACCCCTAGGGGTCCACGGAGGTACTGCATTGGGGTCACAAAAGTTATGGTTGATAAGATTTTTTTTTTATATTCCTCTCTGCGATTTTTTCCACTAATTGAAATATCTTTAAATCCACATGAACATGAATCCAACAGACTGCAGTAAACAGATAAATGGAGACAGAAGATGTCTTTCAGTCATCAATGCTCACATTCAGAGACACACAGGAGCTCTTTCAAGCTGGACACCATTTCATTCACAACACCTGTCCCATCAACCAGGAATCAGAAATACTTTAATAATCCCAGGGAGGGATTACTTTAGTTACATTACTCCATCTGTAATAGAGTGACTATAGGACCAGTTTGATAGAACACTATTTCATACAATAATTAGAGGGTCCCCGCTCCATCTCACTAACACTTTGGGGGTCCTTGGCCTGGAAAACGTTTAAGACCTCTGCTCTAGATAATAATAAATTCTGACTTTTTGTCATTTAGTGGGGGAATAATAATGAACACAGTCAGATAAACACAAATCAAATGAACATTTACCAAACAA